GATCCGTTAAGATTAAAATTACAAATTTATAGCCAGAATTGGATTTTTCATTTAGAAATCATCACAACTGTTGAAATTTCAGAGGAGTGAACTTTCAGCTATGTAATTCAAAAACAAAATATAGGTGAGCTTTATAAAGAGAGTAAACCCAAACGAAGACCCAAGTTTACGAATGTGACAATAGATGTTAATGTAAACTAGAGTATTTTCAATTCACACTTATCTAAACATGAATCTTGCCAAACAATAATATCATTGATCTACTAACAAATACCAACATCGGCTGAATGTCTACTTCTAGTATGTTGCCAACAAATAAAATCATTGACTTTTTACCAAACATTATCATTTGCTGAACGGCTACTAACAGAATGTTACCAACCAATCATTTCACTGACTTTTCTACCAAACATATATCTCTGGCTGAATTTCTACTGATAGAAAGTTGCCTGACTTTCTATATTAAGAAAATATCAAATATCACTTCCCAAAAATTGAATCTGAAGACCTGTTTTAGCAGCCTTGCATTGAGAACTAAATAAGAAACAACTGGCAGTATACAAAACCTTGGTAAAAGCATGTGCACCTAACACAATATATTTGTCTATTAGGCAGGCAATTCAAAATGGGTCAATAAAAAAAGTTAACCTGTCAACACAGGTCATATTTCTAACAACATATATCAAGGCAAAACAAAAAATAATATGGGATTCTCAATTTTAAATGGTATACCACACCGAAGGGTGGCATTAAAAAACTATGGTGACTTAAATTATCATTCTGAACAAAATAAGTGCTAAAATTGCAAATGTAACAATTCCTTCTATTGATAAGTATGTGCCATCTAAGGGTACCATCTTTGTTATATGGAAAGTCCTGAGGAAAGTCTCTTCAAGTCAGAAAGAAAGTTTCACAGTCCAAAGATATCAAATATCATGATTTAAATATTGTTGCCTTTTAAAAATCAATTCAATCAAACAATAGTTTTTTTAAACAATAAAAATAACAATAAAAATTACATTATAATTATTCATGACCTGTACAAATAGCACTGTTATCCATATACATTCATTCATACATCAAAACCACACATCCATCTAAAATATCAACATATGATATTCATAAACAAAATGTATGAACACCTAAATTATCAGTGTATCATAGCCAAAAATTATTTAATGGTGTCCTGAAGAAAAAGATAACTAAACAGTTCCTATATGTCATCTTAAATTGATGCATTTCTTAACCATACAATACAGATATAAATCACACTGTTGACTAAATATATTTTTCTGATTTGTAAGGCCAGGTTAATCCAACAACTTATGAAAACTGAATGTTCACTTTTGTCTAAAACATACACAATAGTTATACATGATACAGAAAAGAGGAATTCTTCTACATAATCAAATTGAAAACAAATCTTACCACTGAAAAGGGATTTTGACCAGTTTAGGCCAGTTATTGTAAATTCAGAAATTATAATGTGCATCTATTATTGCGATTTTTGAAGAATGGACAAAAATGGGAGATTGATTATTGTGATTTCAGGAAAATGATCATTAAGATATATGGATCATATATCAGAATGTGACCCAATCGTATTATTCGCATTAATAAAAACCTTGCAATAATTTCTGAATTTACAGTAGTTAACAAGTTATAAAGTTGTGCAATTCAGCTAATATTGTCTTAAATAACTGAAAATTGTGACACAATTGTTGTTTAATTACGGATCAATCTAGCACTGACTTTAAAGTAAAACTGATCTCACTTGCATTCTTCTATTTATACAAATTCTGTTTTTCACCTTTTCTTTGAAAATATTCCATCTGTTTAATCTATTATAATTCATATATGAGACATAATTTACAGAAAAATCTTATATGGTGTAGATCGAAAGTAACATGCAAATAAGTAGCTATGGGACACCAAGATATTTTTTCATTAATACTAGAAGTTTCAAGTCCCTTCATGTATAAGTACCAGCAGAACCTTACTTTAGTGGCTACAATTCACTGACAAGTCCCTTCATGTATAAGTACCAGCAGAATATAACTTTAGTGGCTACAATACACTGACAACTTAGACATTTTCTTATAAAAGCACCATTTAAAAAGAGACAAACATGACTGATAATATATATTAAAATGAAATATCACAGTTAAAGTTGTGTTACCATAGTAACATAATAACAATGGAACACAAATCAAAAATACATGGACAATAAAATAAACAGGATTTTTAGGAAATGTACACGAAACCAACATATCAGCATTTTACCTGAGGTAACATGAGTAAATCTAATGTCCTATTTATATAATTAGTAAACATTTTATACAGCAACTGCAGGTCCCATTCACCTCAAAAATTGATTCTTGATTTAAGCAGTTAACTCAGAGCAATTAATTGCCTGAAAGTGTATGAATTACATACATAACTAATAATAGCACTAACCTTAAAACAGCTTTAATTCTGTGATAATTTGTTTGTTTCCATGAAAACAACATGACTCATATTCTATAAATGCAGATATTCCTAAGTTAAGGAACATAACTTCGTGTTGCTCAGTTGTTGGTTTTGTATGTTGTGTTTTGTAGACTATTGTTTGGTTTTTCGTTGTTTTTTGTTTTTTGCCATTGCATTTTCAGTTTGTTATCGACTTTTGAGTTTAAATATTCCTTTGGTATCTTCTGCCTCTCTTCTTTCCTTTTTTTTTTGAATTAATCGGAAGTTTGTATCAACAATTTACATAAATATATTCTAAGCTTCTATGTAACAGAGATTATCATAATTCTGTTTCACATGAATGTTTAAAGCATTTTCAAAGAACATAGAACTTATAGCAATAGCTACATCTTAAGGTTAGACTTGCAGGGGTTAATTTTTTGTGAAGCAATTCAAAAGAAAACCCAGCTTGAATATAAAGGGAGTAATATTAAAAAAAAAGATGAAAAAGAACAAAAAAGCCACCACTGGACTAAAGGTTTCTGGACTGGCTCAAAAAGAATGTGGAAGGGTTAAACATGTTTTTTTTTAAAAAGTCTACCTTCTCTCTTTTTCTACATCTATTCTATTTTTAAAGGCATTAAAACCAAAATAAACATAGATCCATGGATGTAGTATTGTGTGTTACTATGGTAACAGAGTACATAAAAAATACAAAATGTTGAATAAAATATCATTCCAAAGAACCATAATTGTAACTATGAACACAATATTTATAACAATATTAAGGAGATCATTAAACACATAACATTGGTCAAAATGGTAATAATTGTTGTCTTAGTAACACTGTGTAAAATGGGAATATTAACTCATAGACATGAACACAATATAACAGTTGTTTTTTTTATAAATAATCATTGAAAGTACCAGAGCAGATTAGTAATGACTGGCACAAAAAAGTCACATTGTTTCCCCTTTAGTGGAGGGTTGACTTATTGTAAATCATGTTTAGCATGGAGAGATGCCATAAGTGTCTGCCTGTAAACCATGTTTGTAATAATAACTTACAAGTTGTTTGGCATGCATTCAAATCTGTATTCAAATGTCAGTGAACAGCTTCAAGAGTTTTCAAAATTAGCAGATTAAGCCTTTATAACTAATGTTCTAAAATATGATTTAACTTGTTTCAAAATTGTTTTAAGTGTCATTTTGAATGCAGCCTACAACTTAACATTAGACACTACTGAATGTAAACAGAACTCCAAGACAAAAGTAAACAGTATATGTGTGGTTATACTTATCATCATAGTAAATCTTTATAAAAGAGTGTTCATGCTGAACAGTCGCGCCTGCTTTACTGACCATGAATGACTTGATGTGGAAATTCTTGATAGAGGTTATACATAAACAATGATCCATGACATTAAGGTCAAGCTCCCAGATAAATATGTACACCTTATAATCTTTCTTTGCACCACATATAGTTGAGCTATTGCTTATAGTATCTAAGAAATAGACTTAACCAGCTAAAACAGGAAAACTTAACATTGACCAATGAACCATTAAATAAGGTCAAGGTCAGATGTACCCTGCCAGACAGACATATTCATGTACACCTTACAATCATTTCATACACCAAATATAATTGACTCATTGTTTATAGTATCTGAGAAAAGGACCAAACTATGGAAACTTAACATTGATCATTGCACCATTAAGAAAAGGTCGATGACTAGTGAAACCTGCCAGACAGACATGTACACTTTACAATCAATCCATACACCAAATATGTCAATGACTAGTGAAACCTGCCAGACAGACATGTACACTTTACAATCATTTCATACACCAAATATGTCAAGGTCATATGAAACCTGCCAGACAGACATGTACACTTTACAATCATTTCATACACCAAATATGTCAAGGTCATATGAAACCTGCCAGACAAACATGTACACTTTACAATCATTTCATACACCAAATATAGTGGACCAATTGCTTATAGTATATCTGAGAAACAGACCCAATCACATAACTTTAACCTTGATCACTAATCCATGAAATGAGGTTGAGGTCAGGTGAATCCTGTCTGACAGACATGTATACCTTGCAAAGAATCTAAAAACCAAATATAGTTATCCTATTACTCATAATAAGTGATAAATTTACATGACTAAAAAATATACATATTTTTAAGCAGTCCCTGAACCATAAAGATGAGGTCAATGACAATGAACATATGACAGACAGAAACTTTGTAACATAAGGCATTTGTATACAAGGGATGAAGAGTCTCTACTAATCCTACTCTATGAGATATAAATCTTAATACAAATAGTTTACACACTTGAAGCCGTCAGAATATAATCCCTATGTCTCATTGTCTCGTATACTGGGACCAGACATGGGGTCAATTACTTTTGAAAGTAATTAATTACATTCAATTACAATTACAAAATCTTCAATTAAATTACACATTACATTTGACTTTTTTTGACAATGTAATTAATTACTTTCCAATTACTTGGCAAATGTAATTTTAAATCCATTTATTTTATCATATGTACATAATTATCATACATTGCTTTATAGTAATAACAAATGAGATCTACAGTGACTATCCCAGTCTGGGACTTTCACTGCAGGTGAGACAATAAACAATTGATGTGACTGATGAGTAGTTACAGTCTAGAAGGTTGTGTCACTGGCAATCATACCATGTCTACTTATCTTTATGTTATGATTTAGAGATAACAAAATAACATTACAAACTTACCTTGATCAGTTTATGAGCTAATTCCTTCATTAAACAGACAATTGCACTGCAATGTTATGTGTAGTGCATCTGTTGTGGATGTTTTGATTACCAGCAGAACAGTTATTGAGTTTTTCTTTGCATTTATATGTTCTTTTTTAACTTTAAGCATGCCCGAATAGTTCTTTTTTACACTGAGGAGAGGTTGTGTACATAATACATTCTATTTTTAAGGGAAACAACACAATTTCTCACTCAGGACAGGTTCTTTACATGCATAAATACCATAATATAGAAGCTCTACAAGCTATGTCCACAAAAGGACTGTAAGTTCCACTATGACTGATGCCAAAATCTATTTCAGTTTTCACTAAATATTTTCAAATGCATAAATAAATATTCATTTAAGTACAAAGCCTAAATTACAAAACAATTTCATTCAATAATATCATTACCCTATATACCAATATGTCATAAACTGTGATCACATGTCTTTCAGATGTACCACTTGATTTATGTCACATGGCTTGTGACCTTAATTGCCATGAAATTGTGATCACATGACCTTTGACTATGGTTCACATGCTTTGTCAATCAAATGCCTTATATTTTGTTGAAATGTGTGTTCATCATATGATTTCTTGTTGATCAATTGAGACTTATGATCTATGTTTACGTCTGCCTGGTTTATCCCCATTCATTTCTTTTGTCTTTCTACGCTGTATTTGTTTTTGGTGTTCCTTTTCCATATCTCTCTCTGTTATATTAAGTCGTAATGACTGAAAGAAAACCATCAAGAAATAAATGTGCATTACAAATATTTCTCATTAAAATTTCATAAACATTTGGCAATAATATATATCTAAATTTGCCAACATTAATTCTTAAATTTAATGTAACAATAAACAATGTTCTACTACTAAGCTAACCTAATAAATTAACACAAATTAATAATTCAACATGTTTTTGCACTGAAGTTATAACCATTTAATCCAAAGATGTTCTTGTACTGAAATTATCACCATTTAATTATTAACATTATTAACTTCACATTATACATCATGTACATGTTATATACTTTTAAATTCATTGAAAACAAGAGGATATCTATTTATGTTGGTAACTTCATATTATAAAGCTGTTAAGATCATTGAAAAACAAGAGGATATCTATTTATGTTGGTAACTTCATATTATAAAGCTGTTAAATTCATTGAAAAACAAGAGGATATCTATTTATGTTGGTAACTTCATATTATAAAGCTGTTAAATTCATTGAAAAGCAAGAGGATATCTATTTATGTTGGTAACTTCATATTATAAAGCTGTTAAATTCATTGAAAAACAAGAGGATATCTATTTATGTTGGTAACTTCATATTATAAAGCTGTTAAATTCATTGAAAAACAAGAGGATATCTATTTATGTTGGTAACTTCATATTATAAAGCTGTTAAATTCATTGAAAAACCAGAGGATATCTATTTATGTTGGTAACTTCATATTAGCTGTTAAATTCATTGAAAAACCAGAGGATATCTATTTATGTTGGTAACTTCATATTATAAAGCTGTTAAATTCATTGAAAAACAAGAGGATATCTATTTATGTTGGTAACTTCATATTATAAAGCTGTTAAATTCATTGAAAAACAAGAGGATATCTATTTATGTTGGTAACTTCATATTATAAAGCTGTTAAATTCATTGAAAAACCAGAGGATATCTATTTATGTTGGTAACTTCATATTATAAAGCTGTTAAATTCATTGAAAAACCAGAGGATATCTATTTATGTTGGTAACTTCATATTATAAAGCTGTAAAATTCATTGAAAAACCAGAGGATAACTATTTATGTTGGTAACTTTATATTATAAAGCTGTTAAATTCAATGAAAACCAGAGGATAACTATCTATGTTGGTAACTTTATATTATAAAGCTGTTAAATTCATTGAAAAACAAGAGGATATCTATTTATGTTGGTAACTTTATATTATAAAGCTGTTAAATTCAATGAAAATCTAGTCTTATCTGCAGTAAATGTTGAGGAACAAATCTTCACCAAAATCAAATATGGTATCAACTAAAACAAATAAGTAAGTTCAAATTAAATGATAATGTTACCATAAACATACCTCTTGAACTAAAAATTCTTCCTCTAATGTCTGTATAGGTAGTCGTCTTAATTTCTCTAAGGTTTCATACATTGTAGGGCATTGTGATAAACACCCGGGTTCTCCAAGTGCAATTCTGAATAGTACTAAAGCTACTCTGAATACAACCTTGACACCTGAAAAATACCAATGTTCTCCTACAACTATTCTGAATAGTACTTAAGCTACTCTGAATACAACCTTCAGACCTGAAAAATACCAATGTTCTCCTACAACTATTCTGAATAGTACTAAAGCTATTCTGAATACAACCTTGACAACAGGAAGATTATAATGTTCTCCTACAACTATTCTGAATAGTACTAAATATACTCTGAATACAACCTTCACAGCAGGAAAATACCAATGTTCTCCTACAACTATTCTGAATAGTTCTAAATATACTCTGAATACAACCTTAACAGCAGGAAAATACCAATGTTCTCCTACAACTATTCTGAATAGTTCTAAATATACTCTGAATACAACCTTCACAGCAGGAAAATACCAATGTTCTCCTACAACTATTCTGAATAGTTCTAAATATACTCTGAATACAACCTTCACCAATGTTCTCCTACAACTATTCTGAATAGTTCTAAATATATTCTGAATACAACCTTCACAACAGGAAAATACCAATGTTCTCCTACAACTATTCTGAATAGTTCTAAATATACTCTGAATACAACCTTCACACCAGGAAAATACCAATGTTCTCCTACAACTATTCTGAATAGTTCTAAATATACTCTGAATACAACCTTCACAGCAGGAAAATACCAATGTTCTCCTACAACTATTCTGAATAGTTCTAAATATACTCTGAATACAACCTTCACCAATGTTCTCCTACAACTATTCTGAATAGTTCTAAATATATTCTGAATACAACCTTCACACCAGGAAAATACCAATGTTCTTCTACAACTATTCTGAATAGTTCTAAATATACTCTGAATACAACCTTCACACCTGGAAAATACCAACGTTCTCCTTCAACTATTCTGAATACAACCTTCACACCTGGAAAATACCAACGTTCTCCTTCAACTATTCTGAATACAACCTTCACAGCAGGAAAATACCAATATTCTCCTACAACTATTCTGAATAGTTCTAAATACACTCTGAATACAACCTTAACAGCAGGAAAATACCAATGTTCTCCTACAACTATTCTGAATAGTTATAAATATACTCTGAATACAACCTTCACAGCAGGAAAATACCAATGTTCTCCTACAACTATTCTGAATACAACCTTCACACCTGGAAAATACCAATATTCTCCTACAACTATTCTGAATAGTTCTAAATATACTCTGAATACAACCTTCACAGCAGGAAAATACCAATATTCTCCTACAACTATTCTGAATAGTTCTAAATATACTCTGAATACAACCTTCACACCAGGAAAATACCAATGTTCTCCTACAACTATTCTGAATAGTTCTAAATATATTCTGAATACAACCTTCACAGCAGGAAAATACCAATGTTCTCCTACAACTATTCTGAATACAACCTTCACACTAGGAAAATACCAATGTTCTCCTACAACTTTTCTGAATACAACCTTAACAGCAGGAAAATAACAATGTTCTCCTACAACTATTATGCATAGCTAACCTTGACACCTGGAATTGAAAATTTGTGATGGGTTCCCCGAACCTTATGTCTCCCCTGCAATTGCTGATGTCAATTTAAAAATGTAATGTTGACTGTAAAAAGTGAGTCCATTTATCAGATAAATACAGAAATAATATTAAATTATTTAGATATTATTTAGATGCTATGTCTTGATCTTGAATATAAGCTTCTGTCCAAGTTTCATAACATATTATGAAGGTTTCCAAATTTATCATGTAATAAACAATCCCAGACTACCTATAAATGTTACTGCAAAAAAACCAATCCCAGACTACCTATAAAGAGGGTGGTAAAGGGTTATTTTCGTGCAACGTGATCGCCGTTTTTTATTTCACGTTCAACGTGTGTTTACTTTTTTATTTGACATTCAGTCGTGCAAGACAGGTGCCTCGCTCAAAGTGTTCTGCTTATTTAATTTTACGTGCATCGTGATTTTCAAATGCTTATTTTGCGTGCTCGGTATTTTTCAAATAAAATCAAACACTTGGCAGGGATCGTCAAGAAATACTTTTTTAAAAGCCGTAAACCATTTATATCATAAATGTGTATACTAAATCGGGAATAACAAGTAAAACAGAGAGTTTATATATACAAAAAGACAGTGACTCAGTCACAAAAGGTTCACATCAAAGTCTTTATTTTTCGTGCAACGTTCATGACAGAAATTATTTCACGTTCAACGTGAAATTATGTCTTATTTCACGTTTTTTTCGTGCAAGCACCCCCCCTTTACCACCCTCTATAAATGTTACTGCAAAAAAAATCAAAGCACCAAAGGCGCTATAGGCAGTTAATTAAAAAAACCAAAGGTAAACTTGGCAGAAGTTAAGATGAATATAGCGGAAGAATGGATGAAAATATTTTTCTCTAATTCTTCGTCAATTTATCCCTTTCTGCACCCATTGTATACAAAAAATTTAATCAACGTGTGGTTCGTTTGATCTCAGTTCTTCATTGGTTAAAATCCGATTATGACGTCGAATTTACTTGCTTTCCTCTGAATTTCCTATTGTGACGGCATGAAAAAAGGTGACCATGCCTGATGACGTCACATAGAAAGAACACATCTTTTTACAGATCATTCGAAAAGACGGAATAAGTTTGCCTGCATATTGTTTGAAAATCATTAGAGAAACAGATTCCACCACCAAATCTCGTGTAATACGATATTTATCCACTCTCGACAGTAAAATTTTAAATATTTAAAACGCTCGGCAAGCCTCGCGTTTTAAATTTGAAAATTTAACTGTCATGACTGTCTCGAGTGGATAAATATCGTATCACACTCGATGCAGTGGTAGAATCTATATATCTCAGCTATTTCTCAAGTATCAAATAATGTTTGTACCGTAATGTTTCTGCTATCCAATCCTTCCACTTTCAAAAGTTATTTCCAATTTATTTTTTAAAGATTCAATGTCTGAGATTATGCACATACACTGTCCCATGTTAGGGGAGAGTTTTGTGCCAGCTAACATGTTTAACCTGCCACATTCTGTATGTACCTGTCCATAGTGAGGACCCAGTAATTTGGTGATTGTTGATTGTTGCTGTATATCATATTTATTTTTCATAATTGTTTTGTACATAAATCAGGCTGCTTTAGTTTTATTGTTTTACATTTGTCATTTCGTGGTCGTTTATATCTTACTATGCAGTATAGGTTTTGCTAATTGTTGCAGGCTGCATGGAGGAATATTCTTTTCAGAATAATAATTTCAATTATGGTGTCCAACAGTGGTGTATGGTTTAATTCCACTATGTACTAGAGTTTGAATATATATGCCATATTAGCGCTTTTAGTTGGATCAGCTGGTGCCACTATGCACAATTATCAAATCATACCTGAAACTATCTGAAATGGTGTAATTTTCTTGTATACTAGTATTACAAGAAATGCTGATGTTGTTATAATGGCCTAGCAATGATGCAACATATATTTTTGAAGGCTGTACGGTTGCCTGTAATTGCTTACATCCACTTCATTTGAATTTTGGTGGATAGTTGTCTCATTGGCAATCATACCACATCTCCTTATTTTTATAATAATTACACATGTCTAATCTATAATAAGCTATTAACACAACGTAATGTTTTGCCTATTTGTTATTTTGATAATGCAAATGTTACACTTAAAATAGTAATACTTTAACATGTAAGTGATATTCAAAGTCAATGAACCATGACTGAAGGTACAAGGCTAAACAATCTCTATGGAAATGAAAGGTGCCAATGCTTGTTCACCTGCAAACCAAATACCATTGACTTTTCATAAGTCGTTCCCTTTAAACAAACCTTAACACAAATTCAATTTCTAAGTCAATGAACCATAATGAGGGGGTGGGGTTATATAATATCCATGGAAATGAAACTTTTGAATACCAATACGTTCGCATACCAAATAGCTTTGACTTAAGATTACTGGTAATTTTAAACTGACATAATCATAATAATCACAAACTCATTCATGTAAACTAAGTAAAAGTTTCAAAGTCAATAGATCATGCATATGACTGAGGGGTGAGGACCAAATATCCTCTATGGAAATGAGACGTACTAATGCTTCTACACCTACATGCCAATTATCATTGACCTACCACTATTGGTTTCCCTAATACTTACCTAATCGAAAACTAATAAATGAAATTTCAAAGTAACATAAGTTTCCAAGTAAAAAGAGCATGATTGAGGGGGCGGGGCCAAATAATCTCAATGGAAATTAGAAATGAAAAAGTTTATACAACTGCACACCAAATATCATTGACCTACCACTAGTGGTTTTCCCTAAACTGACCTAATCACAAACATATACATGTAAACTATGCAAAGTTTCAAAGTCAATAAACCATGACTAAGGGGGTGGGGCCAAATATTCTCTATGGTAATGAGATGTGCCTATGCTAACACAACTACTTACAAAATGTCATTGACCTACCAGAAACCAGACCTTATCACAAAATCACAAACTAATACATTGTTGATTCCGCCAAAACAGCATGCCTATATATATATATATATGTCTCACTTTTTGACTCTGTCAAGGCAAGACAAAAATTGCAACAAATTTAATACAAATATTTTGTCCATCTTTTTTTAATATTCTTCATTTCTTAGATATATCAATGCTGCGTTCACACATAATTCGAATTCGATTCACATTATTAACTGATTTGAATTAGTTTAATACGCATTCGAAACGTCCAAAAGTAAATTCTACTTGGAATTGCAATACACGTCAAAATCGCTTTACTGTGAATGCAGGGGTTAAAATTAACATTTGGTACTGGACAGTCCAGGACCTTTGACACTCCAAACTGAAAGGTCCACAACCTAAATTCCAGGTCCTGCTTTTACTTGAAATAGTTCATAACTCAGTAAGATACTTTAATGTGCTTTTGGTGTTAAGTTAGCTTGTTTCATTGTCAGTGTCACTGTCGTTTAACTTGTTTAATAATAAATGATATTGTCTTGTATATTAATTTATGAATTCAAATAATCTTTTTTTTTGTATTAGGAAGGCTGAGGGAGGCTGAGGGTATCACTGTGGGTGGGTGTGTTGTCTCAACAATTGATTATTTATTACTAATTATACCATTATATTAAACAGTTCAAATTCAAAACTGTTTAAGTGTATCATATCTAGTTGCACTTTATATTATATTAGCTAGTTCCTCTGTGAAAATAAAGTAAGAAACTTCCTGATTTTTATAGGCCCTTCAAAATTGAGAAGAAATTACCTCATGGAATTGTAGTAATATGTTTAAACAATAAAAACATCTACATGTAATATCAATATTTATTAATGATAAGGAAAATACTGTCACATTTTATTGGTTTTTGACATGAAAATTTGTGAACTAAAAGTAATTTTGAGTTTCTGTATAAAATATTTCCTGCTTTTTCTTTCTTTTCAATATATCTTTGGTTTTCAATTCTAGAGTTTATGTTTCATCATGATAGATGTATTTTGTCTCATGCCTGGAATTATTATATTTTTATTGTATTTGATCGGCAAACCCGGAATTACCCTTATCCGCCCCCGGAATTAGATCCGGTATTATAATTGTCTTCATTTCCGGTTTATGGCATCCATTGTTTTTCAATGTTGTTTTTGTCAGTCAGATACGATTTACTCGGATTTACACATAACATGTTGGCGATTTTCGGTATAAAGCTAGCGGTTGAACAAAATGATTATTATCAGAAATCACCAAATTTAAAACGTCCTTGATTTACGTTTTGTCGACGAAGTTAAAATTACCGCCAACTGAGACTTCAACTCCGTGTCATATTAGTCACAGCCGTTATACAATATTCCTGCGCTTTGTGCCATTTGGCAACTGTAAACGACTTGTAATTAGAGATTTTCGGCGATGAAATAATTCATGCAATTGTTCTTTGACATCTTGGCCAAAAGCACAGGGGATAATAAACTACATAAGGATTTCTATTGAGCACTACTTCCTATGTGCAACTTCAAAACTTTTGGGTGGTTCGACGATCATTTAAGGTTTTTCTGGTCATATTTTTTGTATTCCAGAATTAAAAGTATGAAAAAAGTGTTCAATTAGTTATAAATAACATAATAGCCAGCCAGATAATAACAATGGCACATATTTCAGCATTTATTGGGTAGAACACAAATCTAGGGTGCTCGCATAAAGCAGCTTAACTGCTTAAAAACTAAATCATCAATCAGTTAAATACTAAAAATGATAAAAAAAATATATTTTCACACTTTTGCTTTAGACATAATTTCTTAATCATTAAAAAGTTTCACTAAAATTTTAGGAAATTCCATGAAAGTTTCACTATTAAGTAATTGACGCATAACAAACTTTATCTCCAGCTTGTGTCTACTTCTTAACTGGTAAAAAAAGTCCTTTCATTAGTAAAATATGAAAAAGAATTTCAAAATATTAACATTATTCTGCTTTGGATACTGTCTTATGAACATAAAAAAGCTTCTGTCCAAATCAAGTAAAAATGAAGGTTTGACAAAGTTATTGACGACTGTTAACTGCAAAAAAACTATGTCACTTTATCTGTAAAATACAGAAAAATTAAAATAAATATTTTTAAAATTTTGCAATGGATACTGTCTTATGGTCAATCCAGTCCCCTCCTCTCTGACCTTAAAAGTCACGCCCATTCTGACTAAACCAGTCTTGACCAATGGCTGCACTTGAATTCTCTTCAGTGTAGTAGAGGTGTAAAAATGTTTCTGTCTAGTGTTTACAAATTTCAAGAACACGAACGGAAAATATGCGTTGACATTCTAACATTTGCATGAGAAACATACCCAGGGACTTCAATTAGTTGATTAAGAATTTTAAAATTGTCACTGAATATAGTCTTATGTTTTTGGGGTAAAGACATGTTGCACAATCAGCACGTGGCAATTGTTTTTTTTTACATTTTTCAAATTAACACGTGATTATCTTGAAGGCTCTAGATCTTTTTTATTGGATTCAGCAAGTTACAACAGCAACCAATGGAAATCATTACCACGTGGATCCGAAATTCTCTCTTTATCCGCCAAGGGTGGAGAGGAGGGGACTGGATCGTAATCCTTGGCTATCAAAGATGGTCAATAAGAAGTCTCTGTCCAAATTTCATAAAATTCCATTAAGGTTTGATAGTTGTTGATGTTTAAAAAACAGATATCGCAGACTAAACCTAAAACCTAAATAACACTATTCTGTATAACTTTGACATCTAGAAATAATAATGTTCTCTTGAAACTATTTTGAATATACAACCTTGACCTCTAGAAATAACAATGTTCTCTTGAAACTGTTCTGAATATATAACCTTGACATCTAGAAATAACAAAAAATAACAATGTTCTCCTTGAGTGACTCTGAGTAATATTAATGCTACTCTGATTATAATTTGACATCAGCAAAGAAAAACACTTCTCTCCAACCTTTTCTGAATAGTATCAAGGCTACTTGAATATACTTGACACATACATGTAGATAATACATGTTGTGAAGAATTATTCTGAATTTCCCCCTGACACCTAGAATATAACCTTGACACCTTGAATATCGTCTAAAATCCAGACCTTCTATGGCCCAACTTGCACAATTTCAAGTTATAAATACTTATATGAAAAGAAAGCAATATGAAGATCATGGAGAACCAATAATTTAAAAATTTGGACACCAGGATGTGTACGATTACATTTAAATCCTAGAACAAAAAGATTCTTCTCAAAAACAAAAAATAACTTTTTCTCAAATTTTTTTCTTATTCAAATTTTCATTTACCATAATCATGATAATAGGCTATGTATAATCCCTATAAGTACAAAACCTGCACATCCTTTTGGCCACAGAAATCACGAAAAAAAATGTATTCACTTGTGGAAAACTAACAGTGAAATTCCAGATATTTCAAGTTGTTTGTGATTGTTTGATGTATTTCCATGGAAAAACCGGTTTCTATTATCAAGTAGAAGTTGAAAATATTTGTAAATGATTCTAGAACACTTCACCAGTGTAAAATAAGCCAAAATAACAAACGTTTGTCATTAACCAGTAAAAGGTATAGAACATGTAAATTGCAATATATACAGTGAGTGTGTGTGGAAATTCCATGCTTAAAAGATATTACAAAAATTACCTAAGTGAAAAGTAGATATTAAACATACATGTCAGTTGCTGATAAAATAGTCAAGAAGCAGGCTTTGATGGACATTTTGCACTGTACCAAGTGTGAAACAGTGTAGTTTTGATTATGTTGGGTTTCAAGTGACAAATAAATACTAACCTTCACACAGAAACATATCCCACACACGTAACACACATCCCCATGGCAACGTTCTAGTAAATACACACATAAACCACTCAGTCATATACAATATTGGCTCCATTTTCTGCTTTTTCTGAAAAAAAATCGGCATTTGAACAAATGCATCTAACTTTGTAGAAAAATCCTTAATGTTAACAAATGTTATAATCAAGTACAAAATACCTGGCAACTGTATATTCTGCATGTTTCTGGTAACTGTAATACTTTATATTCCTGGTAACTGTATATCCTTTATATTCCTGGTAACTGTAATACTTTATATTCCTGGTAACTGTATATCCTTTATATTCCTGGTAACTGTATATCCTTTATATTCCTGGTAACTGTAATACTTTATATTCCTGGTAACTGTATATCCTTTATATTCCTGGTAACTGTATCTCCTTTATATTCCTGGTAACTGTAATACTTTATATTCCTGGTAACTGTATATCCTTTATATTCCTGGTAACTGTAATACTTTATATTCCTGGTAACTGTATATCCTTTATATTCCTGGTAACTGTATATCCTTTATATTCCTGGTAACTGTATATCCTTTATATTCCTGGTAACTGTATCTCCTTTATATTCCTGGTAACTGTATATCCTTTATATTCCTGGTAACTGTATCTCCTTTATATTCCTGGTAACTGTCATACTTTATATTCCTGGTAACTGTATCTCCTTTATATTCCTGGTAACTGTCATACTTTATATTCCTGGTAACTGTCATACTTTATATTCCTGGTAACTGTATATCCTTTATATTCCTGGTAACTGTATCTCCCTTATATTCCTGGTAACTGTCATTCTTTATATTCCTGGTAACTGTCATACTTTATATTCCTGGTAACTGTATCTCCTTTATATTCCTGGTAACTGTCATACTTTATATTCCTGGTAACTGTATCTCCTTTATATTCCTGGTAACTGTCATACTTTATATTCCTGGTAACTGTATCTCCTTTATATTCCTGGTAACTGTGTATCCTTTATATTCCTGGTAACTGTCATACTTTATATTCCTGGTAACTGTATCTCCTTCATATTCCTGGTAACTGTCATACTTTATATTCCTGGTAACTGTATCTCCCTTATATTCCTGGTAACTGTCATACTTTATATTCCTGGTAACTGTATCTCCTTTATATTCCTGGTAACTGTCATACTTTATATTCCTGGTAACTGTATCTCCTTTATATTCCTGGTAACTGTATATCCTTTATATTCCTGGTAACTGTCATACTTTATATTCCTGGTAACTGTATCTCCTTTATATTCCTGGTAACTGTCATACTTTATATTCCTGGTAACTGTATCTCCTTTATATTCCTGGTAACTGTATCTCCTTTATATTCCTGGTAACTGTCATACTTTATATTCCTGGTAACTGTATCTCCTTTATATTCCTGGTAACTGTATATCCTTTATATTCCTGGTAACTGTCATACTTTATATTCCTGGTAACTGTATCTCCTTTATATTCCTGGTAACTGTCATACTTTATATTCCTGGTAACTGTATCTCCTTTATATTGTGGGTAACTGTATCTCCCTTATATACCTGGTAACTGTATCTCCTTTATATTCCTGGTAACTGTCATACTTTATATACCTGGTAACTGTATCTCCTTTATATTCCTGGTAACTGTATCTCCTTTATATACCTGGTAACTGTATAACCTTCATATACCTGGTAACTGTATCTCCTTTTTAATCCTGGTAACTGTATATCCCTTATATTCCTGGTAACTGTATCTCCCTTATATACCTGGTAACTGTATCTCCTTTATATTCCTGGTAACTGTATCTCCTTTATATACCTGGTAACTGTATCTCCTTTATATTCCTGGTAACTGTAATACTTTATATTCCTGGTAACTGTATATCCCTTATATTCCTGGTAACTGTCATACTTTATATTCCTGGTAACTGTATCTCCCTTATATACCTGGTAACTGTATCTCCTTTATATTCCTGGTAACTGTATTTCCCTTATATTCCAGGTAACTGTATCTCCTTTATATACCTGGTAACTGTAAGGCTCCGTGTTGAAGACCGTACTGTGACCTATAATGGTTTACTTTTATAAATTTTGACTTGGAGAGTTGTCTTATTGGCACTCATACCACATCTTCTTATATCTATTGACTATTTCCTGTTGCTATAGTCACTTAACAGATGTTTGTGTATTGACTATTTCCTGTGTCCATGGTTACTGACCATATGTTTGTGTGTTGACTAGTTATGTTTCTATGGTTACTGACCATATGTTTGTGTATTGACTATTTCCTGTGTCCATGGTTACTGACCATATGTTTGTGTATTGACTATTTCCTTTGTCCATGGTTACTGACCATATGTTTGTGTATTGACTATTTCCTGTGTCCATGGTTACTGACCATATGTTTGTGTATTGACTATTTCCTTTGTCCATGGTTACTGACCATATGTTTGTGTATTGACTATTTCCTGTGTCCATGGTTACTGACCATATGTTTGTGTATTGACTATTTCCTGTGTCCATGGTTACTGACCATATGTTTGTGTATTGACTATTTCCTGTGTCCATGGTTACTGACCATATGTTTGTGTATTGACTATTTCCTGTGTTAGTGGTTACTGACCATATGTTTGTGTATTGACTATTTCCTGTGTCCATGGTTACTAACCATATGTTTGTGTGTTGACTAGTTATGTTTCTATGGTTACTGACCATATGTTTGTGTATTGACTATTTCCTGTGTCCATGGTTACTAACCATATGTTTGTGTGTTGACTAGTTATGTTTCTATGGTTACTTACTAGATGTTTGTGTATTGGAAGGGAAGTCTTCTTCAGTAAACCAAACAGAACATCTCCATCTACTTGTACAGCTTCCTGAAATGATAAACATGATTAAATTGGAAGTAATCTACGTGTACAGCCTCCTGAAATCATAAACATAATTAAAGTGGAAAGTAATCTACACTATTTAATATATATGTCAATATGGTCGAAGTACCTTGAGGGATAGTCCACCACTCATAGTATACATGTTTATCTCCATGAAGATTAAAACATCATCAAAGTTTAAGCATTAACACTAGCATACACGAATTAATATAGGTCTGTTCAAAACATGCTGTTTAAAATACTAGCAATTTCATTCAATTAAAATCATCAAAATAATTAATTTTGTTCATATTTTTCTAGTCAATTGATTTTCTAAAAGTTCAGTAAGCAGGGGGTATAGTAAAACATCAAAAATAATTCAGATAATAACACAAAATAATAGGTGCAAAATAGCATCATGTGGTTAAGATTCTGAGGATATGTCAATAAGTCCTAAAAAGAGGTTAAGGTGGAGTTGCTTATACAAAACAGGTACCACCCAAAAAAACCAACAGTGAAGTTTCATGACTTGCTAAAGGAAAACCCCAAAAATTATTTGGATAAATATGATGTAGGAGGCACTCAATAGCATTATAAGGTTAATATTCTGATTAGGTCTTAGAAGGAAAAGGGAATACAAACTCTGTCCAACAGCATTATAAGGTTAATATTCTGATAAGGGCTTAGAAGGAAAAGGGCATACAAACTATGTCCAATAGCATTATAAGGTTAATGTTCTGATTAGGGTTTAGAAGGAAAAGGGGATACAAACTCTGTTCCTTTGCTTTTTGTGTTTTTTGCAGTACATATACTGATTTTGTGCCATGGATGGATACCCCATGTCCTTTCTTTTCTATCTGGTTAGCAGATATGGCAAAGTCCATGTCATGTCAAAGAAAACCCAAAAATCATTCGGATAAAGAAAGGAAATATGTGCAAACAGATTGCTGATACAGAATTAGAAGGACAGAAGAACCAAATGACAATTGGATAGACAAACTCCCTAAACAACATCACCAGCTTCAGAAATATCATAAAATGGGGGTTATAATAAACAGCTTGGACAGACAGACACCCCAAGCTATATCGCCTGCTTCAGAAATATCATAAAATGGGGGTACATAATAAACAGCTTAGACAGACAGACACCCCAAGCTATATCGCCTGCTTCAGAAATATCATAAAGTGGGGATAATAATAAACAGCTTGGACAGACAGACACCCCAAGCTATATCGCCTGCTTCAGAAATATCATAAAGTGGGGGTAATAATAAACAGCTTGGACAGATTGACACCCCAAGCTATATCGCCTGCTTCTGAAATATCATAAAGTGGGGGTTATAATATACAGCTTGGACAGACAGACTCTCCAAACTATATCGCCTGCTTCAGAAATATCATAAAGTGGGTGTTATAATAAACAGCTTGGACAGACAGACACCCCAAGGTATATCACCTACTTCAGAAATATCATAAAGTGGGGGTTATAATAAACAGCTTGGACAGACAGACACCCCAAGCTATATCGCCAGCTTCAGAAATATCATACATAAAGTAGGGGTATAATAAAAAGCTTAGACAGACAGACTCTCCAAATGATATTGCTAATAAAGCTATATCGCCTGCTTCAAAAATATGATAAAATGGGGGTTATAATAAACACCTTTAATGACTTCACACATTTAAAATAAAGGAAGCTCTAAAGAGCAAGCTCACATACTCCATACCCTTAACATAGCTAAGTTGATTGTTGTTTGCTTAAACTCCAGTGGCAAACATTAATGCACTGTTCAAGATGAGAACAAATTAACAGTTAATAAAATAGGTAGGTCCTGTAATAGATGTAGACTGGGATGAAAGACAGGAAATTTATTTGCAATGCCACTGATAAATGTTAGTATATTAATTAGATGGGGACAGAAATTTAGCCCTTCTACAAAACTCCTCAAAGAGTTGTTGCAAGGGTAATTTAACATGCAGTGAACATTGCACTCTTACTTCAGACACCATTGGGGTTCATAATTAAGATGGATATCATTAAAAGTCCTCCTTCTAAAAAAAATGATACCACATTTGAGTTTAAATTGATTATTGAACTCATCTGAAGTTTGGATGAGGGAAAAACATTTAAAAGGATGAAGGTGCTATCCTGACGACAATAAGTAATATGGGATATTTTTGCTTAAGTGTTAAATCTTAAAAAGTGGTCTACCATTTCAAGCTTTTTCTGATTATCAATAGAAAAACAAAAGATATGGGGTATCCATCCATGACCTAAAATCAGTACATGCACAGCAAATAACACACAAAAAGCAAAGGAACAGCGCTTTTATTACTGTTCTTCATCTCAAAGTCACACTGAGGCCTTCAACACGAAGCAAAAAAAACCAAACTCATTTCAGGTTTTATAGAGTGGAAACATTCATTCAATTTCAAGAGGATCTGATTTAAAATGAAGGCACTATCCCAGCAACAAGAATTAATATAGGACATTTTTACAAATCCGCCTTTCACAATTTTATTTTTTTTTATTTCAGATATTGTTACCATATAACCCATTCACAGCTTTGATGCATGGAAACTTTCATCCGAATTTAAAGTGGATCCAACAAAATATGAAAGGGATATTTTGGCATCAACAGAGTAATAATGGACAGACAAGCAGGTAGACATTTCAGATGTTGGCCTCCCCTTTAAAGGAGAGTTAGCCAATCATCACTTTACCAAATGTACTTCTGCAATATGTGTAAACTTGATGAAATTCAGAGTAGTTTAATGACTGAAGGAAGGAAAATTCAAACCTAGAAATATAGGGCTGTTGTGGGGAATTCAGACCTAGAAATATAGAGCTGTTGTCAGGAATTCAGACCTAGAAATATGGGGCGGTTGTCGGGAATTCAGACCTAGAAATATAGGGCTGTTGTCGGGAATTCAGACCTAGAAATATAGGGCTGTTGTCGGGAATTCAGACCTAGAAAAATGGGGCTGTTGTTGGGAATTCAGACCGCGAAATATAGGGCTGTTGTCGGGAATCCAAACTTGGAAATATAGGGCTGTTGTCGGGAATTCAGACCTAGAAATATAGGGCTGTTGTCTGGAATTCAGATCTAAAAATATAGGGCTGTTGTCTGGAATTCAGATCGGGAAATATAAGGCTGTTGTCAGGAATTCAGACCTAGAAATATAGGGCTGTTGTCGGGAATTCAGACCTACAAATATAGGGCTGTTGTCGGGAATTTAGACCTTGAAATATAGGGCTTATGTATTATGACATTACACTTATATAGCAATGGCTATAGGTTGAATAAACACGATCTATACACATCGTATTTATCTACTTTACCCAACAGCTGTCAATAAAAATAAGCATTTTAGGTGGGTTGGGCTGAGCTTTTTTATACTGACACACGTAAGTCAAGGAAGTGAGAAGTCCAGAAAGGTTCCAAATATAAAGAAATACATCTACTTTACATGTTTCAAGAATATGAGGGCAATGAACTGATTATTTCCAGTTTGAAGACCAAATTCAGCCAAAAATTGTGAAAAATTAGAATTTCTGTAATTTTTCTACTTACATGAGCAGAACAATGGGTGTCACATGTGGAGCAAGATCTGCTTACCCTTCCAGAGTACCTGAGATCACCCCGTTTTTGGTGGGGTTCCTGTTGCCCAGTCTTTAGTTTTCTCTGTTGTGTTTTGCACACTGTTGTTTGTCTTTGGTGGTTTTTCTTTTTTTGCCACAGTGTTTCAATTTGTTTTTTTGACTTGTGAGTCCGACTGTCCCTTTGTTATCTTTTGCCTCTTTTTTTTGAACAAAATATACTTTCAAAGACTTCTGTAGCAAGGAGTGTTTACCTCCAATGGTACCACTGTGGATTTTAAATTGCTTCCAAAGGACCACTGTTTGGCAGGACAGAGAGAACTGTACCTTCAAGCATTCCATCAACATGAGGGTTAAGAAATAGGTCACAAAAATTATAGAATGTTAGAAGACAAGGCTTTATACTACTCTATATCTAGACATATATACCTACCAAACCAGAAGTTAGGGGACAACAAGGCTTTATACCACTCTATATCTAGACATATATACCCACCAAACCAGAAGTTAGGGGACAACAAGGCTTTATACCACTCTATATCTAGAAATATATACCTACCAAACCAGAAGTTAGGGGACAACAAGGCTTTATACCACTCTATATCTAGACATATATACCTACCAAACCAGAAGTTAGGGGACAACAAGGCTTTATTCCACTCTATATCTAGAAATATATACCTACCAAACCAGAAGTTAGGGGACAACAAGGCTTTATACCACTCTATATCTAGACATATATACCTACCAAACCAGAAGTTAGGGGACAACAAGGCTTTATACCACTCTATATCTAGAAATATATACCTACCAAACCAGAAGTTAGGGGACAACAAGGCTTTATACCACTCTATATATATCTAGACATATATACCTACCAAACCAGAAGTTAGGGGACAACAAGGCTTTATACCACTCTATATCTAGAAATATATACCTACCAAATCAGAAGTTAGGGGACAACAAGGCTTTATACCACTCTATATCTAGACATATATACCTACCAAACCAGAAGTTAGGGGACAACAAGGCTTTATACTTCTCTAGACATATATCATGTATACCTACCAAACCAGGGCTATAATAACCAGGAAGATACTTCTCACAAATAGATACTAGGCACCAGAAAGCTTGCTCAGCTGGCATATGCATCAGTAAGATGGCTGCTATTGGCCCCTGAGCTTGGCAGTACCCATCATGTGGATTGTGTATTGTGTAAGCTTTCAAGATGTAGAATAAATCTTCTTGGCTGAAATAAAACATGGAGAGTTGTCTCATTGGCACTCATACTACATCTTCTTATATCTAAATAAATTGCTTCGCCGAGCGCAGCTGGATACGACTGCAGAGGTCCAACCCTGAACAGTTGGGGCAAAAATGGACACAATATTCGCGTTTGATACAGTTCTGAATTTGGATTGTAATTCAATATTTGACTAATACTGTAAACCAGGAAATTTTCGCGGCAGTTTTATTTTCGCTATTTTCCCGGTAAGAATTGAAACGCGAAAATAAAACGATCGCGAAAATTTCATGGAAACTCTATTCATATGATGAAAACCATTCATGTACATATATGAATCGGATATGTATTGGACCACTGTATAACACCCGAGTTTGAATACGACAGATCTATTCCTCAAATCATAAATATATTTCCAAATGAAAAGCAATGATAGAAATCCTGACTTTTACTCAAGTTAATCTTTTAAAACATGGAAGACATCCAAAGCAATCGGACAATACGGATATTGTTTTGTTAACAACACTCGCTACAGATATGTAAATGACACCTGTCAATCAGTTCTAAAATCATTACCTCATTGTATCTGCTACACAGATTAATCAGATTAAAAGTTCGATTATTTAGCATTAATCCTGACAGCATTTAATTCACTCTTAATTATGTCTTCTTTACTGTTTATTGTGTGTGTGTTTTTAAAGGCAAACATGACACAACTTTTAATCTCCTTTAACATTAATGAACCGAAAACAAAAGATTTCTGATTGATTTTATCACTTGATTTACGATACATGTAAAGTAGACTTGCTACATGTCTCTTCCTAATTTTCTTTCAATTTTACCCCTTTAATAATTTTACGGCATTAACTAATAGATTTCAATTATACTGACACCTGCTTTTCTCCGAGGGCAATCAGTATACTGGCAGTTTTCAGTAAACATATAAATTAGTAAAAAAGAAATAAAAGAAAGGAAATTGAAGCAAGTCTACATGTAAAGCTGTTCACTTTCAGAAGCATTTATGAAAATATTTATATAGGCCACTGGGATATCGCCAATTCAAAACGGCGCGAAATTAGATTTTGTTAATAAATCGCGAAATAAAGACGGCGTGAAAATTTCCCGGTTTACAGTAATAGGTTTCTGAGACAGAATAACTGCAGTCAAAGAACTTAGAATTGGTTATATGATTTGAATCTATATTCAATTTTTTGCTTTTGAGCAAAACACTTTGCTGTTGCGAATTGACCCCCCCCCCCCCCCCCTTTTTTTGAAGGATTTTCTTTTTGATTTCTGAAATCTTGAGGAGAAAAAATTGTCCCCCCAAACCCCCCACCACCAATTTTTTTTTTACCCCCCCCCCCCCCCCCCCCCCCCCCCGCCCCCTTTTTCCCAAAGAAAATTCAATTCAAATTTCCATTGGAGTTTGCAACCATAATTACCCATTTAAATACATCATAAAAGTCTTAAAATAGAAAATGACATACATAATCATAGCTAAAATTAATTTACTTTAAATTATCAAAATAGTAACTTCTGAAAATGAATTGACAGCTAATCACATCAAGACAATACACAAATTCTTTATACATAATTTAAAAGCAGTGTAAGGGAGGTAATTCAAAGTTGTGTTTGAATTACCTCCCTTACACTGTAATTTGTACTTAAGTAATTGTCCATTAATCAGGACACCCTTGTTTTTTCTCACTTTTTAGCCCCTAATTCCTAAACGGTTTGAGCCATAACCCCCCAAAGCCAATCCTAACCATCCCTTTGTGGTATGTAAACTTGTGGTATAATTTCAGAGAGATCCATACACTGTTCCACAAGTTATTGTCATGAAACTAGAAAAATGCTTATTTGGGCCCCTTTTTGGCCCCTAATTCCTAAACTGTTGGGACCATAACCCCCGAAATCAATCCCAACCATCCTTTTGTGGTTATAAACCTTATGTTTAAATTTCATAGATTTCTATTAACTAATACTAAAGTTATTGTCCGGAAACCAAATGTCTTCGGACGACGACAACTTGATACCAATATAGGACCGCAATCGGCGGTTGTATAAAAACTATAAATCCTGTTGGCTGAAGTAAAACATAAATAAAACTATAAATCCTGTTGGCTGAAATAAAACATAAATAAAACTATAAATCCTGTTGGCTGAAGTAAAACATAAATAAAACTATAAATCCTGTTGGCTGAAATAAAACATAAATAAAACTATAAATCCTGTTGGCTGAAATAAAACATAAATAAAACTATAAATCCTGTTGGCTGAAATAAAACATAAATAAAACTATAAATCCTTTTGGCTGAAATAAATACAAGAGTGAAAATGTCATACAGTGTTCCAGCTAGGATTTCAAAAGGGTAGGGTGCCAATCCTGAAAAAGGGCATTTAACGTGTGATATGATAATATGAAAAGGGCATGTTTTAATAAAGATTATAATCAAACATTGTTTGTTCATTGAATCACTGGTTATAAATATACAAGAACAACATCATTAGCCCAGAGAAAAACTATCTTTCTACTTTTTAGGCTGAAAACTTATCAAGCAGCTTGTGACACAAGTTTTAAATCATTGCTTGGCACAGTCAAGCTTTATATGCAGTATTTTTTGAAAAATGTCCTGCTTCATTCTGTTTCTATGGTCTGACACACTTTACAAGTTTCACCTTTTTACCTTTTCTGTGCTTAATGGCAATACAGCACAAAACAGCTGTAAATGCACAATGTTAGGATATAGTGAACAGAGAAAATTTGGATTGAAAATAAAAAATACAGGAAAAGATGACCAAGGCACACTACCAACCCTGCTACTAAGACCCTCTTTAACTTTTCCCATAACTCAAAACACCTAAACATATAAATTCTAAAGCCAGAAGTATGAAGACATATTTTATAATATCTTAGTAGGTTACTCAATGCTAGGAAAAAATAAGATTGAGTTATCTTTCTTTATTTGGGTGTGCTCCTTCTTTGGAGGATAATAAACAGTACGTAGAAGATGTAAATACGATCAACAATATGGCGGCCGATTTTGTTATTTTCGTATAAAAAATGAAGGCAGTCAATGAAAAATACGTCTTAATTTGCTATTTATTTCACGGAAAACAATAAGAGCAATGTTTTTAACGAGTTGATTATGGTTTTCGACTTTCTGTCAATTACGTTTTCTCCATGAAACTACGGTAAACATTGCTAATTGTGCCCAAGTTGTATGAACATTTTTTCAAGTTCAAAGAACAAATGCCGACTGACCGATTCTATTTGAATGAATTAATGTTGATGATCATTATTATAAAATGACCCATCAAATAAACGGATTACCTATAACAACAGATTATGACACCTGTTGTAACCGTTGATTAGCTTGGGGTCGTAAACAAAGTTATATACTTGTCGCCAGGTAAATTTTCGTAATTAGCTGATCATATCAATATGAACAAAATAATATACCAATCGATCTTCAAAAAAGGCAGGGCGCCCTGCAAACTGTAAAAAGGGCACAGGGCGGCACTCGGGAAAGGGCGGGCGGACCACCCTGTGAAAACGACCTAGCTGGAACACTGTCATATAAAGACTACCAGACAGAAATGTACATCTAACCATCTTTCTATTTATAGTTTTATACCTATTGCTTATAGTATATAAGAAACAGACTTAACCAGGAAAACCAAACATTGACCAATGAACCAAGAAAATGAGGTCAAAGTCAGATGAACCCTGCCAGACAGACATGTCCACCTTACAATCATTCCATACACCAAATATCGATCTACTGCTTATAGTAATTGAAAAACAGATCAAAACACAAAATCGTAACAATGACAAATTTCAATGAACCATGAAAATGGGGTCAAGGTCAGACAGACATGTCCACCTTACAATAATTCCATACACCAAATATAGTTGACCCACTGCTTATAGTAATTGAAAAACAGACCAAAACACAAAATCGTAAAATATTCACAAATTTCAATGAACCATGAAAATGAGGTCAAGGCTAGACAGACATGTCCACCTTACAATCATTCCATACACCAAATAAAGTTGACCTACTGCTTATAGTATTTGAAAAACAGACCAAAACACAAAATCGTAACATTGACCAAAGAAACACGAAAACGAGGTCAAGGACAGATGATACCTACCAGACAGACATGTATACCTTTCAATCATTCCATACAACAAATTTAGTTGACCTACTGCTTATAGTATTTGATTTAAAGTGCTTGTGAGCACTGAAGGGTAACGATTGCTTTTATTTTGTAATTTTGTGAGTTTAAAATACAACAATGAACTGTACTTAGCTAGGCAAAATTATAAATTTGGAGGTATCTTCCTTTGGTAATGATTGTACATTTGAAGGTGAACCTATTTATATCACAGATTCATACACTATGCATTACTTATGTAAATTTTAATAAAGAAAATTCTTCTTGACAAGTATGGTAATTCAAATCCACATCATATTGACTGGAATGACCACTTCACTGTACTATTTTGTTTGGACTATGAAAGGTCGTGAAAAAACTTGGAAGATTTAGATATCAAGTCAGTACCATAGGGTTTTGATTGCATTTCATGCAATCTTTACCCAAAAACAGACCAATTAACAAAACATTAACACTGATCAATGAACCATGAAAATGAGATCAAGGTAAGATGAAACCTGCAAGACTGACATGTACCCCTTACAATCATTCCATACACCAAATATACAAACTACTTATAGTATCTGAGAAATGAACCTAATCACTTATCACTGATTCATGAAATGACGTTGAGGTCAGGTGAAGCCTGTCTGGAGGACATAAAAACCTTGAAGGAACATGTATACCAAATATAGATATCCTATTATAATAAGTGAGGAACTCTCATGACAAAAAAACTACACATTTTTTTAAGCAGTCAAACATGAAAACAAGTATACCAAATATACAAACTACTTATAGTATCTGAGAAATGAACCTAATCACTTATAATGACAATGAACCTATGACAAAAGAATCAAAAATGTTTGATGTTACAAAATTTTTGGTTTTGCTGACAGCCATTTATACTATTTTCAAGCCTCCTCTGGCAGTAAACAATTGCCAGTTACATTATTTGGATCAAAGGTTAGGTTTTATACTCATAATCTCCTTCAGCAGTAAATAATTGCCAGTTACATTTTTATTGGGTCAAAGGTTAATTTACATACCCATAATCTGCTCTGGAAGTAAACGCATTAGGAGATGGGATTGTCAGAGTTTCATTGTTACTAGGGTCAAAGGTTACATAACATACCCATAACCTGCTCTGGAAGTAAACGCATTATGAGCTGGGATTGTCAGTTTCATTGTTACTAGGGTCAAAGGTTATGTTACATACCCATGTCCTCCTCGAGCAGTAAACATTTCATGAGCTGGGAATTGTCTGTGTAAATCTTTTTTGATATCATCTTCCCACTGAGGTTTAATAGGTCTTTTCAAATACTCCTGTAAAATATTACAACATTAAGATGAAACTTTGTCTGTCAGTATGATCATGTAATTGCATTTAGTTAAGATGCTTTTTCACTTTTCACAAAATATCATTTGTGTTTGCTAGCAATGTCCCAACCAATTCATCATGAACACTAGAAGCTCTTATCATGTTTCAAACTAATTAGCACTTGTATCAAGTTTCAAACTAACTTGTACTGGTATCAAGCTTCACACTAACTTGTACTGGTATCAAGCTTCAAACTAACTTGTACTGGTATCAAGCTTCAAACTAACTTGTACTGGTATCAAGCTTCAAACTAACTTGTACTGGTATCAAATTTCAATCTAACTTGTACTGGTATCATGCTTCAAACTAACTTGTACTGGTATCAAGCTTCAAACTAACTTGTACTGGTATCAAGCTTCAAACTAACTTGTACTGGTATAAAATTTCAATCTAACTTGTACTGGTATCAAGCTTCAATCTAACTTGTACTGGTCCAAATTTCAATCTAACTTGTACTAGTATCAAATTTCAATCTAACTTGTACTGGTTTCAAATTTCAATCTAACTTGTACTGGTTTCAAATTTCAATCTAACTTGTACTGGTATCAAGCTTCAAACTAACTTGTACTGGTATCAAGCTTCCATCTAACTTGTACTGGTATCAAGCTTCAATCTAACTTGTACTGGTATCAAGCTTCAATCTAACTTGTACTGGTATCAAGCTTCAAACAAACTTGTACTGGTATCAAGCTTCAAACTAACTTGTACTGGTATCAAGCTTCAAACTAACTTGTACTGGTATCAAGCTTCAAACTAACTTGTACTGGTATCAAGCTTCAAACTAACTTGTTCTGGTATCAAGCTTCAATCTAACTTGTACTGGTATCAAAATTTCAATCTAACTTGTACTGGTATCTAGCTTCAAACTAACTTGTACTGGTATCAAGCTTCAAACTAACTTTTACTGGTATTAAGCTTCAATCTAACTTGTAATGGTATCAAGCTTCAAACTAACTTGTACTGGAATCAAGCTTCAAACTAACTTGTACTGGTATCAAGCTTCAATCTAACTTGTACTGGTATCAAGTTTCAATCTAACTTGTACTGGTATCAAGCTTCAAACTAATTCGAAACACTTGTATCATTGCTGGCTAAACAAGTAGCATGCATAGCAGCTGCGACACTGTCTTCAATAGAAGCTGAGAAACTCATTCAAATTATCCTTATTGGTATAACAGTTATCAAGATTTAAGCTTTTTGAAATTCATTATATACATTTTCTACAAAGTGTACAAGAATGAGAGAAATTCCATTAGAGATAATTAAATTTATATATGCAGAAATTCTCTGATTTGTGTATGTCAAATATCAACATTGTAGTCATAGTAAAATATCTAGGTCAATCATGGCTTGGTCTATTCTGTTCAACAGGTATGCTTATAATTCAAGGGGTAAATGTATTAAATATTCTAGGGGCTGTATTGACTGAAGTAGTTGTTTTGCTCTGGTAATTTCCAGGTATCAGGTGTAATTGTCCTGGACGTTGGCCACAGTTTCCTCTTAAACAGAAACGCACCAAAATGTAAATTATAAGTCCAAAAGTCTCTTTGATGAAAAGAAACTTAACAAATTAAATGTGGATGGGACAAAAAATGAAATTGCTATCCTGTTGGCAACAATTATTATTTCCATGGAATATTGTGAAAGTTGAAGGCATCCCTTCAACATTTTTATGGATAAAGTTGAGTAAGTTGATCTGTGTCACAGATGACAATGGATATTTTCCAATTGTCATAACATAAATCTTATACGCTTTTCCTTGATAGTGACATCTCTAAATGAGACTTATCATCAAATGTTCTATATTCTGTATTTAATCACCCATAATTCTCTCATCTTCAATTTTTTTTGCCCATTTTCTCTATTCTTGTTTTCAATTTTCAAACATTTTCCATATTCTGTAGCATATACAAACCATAATGTTTTAAAGTATTCGTGCAATAACTACCTTAGTCCTATTATGTTAACCTGCTACTAAAGAAAGGTTGGTTTTCTTATTATGCACAAGTGACTAAAGCCCTCAAAATCCTAGCTTAAATCCTGTTTAATCTTCAACCTTTGAACTCAGGTGACTAGCTGTCTCATTGGCAATCTGACCACATCTCCTTGTTATATATATGAGCAACATGACTGGTGGTATATGTGGAGCAGGATCGGCTTACCTTCTGACACACCTGATATCACCCCATACTTTTAGTACATGGTTTTTATTGCTCAGTCTTTAGTTTTCTATGTAGAGTTTTGTATCACCCCATACTTTTAGTACATGGTTTTTATTGTTCAGTCTTTAGTTTTCTATGTAGGGTTTTGTATCACCCCATACTTTTAATACATGGTTTTTATTGCTCAGTCTTTTGTTTTCTGTGTAGGGTTTTGTATCACCCCATACTTTTAGTACATGGTTTTTATTGCTCAGTCTTTAGTTTTCTATGTAGGGTTTTGTATCACCCCATACTTTTAGTACATGGTTTTTATTGCTCAGTCTTTAGTTTTCTATGTAGGGTTTTGTATCACCCCATACTTTTAGTACATGGTTTTTATTGCTCAGTCTTTAGTTTTCTATGTAGAGTTTTGTATCACCCCATACTTTTAGTACATGGTTTTTATTGCTCAGTCTTTAGTTTTCTATGTAGGGTTTTGTATCACCCCATACTTTTAGTACATGGTTTTTATTGCTCAGTCTTTAGTTTTCTATGTAGGGTTTTGTATCACCCCATACTTTTAGTACATGGTTTTTATTGTTCAGTCTTTAATTTTCTATGTAGGGTTTTGTTGACAGTCTTTTCATCATATTTAAATGTTGCCATGGCGTTGTGAGTTTCTCTTTGATGTATTTTCCTTTGGTATCTGTTTTCCGCTTTTATTACAAGTCCCCCTACATAAAAAAAAATGGCCCATTTTTTATTTTTCTAATTATCTAACTGATCTTTGGTTTTGATTAGTGGAAACTTTTATCCAAATCTAAAGATCAGACAAAAAATGTAGGTGCTATCTTAGCGAAAACAAAGAGATGAAAGATGGATGTGGTAAAAAACATAATACATGCTAAATAGGATATTACACAGTTATGTGAAAGTATCTTCCTTCCTACAACTTGCACAATTATCTTCTTCAAGTAAAATTTTTGTTTGAACTCTTTTTCAAAATATGAAAATTTTACATAGTGAAAATTAAAATTGACATTTTTTGTAATAGTGGAGGCAAAGTTTGGAGGTGATTTGGGTCATCAACCATAATTCTTAAATGGGATTTCTACAAGTTCTAAGGCATTAATATTTCCTAAAAGTTGGAGAACAATTGGTCTCATCCTGGATTTCAGAATTTTTTAATTGAGTTTGGGTTGTCCAATTTTTCGAAAAAATTCTCAGGAGATAGAAATTGACATATTGAACATTTTTAAATCGCCAGTTTTGCCCATACTGCTTTAGTTTTGAGATATAAGCCAAAAACTGTATTTTAACCCATTGTTTTATTCTTAGTAACAGCGGCAGTTATGTTTGTTGATGGAAGAGATCACCAGATACAATTTTTAAACATGATGCCCTAAGGAACATCCAGGTGAGTTTAAATTCCCTAAGGAACATCCAGGTGAGTTAAAAAAATAACAGACAGCTTTGTCATTCAATAATATAACCTTTCAAGAATGTATCCTGGCCTTAAATGCCGAGCGGCATGAAGAGGATAGGTGAGGTGAGGTGATAACCTTTCAAGAATGTATCCTGGCCTAAAATGCCTAGCGGCATGAAGAGGATAGGTGAGGTGAGGTGATAACCTTTCAAGAATGTATCCTGGCCTTAAATGCCGAGCGGCATGATGAGGATAGGTGAGGTGAGGTGATAACCTTTCAAGAATGTATCCTGGCCTTAAATGCCGAGCGGCATGATGAGGATAGGTGAGGTGAGGTGATAACCTTTCAAGAATGTATCCTGGCCTTAAATGCCGAGCGGCATGATGAGGATAGGTGAGGTGAGGTGATAACCTTTCAAGAATGTATCCTGGCCTTAAATGCCGAGCGGCATGATGAGGATAGGTGAGGTGAGGTGATAACCTTTCAAGAATGTATCCTGGCCTTAAATGCCGAGCGGCATGATGAGGATAGGTGAGGTGAGGTGATACTTCTTTTGTCTTCTGTTCCCATTCGTGTCCTGAAACAAGACCAGATTTTCGTGCATGTGGTATTCTTGCAAATTTGGCATATACATCTTCCTATGCAAATATTTAAAATATAATAAGGGTGTACGCCTTTACCTGATATATTTCTGTATCTTGTTCCAATAAGAAGTAACTACCACATAAATACTGCCATGTGCTTGATCTCAGGGAGGGGGAAATACCTTTACCTGATATCTTCCTGCATTCTGTTCCATTAGGAATTTACTACCACATATATAAATACTGCCATGCCCTTGACCTCAAGGATGGGGAAATACCTTTACCTGATATCATCCTGCATTCTGTTCCATTAGGAATTTACTACAACATAAATACTGCCATGCCTTGACCTCAGGGATGGGTAAATACCTTTACCTGATATCTTCCTGCATTCTGTTCCATTAGGAATTTACTACAACATAAATACTGTCATGCCCTTGACCTCAGGGAGGGTGGAATACCTTTACCTGATATCTTCCTGCATTCTGTTCCATTAGGAACTTACTACCACATAAAAACTGCAATGCCCTTGACCTCAGTGAGGGGGGAATACCTTTACCTAATATCTTCCTGCATTCTGTGCCATTCGGAACTTACTACCACATAAATACTGCCATGCCCTTGACCTCAGGGAGGGAGGAATACCTTTACCTGATATCTTCCTGCATTCTGTTCCATTAGGAGTTTACTACCACATAAATACTGCCATGCCCTTGACCTCAGGGAGGGGGAATACCTTTACCTGATATCTTCCTGCATTCTGTTCCATTAGGAACTTACTACAACATAAATACTGCCATGCCCTTGACCTCAGGGAGGGGGGAATACCTTTACCTGATATCTTCCTGCATTCTGTTCCATTAGGAACTTACTACCACATAAATACTGCCATGCCCTTGACCTCAGGGAGGGGGGAATACCTTTACCTGATATCTTCCTGCATTCTGTTCCATTAGGAACTTACTACCACATAAATACTGCCATGCCCTTGACCTCAGGGAGGGAGGAATACCTTTACGACATCTTTCTCTAATCTAAAAAATAAATAAACATCCCACTAAAAACACATTATTGCATTATATTGTAACAGACATGACAAGGAAAATATTTATTCCAGTTGCATTAGTAATTCCTTTATATATTTTTCAACACCAATTTAGAGTTACACATATTTTACATGTACATTTGTTATAAACAACTGTCTATTGTTGAAGGCTTCATGTTGCCCTTTATGTCTCTTTTGGTTATTTAAGCATGAGAAAGAAATGTCTTAAATCTGGCAGTTGTCAGTTTTTTAATTTTTAGAAAAAATACTTTTAGAACAAATAATACTTTCATGAATTAATAGTTTGCAAAACATCTCATGTAACTAAGATATTTAATTTAGAAATCCCTGTATGTAATGTTGACAAATATAATTTTTGTGTATGTGCTTGAACGGTTGAAACTCCATGTAAATGAGGTAGGTTGGATTTATATCAGCTGATATCTACCTGTAAAAAAAGGCCTCAGGGAAGATTATTTTTATAGCTAACTGTGTAACCCTCTTTAAATAAAGAATTATAATATTATTATTATTATTATTAAAATTTCACTGGTAAACATCAGAAGAATATGTTGATAGGCTATCAATAAGACTAGTTTAAGAAATAAGGGGAAAAAATGTCAACATTTCATACTGAAAATTTAGTAACCAATCTGATTTTTACAAAAAAAAAGATAGACTTTTGAGAAAATAAATTACTTTCAGAAACTGTCATGACTATTGTAATGACTATCTTTTAAGGTTATTACATAATGGGCATCTTCTCTTTTATTATTTTTTTTTGCTAATGTCACTCTTCTAGTACTATTCGTGAATTTCTACACATATACCATTGTATACAGAATTCTTTTGTTTGACTTGTAAATGATTCTAGTCCCAACCTCTTTATTAAATCAAGTGGTAAATGATTCTATAGTCCCAACCTCTTTATTAAATCAAGTGGTAAATGATTATATACCTCTTTAAATGTTTGTAAATGATTATATCTATATAGTATACATTTGTTTTACCTTTTTAAATCTTTTACTCATACATTTTTCCCAATTTTCAAACATTTCAAGCCATTTCATCTCTCTTTTTCTTAATTTCTCAAATGAAATCCTGTGTTCTCTGAAAACAGACATTACAACCATTCATAATATTTACATATATATATATATATTTACATATATAGTTTAAACAAATTTCATTTCTCAGAGTAAATCATACTTTCAAAGTCCCCCTGAATGTAGTACCGTGTTATACATGTTTTATAACAAATAAAATCATGAAAATGTTTATACCAGCATGCAATATTTATAAAGTACAATACTGTACGAGCATGATGAGTCTGTTTTTAGCTAGTGAAAAAGATTACGATTACAAAAATAATTGCTGTAAAATTGGTAATGATGATAATGTGAATGTAATGCTAATACACTATTCAGTATTTTGACAAGAAATCTCTCAGACTTTTTAATAAGTTTAAATACATTTTTGACACTGATAATCTGTACATCATATAAAAGATCAGCTATATGTATGGCAGTTTTATTTGAACTGGTTAAAATAAGGAGATGCTGTAACGTATGATTGCTGGTGAGACAACGACCACCGAAGATCAAAAGATGTAAAGTTCCTGTTACATCTTTAAATAAAATGCTCTGTAGGGCGCAGCTTGATACAACTGCAGAGGTTGAACCCTAAACAGGACACTACAATCAAGCTTGATACAGCTCTCAGTTTGGATTGTGATTAAATATTTGACACATCTTAGGTTTCTGACACAGAATAATTGTTGTCAAAGAACTGAAAAATTTTAAATTGGACATTTACCTGTTATGGTCCAATATCCAAAATCTAAATAAACGGTTAGATTCAGCATATCATCGAACCCCAAAAATTATTTTTTCTATTAAATCAAACAAAGTTTTATTCGGACCCTCGGACCTCAATGTCAGTCAGGGGTAATACTTGTACACGTAATTTTTATTTACTTGAAGAAGTAATTATAATATACTTATATAAGTAAATTTGTAGGATACTTATAATACAAGTGTATTTTATTGACTTGTATAGGTAAAAACAAAATTGGCTTAGTTATGTCCCTTAGACATTCAGATTATTTTACTTATATAATTGAAAAAGACATCCTATCTTCTTTTCTTGAATTCTTAGGACTTCTTTGCTCTAACAGAATATTAAATTGTCTGTCCTTTGCAGATGTCTTAACTAATCATTTAAGTGTAATTTCATGGACAACGAAAATCTCATTTGTCTGTTATCTTCAGAACACTGCTCATTTACAAGCCCCCAAGGAGCAATTTTTGAAGGCCTTGTGCAAATACTTAAGATCTTTGCACAATCAGTTTCTTTGTTGAATTAATGAGATGAAACATTGAACTCTAATAAAAAATTATGAGCTAACCTGGGAAAAATCATTAAAGGCATGTTTTTACATCTCAAAACTTGAGAATTTTTGAGGGATTGTAAAAAAAATTTACTTATACAAGTGAATTTTTGAGAAAATTAAGGGGAGATTATTCAAACATTATAATTAACTTATATAAGTATATTTTTTTTACTTCTTCAGGTAAATAAAGATTACTTGTACAAGTAGTACCCCTGACTGAATGTGGACCAATTTGATAACAGGGCCCTAAATCCAAAATCCAAATACAAGGTTAGATTCAGCATATTCGAGAACCCCATATTTTCAATTTTTGTTGAAATCAAACAAAGTTTAATTTTGGACCCGATTTGGACCAACTTAAAAACTGGTCCCTAAATCGAAAATCTAAATACATGCTTAGATTCAGCATATCAAACAACCCCTTGAATTCAATTTCTGTTAAAATCAAACTAAGTTTAATTTTGGACCCTTGGAACTTTAATGTAGACCAATTTGAAAACATGTCCCAAAATCAAAATTCTATATACACAGTTGGATTCAGCATATCAAAGAACCCCATGAATTCAATTTTGTTTTAAAATCAAACAAAGTTTAATTTGGACCCTTTGGACCCTAATGTGGACCAATTTGAAAATGGGCCCCAAAATTTAAAATATAAATACATGGTTAGATTTTTTGGGTTAATTACTCATCAGACAAACTGAGACAATGTTTTCTTTTGGTCTGCTTAGTTATCAGACAATCTGACATGATTAATGTTTTATTTTGGGTTACTTACTCATCAAACTAACCTCAGCAAAGTTTTGGATAACTTACTCCTTTGACAAATTTACACGAGCAATTTTTTGCATTAGACCTAAATAAAAAATATGTTTGTTTGCTGTTCACTGGCAGACACCAACCATATGAGACCCTCATGGGTAGTTATTAAGGTTGTTAAACAACCCCTAGAAGTAGAAGTACTGTCCGACTGAAATTGTTTTATTTCCCTCTTGAATGATTTTTTTTGTGTTAAATTTTCTGTTTTTACCAAGTTGATGAAATAGCAGTTTTTCATATATAAAATAAAATAATTTAAGAACAAGCATTCTGGGAGTATTGCATGGCAATACATAGTCCCCTACTGGTTAAAAATTAATTGTACTGGAACAAAATGCTAACTTGATCTATAACTTGTCATGGTGTAAACTATATAACAAATATCAAGTCAATATCTTCAAGCATGATGAAAAAAAAGTGTGGAAAACTGAATATTTAAGCGAAGGACCATAACTCTGCACAAAAATATCAGACCGGAACAAAATTCGAACTTTACTTTCACTTCCAGCACTTGTTTCTTGAGCGTTAAGATTATGATTTTAGCTAAAATAATTTTGTAACTTCATTGAAATTGCCTTAAGTTGACATTTGATCCATTTTTGATCCATTTTTTTTGCATTAAAAGTGTCATGCTCCTTTCCAAATCGCTTGTAAAAGATTGGTTATTTTTTTAAGTTTTCCTTGTCCCCCATTGAAAAAAGCTATTCTAACCATGGATCAGTGGCCGACCAAATATAACAGAAATCCATATTCTTACAATAATGACTTCAGACTCACAAATAGAACAGCTGACAGAAGAACTATGATCCCAAAAGTGAAAAACATGCGTTCAGCGCACATTAATCTATATTTGTTTAGATCCCTAAAGTTACATGTATATATTTTAATGCAAATGCTTTGTTTCAATTCATTGACTTAACAATGTTTACCATGTTTAAGTTGCATATAAATTTGTTAAATCGAAAAATAATTTTATGAGAAACAATGATTATATCATAAACAATTAACACAGAGATATATTTTGCCTTTTTGTAATTTTGATAATGCAAATGTTGAAATTAAAATAGCAATACTTTAACAAGTAAGTTATAAATGCAAATATTCAAAGTCAATGAACCATGACTGAAGGTACATGTTTATGGCTAAACAATCTCCATGGAAATGAGATGTGCCAATGCTAATACAACTGCATACCATATTAATGCATATGTTGTTTCCTTTAAACAAACCTAAACACAAACATTAACTGACATGAGCAATATTTGTGTTACTTACTCATCAGACAACTAACCCAAGTAATATTTGTGTAACTTACTTATCAGATGAATACATGACAACTCAGACCAAAGACAAGTCGGACCAAGACAACTCGGACCAGTTTGAAAGACAATTCGGACCGCTTATGAAAGCAACGCAGACATGTTTGAAAGACTTCTCTGACCACTTTTTTGTATTTTTATCTAATTTTAAGATATTTGTTGATTTATTTATAAACGTATCTGTTTTAGTGGAAATTTTCAAAGTCCAAACTTGATCTGTAACTCATCATTGTGGACTCACATACTTTAATTCAGCTCTGTCTGTGAAGGCGTTTACAAAAAGTCCTTATGACTGTTATTTTCACAAAATCTTCAATGTCCAAAGCGCGTAATTTCTGAAAAAATCAGCAGACCGGAACTTAAGTTAAATTCCATCTGTAACTCATCATAGTAGACTCACATACTAAAAATCAGGTCAATATGTGAAGGCGTTTAGAAAAAAAGTCTGTATAACTGTTTCTTGCAGAATGACAGAATGACAGTCCAAGGGTAAAACTATATGGCCCCGACCTGCAAATGTAAGTCAGCAGAGCCATAAAAAATATACATTAAATAAAACATTAAAGCTCTGAAAGGAACTTTCTACTTCAACACCTTGTAATGTTGAATCCAGGATTATCTCACAATTGAATTTCTCCTTATATAAGAGTTGTTTTTAAATGGGCTGGACCAGTATTTCAAACTGGTCCAAGTTGTCAATGAACCTGATTAAAAGCGTATTTATATGGACCCAACCAATTTTTTAACTGGTTCAAGTTGTCTTTAAATTGGACCTAGTTGTCTTTGATTCCAAGTTGTCCTGATTTCTAATCAGACACACTAACCTGATCAATGATATTATGGATACCACACAGATACTTAATTTTACTTATCAAAGTTCCTATGTTGTCTCTTCCTTTTAGATTTGAACATCGGTAAACTAATGTCACCTTTACCTACTCATTAGACAAATTGATGCGAACAGAGTTTAGGGTAACTTACTCATCTGGGTCAGTGTATTGGTCACCACCCATGAAACCATATCTATCAACATGAGCCATAGCACTGCCATTTTGCATTTCCCTTCCTTTCTCAATCTCCTTCATGTCTCTTGGACTATCATCTGGAATTGCATTTGCCATTTTTAGAATGAAATGTCTATCACGTATACATTATTTTAGGTGTTTAGTCATGCTTTGCTTTGCATTACTAAATAATGTTGATGTTAGAGGTGTCTTGGGCTGGTTAAAAGGTTGGAAAACTGTCTTCTCGAAGAATGACAGTTCGTTTTTTATTCTATCTGCGAACAATAGCACTTAAGGAATTTTAAACTGATCAACGAAGGGTGTCAACTGTTATAACCCAGAATTTATTTGCTTGATGATCTTCAGGAAGTGGTGTTTACCGGAAGTTTACAGTTTTATGACACATGCTCATTGAACCATGACGAAATAATTATCGGACTTTCTTTCTCATTTCTTCTCGCTTATTATAAACTTAAACTATACAAAAGCCTTACACGATTTGTGTATAGACTGGTTTTATTTCAATGAGCTGTCCAGTTATTTTCAAATAATTTCATTGGGGTCAAATCGGGAGAGACCGACATTGGTTTTTACACACAACTCACTACTTCTTGGAACAACTGAAATAGTCCGCGTTCATGTTTTATTTATCTGATAACAAAACTTAAAGGAATAATGTAAATAATAATCACAAAAGAATTGAAAAGATTTCAATAGATGGGTTAGCATCAAATCTGCAAAATAGGAACAATATTTAAATATTTAACATAAGAAAAATAGTGCGGCCTCCATAGCAGAAATATATTCTACCGCGTAGCAGCCTGTGGCAGAATAAATCAACTTTGATTGAACAAACCAACACTTAACGTATATTGCATTGATTTGCTTTTAGTGACATTATTTATAAACTCTAAGATTTGCGGAAGAGATCGGTACATATTTTGTACCGATATGAACTCCTGATTTGGAGAGGATCACATTTTAAACACGACCTGACAGGACCTCCATGATGAACAGTCAAAAGAGAAACAGAACCCATCGACCCAACACAAATACTGGAAACAGGTGCTATATTCAGTGTCTCACAACAATTTACCCCTCGCCATGACGTAATTTGAGAAAATTCTCAGTGTCAGTGAGCCATCAGTCCTTGTTTACTTTTTTGTATCCCCAAGTCAGTCTCAGTATCTGGATGTTACACGTTGTTCATGACCATTCAATATGCGGCCATGATTTCGGTCTGGCTAATAATTTACATTATATATTAACTGTAATTGAAGCAGATTGTAAAACAAACGGATATATCAGTTTAAAAACCAAGATGTCAAGAAGTTATTTCAGTTGACACACTTCTCAATATGAAGGATTTCAATTAAATGAGAAATTACATAATTTGACAGGAGCACTATTGCCACTAAGATAAAACCCTTAGGAATTAAAGTTAACCGTACCATTGAAAACTGGTACATGTACCAATGTCAACACTTACCATGGCAAACTTGTACCATCATAAACAATGCAAAGTCGTACCAATTTATTTAGATTTACCTTAGAAGATAGGTTTTGATTGACACTATTTGAGAAGAATCCCTTTTGTCGCTATATTTGTACAATGTATGTATTGTGTCACTAACTTATATAATACAACCCACCACCATGGCAATCCACAACCCAATACAGTGGGAATATTAGGACACTGGGAAGTCTTTTATTATGCTAGAGGAAGCCAAAGTACTTGGACTATAAAGGGGCTCCTTGACAGGACTAGACAAGCAAAAGCGATATATATACAGATTGATCTCCAGGAACAAATCGAGGGGGTAACAAGACATTTCGGCACCCAGACAAATCAGCACCCAGGTCCGAAGACATTTCGGCATCCGTTTTGGACATTTCGGGACCAGGACATTTCGGGACCAAGACAATTCGGCACCTCATTTTTTTTCTATATATATATATTTATCGCTATTTTAAAAAATTTTCTTGCTGACTGATCATTTTCTTTCTCATTGGAGTCGAGTGATATGAAAAATTATCGCTAGAAACTAAGGGCCCACGTGCCCGTTGTCAATAAAATTAACAACGTCGTCATAGGTAAAACCGCAATAAACAGATTATCATTGGTCAGCCCAACTTGATTGCTTTTCTCACTTTCGCCGTACCGGCTCAAGCGAGAAAATCAATCTCGTTGAGATAACCAACGATAATCTATAAATATTAAGAAAAATAAAAGAATTGTTACAGAAATATTAAAATCCGTAAATAAAATATGCATTGCAAAATTTGAAAAAATAATTGTCTTTTTTTAATTAAATCCTAAACGATGGTGTTTGAATAAACATCGTTAAATTTTAATTAAATCCTAATTGATTGTTAAATATGATGGTGTTTGAATAAACATCATTTAATTAAATCATAATTAATTGTAGTTATGCATTAATCAGTATTTTATGTAAGTTTATAATGAAATTTGATAATTTCTCAATGGAGGTCAAAAGTGTTTAGACTGTGGGACCAGTATTGTAGCAACAGCATCTCCACCTCCAGACTGCTAAAGGAAAGTGCCAGTGTGTACGGAACACCACCAAAGAGACTTTGTTAAAACTTATAGTGCTGCCTGTATATATGTTAAATGTTATATTTACAGTATTAAAATGTTTCATTACTATCATGTGTTCACCTTTGATGCAAATCTAGTGCTGTTAACGTGTCTATAAACTGTTATGAATATAATTATAATAAATAAAAATTATTGCTATATTAACACTAAACTTGCAAATTGAGGTCATGCCCATGCACATATCTATATCACTCCCAGTAAATTTTAATTTTTGGTTCATTATATTTTGATCAAGAATTTAATAATTGATTTTATCTTTATGAGGTGCCGATTTGTCTATGTTAGGTGCCGATTTGTCTAGGTGCCGATTTGTCTGAGTGCCGAAGTGTCTTTCTCGGGTGCCGATTTGTCCGGGTGCCGATTTGTCTGGGTGCCGAACTGTCTAGAATTCCAAATCGAGGGCCACTTTGACCAACTGAGACCCCCAAAGTTTCCATTTCCTCTGCATCTAGTCCAGATCTAACCCATGACCTTCAGTACTGTAGCCATCTGTCTTAACCACTAGGCCATCAACCCACATGTTAGTGGTCTAGGTGCACAAATTCCTTCATAAATCAGCCAAATTCAATTTGTTATACTAGACTTTAGAAAAAGTTGATTTCTTTTATGCTTTCTTGATTCATCACTTTAATCTAGTTAGGATCTTTTTTCAGGCTTGTTTGTACACCATGCTTCAATTTGGTGAGTCAAACAAGAAAATCAACCTTTAAGCTTTTATCCCTCTGAAATGGCAGCTAAGGGAAATAATTCAACAGCAGTCGCAGAAGAATATTTTTTTGTGTGAAAAATTGCGTAATGGACACAAAAACATGCGTTACAGCTATTAAGTAAACGTTGTATATACTGTCACTCAAAAGAACGATTTTGTAGGTGAACCTTGTTAAGAACTTGTTGAAAAATTCTTGTCAGTAAACTTCTGATGCAAATTATCATCCTTGTTATCCGCGGTTAAGAAGACAGTCACTGTGTTTATAACCTGTAGATGTGTATTCCATTGGTAAACAAACTAAAAGTTGTGTATTCGAATCAACTGATTAAGATTGGATGAGCTCATTTATGTTGTCCAATCAAACGCTCTGAATAAGAAAGGGAATGTGTCAAAATATTTTTTGGTGTTTTACCTGTTCCATGTGGGATCTCCGTGTTATGTAACTAAAGTAATTCTACATGTATATTTTGGTATCAGGTATTTAAGTTTAAATTAAAACTGAACATGATGGTGAACAACTGATTATTTTAATTTTTGAAAAAAACAAACAAACCAAAGTTTTGAGAAATTCCCTGTACTTCACTTTGTATATTTTTAGCTGAGTTCATAAAATCAAACAATGACCTTTGTGTTGAGTTTGGGTTTGAAGCCATGATGGCTGGAATAAAACGGAAGTTAAAGATCTTAAATTGACGTAAATTTGACGCTTTGAAGGAAAGGACATGCTTAAGAAACGGAGAATGTAAGAAAAACAAAGTCAATGATGCCTTTACAGCGTGGAAATAACGCAGGACTTGATTTATTTTGCGTATTTTTTTTAAAATCCTGCGTGAGAAACGCATAATTTTGCGTTAACACGACCGGTGAAGTCAAACCCACATTATGTCATATTTTAACCTACAAAAATGTATGGTGAAAAAAATGTATGTTTGAATTAAGGGATTGTATGTTTTCAAAAAATTAAAGGAATTTAATTCAGTGTTATCCTCCAGCCTATATGATGATGGGGGACCACAGAGCCTTCTAAATATTTTTTTATCCCACAGCGCTTCCTTTGAGATAAGCGGGCAGCATGTTAATTTTCATATATATTTAATCATGAACTGTTGATAACTTTTGTCAAGTTAAAGATCACCGCTGAGAGGAAAATCAGTATTACACCAAAATACACAATAATTGATCGACTTCAGTCTATTCTTAACCTGAATTTGCCTTATCAGATCGCATAATTTCGTAGATTATCATCAAAACAATAAATGTTTTTCTTGGATACTTATTTATGTGTTTCAGGGTTTGAATTACACCTGAATCAAGGGGAAAGATCGAAATACAAATTTCCTGATCATGCTGATTAATTGACGAATTGAATATCAAATTTATTATTGGTCAATAATGAAAATCTTTTTTAACATGACAAATGAATATGATAAAAACACATTGTAACTTTGCAATACACAAGTACAAATATTTATGAATGGAAGATGTTTAACATTTGAAAAAAAATATAAAGTAAACTTGAATTTACGATAAATTCATAATGTGAATTGATAGTTAGGGTCAGGATGTGAAATTTTGTTCTTGGGCCAATTAAAAATACATGGGGGGTTCCAGTTACCTGACCTACCCTACTTTAAACCCCCAGCCCTAGAACTTTTATTTCCATTTCTGAAAAATACATTTTAAACGATCCCATTTTGTGAAATGTTAATTTTAAAATAATTAAATTCACAGACTTCTGTCATCTGAATTTCCATTAGACATGTTAGAAGTATCCACTATGGCTAAAAAATTATAAATGCAACAAATTCTTAACATAATGCTACAAAATTAACTATATATAAACAATACACACTGAAGCAATCTTGAATGTCAGACTGCAGAAATTGGTCAGTTGTTTATTTTAAATCTTTAGTTTTAAAAAGTTGTATTCCAAAAATTTCAAACTGCTTAATAAAATAATATCTTTAGACGAAGCAGTTGCTACAGACACGTAGCCAAATAAAAAAAAAATCTCACCTCACTGCAAGTTTTAGATGACCCTTAACATGTATTTTTATGTCTTACTTTTTCAGTTATTTCTCTCTATTGTATTTATTCATAACATAAGGATATTCATTACGATTATCATGTTTATTAAGTAGTATTAACTTTATTTTTCATTGTTGACAGAGTTTTCTCCCTTGATTTACCCATGTAGATATATTTACTTCTTGTTTTAGGGTGACAAAAGCAAGAGGAAGCTTCGACAAGAATGTGATTGTAAGTTAGATTTGTCTGTTAAATAGATATGCCATAATCAATGATAATCAGCCAAGGGTCTAACTTGAACAAGTTATTACAGAAAATAACAGGCATACTGTTATTGTGGGAATTCTGACAAGAGTTATCTCCCCCAGTCATGAATTGTGTTAAAATAACACGTCTGTTACTGTACAAAGAAACAATGTCTGCAATAATGCCTTTTAGTTATCATAGACATTTTTGTCTGGAGAAACGCAAATTAGATACTTTCCAATTGATAGATATAAGAAGATGTGGTATGAGTGCCAATGAGACAACTCTCCATCCAAGTCAAAATTTAAAAAAGTAAACCATTATAGGTCAAAGTACGGTCTTCAACACGGAGCCTTGGCTCACACCGAACAGTAAGCTCTAAAGGGCCCCAAAAATTACTAGTTCAAACCGGAAAACCAACGGTCTAATCTATATAAAAAACGAGAAACACTTATGAACCACATCAACAAACGACAACTACTGAACATCAGATTCCTGACTTAGGACAGGTGCAAACAAATGCAGCAGGTTTACCGCTGTTTGTTTAATTGTTAAGATCTCGTGTGATTTCAACAAGTTAACATGTTTACATTATTATTTGCGCCATTTTCGATGAAACAACATGGGCACAGTGATTACCAGTTTGTTGTATTTTGATGATAACTTTGTCTTATATTTGTAAATTAAAATAAAATTAGTGGAAGTGATTTAATATTTTCACCTGAAACCTATGCTGTGTCAAATATTTAAACACAATCCAAATTCAGAGCTGTAACAAGCTTGAATTTAATGTTCACACTTGCCCCAAATGTTCAGGGTAAGACTTCTGCGGTCATATCAAGCTGTGTACTGTGAAGCATTGTATTAAAATATTTTCTTCAAGACCAACTGCACATCAATAATAAATTAAATTAAATAATGGAGCAGTTTGTTCCAAAGGCTCTAAGGTACATCCCTTCCGACTTGTTTGTTTAAATATGTTAACTTGTATTAAAGAACTATGGTATATATAGCATGTATACATGGTATAGTAAGTATAGAAGTTATAGTTATGATTTGTTTTTCTGTCCTCCTTCAATCATGTCAATATTCAATGTTCAAGTTGATAAAAAAATAACTCATTGGTGTACTGCATAAATATGATAAAAACAATATTCCTTTCCATAGTTTATCATACTGTAACCTTTTTGAAAGTTTGTAATCAGCAACTTAAATATTTTGCCTTTAAGATATAATTATTTCCTGTATATAGGGTATATGAAAACTTGTTATCTGGAAATTGGTTGGTTTGCATTTCTTTTTACACAAACATGTACAGTTCCTACTTTATCACACAATGTTTGTAATGCATAGAATTTTAACTATAATAAAATAGCACATGCTTGAGAAATTTGAGAGACTTGACAGACAAGTGTTGGAAAAGAAAGATTGAAATAAATTTTGCACACATATACTCTTGGTAAAAAGATAATGTGTCATAACCAAAAAATAGTATTTTTAGCTCACCTGTCTAATAGCTATTATTATACCCTCTTAACAAAAAGGGGTATTTAAGAATGACACTGTCTGGTTTGTCTGTTCATGTGCCTTGGAAGTACTTCTCTAAAATGACTAGACAGATATTCTGATATTGATTAAACTTCACACAGTTGTAACTTACACTACCTGAAGCGAATATTACTTGTTCCAGAGGAGATAATAGAACTGATGTTATTGCCCTTTAATGACAATTTTCCCCATTTTTGCCTATTATGTTGAAAACTGCCATAGATAGATAGAAACTTTAAAAAGCACAAATGATCAGCAAGACAAGATCTACAAGTAAGCCATAATAGTCGAATCTTCAGTGGACTCATTATTTGAGTTATTGCCCTTAAATGATCATTTTTATACGCCCGTTTATGGGACGTATTATGGTATACCGTTGTCCGTCCCTCTACAACATGTCGGCCATTAAACTCAAAAACGCTTTTACCAATTTGCTTAAAACTTTGGTGAATTGTTTTTATCTATTGACGTGAGCTCCCTTTCGTTTTTTGTAAATTTTAGAGTTTACGTTTCCGAGTTATTGGGTTTTTGTCGAGCCTTCGACTTTAGTCGAAAAAGCGAGACATAGCGATCCTACATTCCGTCGGCGTCGTCGTCGTCGTCGTCGTTGTCGTCGGCGGCGTCCTCAAATATTCACTCTGTGGTTAAAGTTTTTGAAATTTTAATAACTTTCTTAAACTATCCTGGATTTCTACCAAACTTGGACAGAAGCTTGTTTATGATCATAAGATAGTATCCAGAAGTAAATTTTGTAAAAATAAAATTCCATTTTTTCCGTATTTTACTTATAAATGGACTTAGTTTTTCTGCCGGTAAATATTACATTCACTCTGTGGTTAAAGTTTTTAAAATTTTAATAACTTTCTTAAACTATCCTGGGTTTGTACCAAACTTGGACAGAAGCTTGTTTATGATCATAAGATAGTATCTAGAAGTAAATTTTATAAAAAAAAAAATCCATTTTTTCCGTATTTTACTTTTAAATGGACTTAGATTTTCTGCTAGGAAACAACATATTCACTCTGTGGTTAAAGTTTTTAAAATTTTAATAACTTTCTTATACTATTTTGGATTTGTACCAAACTTGGACAGAAGCTTGTTTATGATCAAATGCTAGTATCTAGAAGGAAATTTTGTTTTCTTCCAGTTAACATTACATTCAGTCTGCAGTTAAAGTTTTTAAACATTTATTAGATTCATAAACTATCCTGGAATTTTACCAAACTTGGACAGAAGCTTCTTACAATCAAAAGATAGTATCAAGAGGAATATTTTTATTGATTTACTTCCTCATTTTTGTTGAGCCTGCGATTAACAGAAAAAGTAGGCGAGACACTGGGTTCCGCGGAACCCTTACGAATTTTATTCATTAAAAAGGTGGGATTTTCCAGTTTTCGGACAATAACTCAAGAATACTTTCACCAACTTGCAAGAAATTGTGGTGAATTGTTTATATCTATTGACATGAGCTCCCTTTCGATTTTTATATATTTTAGATTTTACGTTTCCAAGTTACAGGGTTTTATTCATAAAAAAAGGGGGATTTTCCAGTTTTCAGACAATAACTCAAAAATGCTGTCAGCAATTCACATGAAACTTTGGTGAATTGTTTATATCTATTGATGTAAGCTCTGTTTAGAATTTTATAAATTTTTACATTTTACATTTCTGAGTTATGGGGTTTTATTCATTAAAAAAGGGGGGATTTTCCAGTTTTCGGACAATAACTCAAAAATGCTGTCAGCAATTCTCATGAAACTTTGGTGAATTGTTTATATCTATTGATGTACATTTTCATAAATCTCTATTATGACATTGAGAATTAATTTAACTTTAATTTTTTATAGTCTGACAACAGATTTACTAAGTATTGCGCAACAGCACAGTGTATTGCACAACAGCAAGAAATCTTTAATTGAATATAAATATATATCAGAAACCTATAATATGTCAAATATTTAATTACAATCCAAATTCAGACCTGTATCTAGCTTGTATATTGTGTCCATTTTTGCCCCAACTGTTCAGGTTTGGACCTCTGCGGGCGTATCCAGCTGCGCTCAGCGAAGCAGTTTATTAACAATTTTTTGCATTTTTTGCCTATTATCTTGAAAATTATAATAGATAAATAGAAACTTTCAAAAGGAAAAATGATCAGCAGGATAAGATTTACAAACATGTCAAGATGACTGAAACTTTTAGTTGACTCTTAATTCCCCTTTAATGATGATTTTTGCTAAAAAAGAAAAAAAGCAAAAGTGGCAATTGTTGAAAATGCAGGTGAGCACAGGATCTTAAGTTTAGACAAGTTTGAGAGCTGACCCCAACTTTTTTTATCTGAAAATTTGGCAAATTATGTTTTCCTCTGTAACCATGGTAACTTCTATTTTCTTGACTCTGGTATTATTCTTGACAGTAATGTTCTTTTTGTTCAACTGCTAACTTGATGCAGAAAATCGCCAAAAAGTATGGTTTAAAATTAAGTAAAAACATATCTGACTGACAAAAACGACTTCGACAAATGGCCACTAATTGGTAGATGTAATGAAGGTTAATGCAATACAGGATTTTAACTTGAACCTGATAAGGCTATACCAATCAGATAGATAAAAAAAAAATGAATGGTAAAATTGCATGTTTAGGTCTGTTTCTTTGATACTTGCAGCAAAATATCAACTATTTTTGTGTCTTCAGTGGTTGTAATGTGTACTTGTCTATCCGTCAGGGCTTGTCTGACCTTGACCTCATGAACAGTGATCATGGATAATGTTAAGTTTATATGATAGTTGTTGTAAAACTTTTATCTTTGCTATGTTTACAGAAATCGTACATGGTTGTAACAAGTTTTATCTTCATCATATGAACTCTTGTGGATAGTTGTCTCATTGGCAATCATACAACATCTCCTTATTTTTATATTAAAAATATGTTTTATTTACAGAGTGAAGGAATTTTTACAAACCCCAGATTTACCTATATTGCAACCAGTCTTGTCGTAAGTATCATTATTTCTCTGAGCTGCTACTGTAATGCCTTCTCTTATTCTGGGGTGTCCAGATTATAATCATGTAACAACAGAGACCATAACATTTTATCTAACACTGAAATATTATGAGATATGCAGCCAATTTAATAGTGGTGATTTCATACATTTTTGTCACAAGGGATATCAATTTGAGGGAGGGGTCGATTTTGTGAATTTTTGTGTCCTGATTCTTAATGAAATAAAACACGATGGTTCTTGCACTGAAAATAAAAAATATTTCGTTTTGAATCCACTTTAAAGCAAGTACAAAGCTGCATATTTGAAAATATATAATTTGTTTCCCAAAAAATATTTTGACTGCGAAAAAGGTGAAGATGGAAGATCAGTACGTTTTTTTTTGCCAGGAAGGTAGTTATGACTAGTTTTTAAAACAATGCTGTATTTTCTGTGAGCAAGGGCAGAGGTAACCGGTAACAAAACATTTGCAGGGCTCAACAGTACCTTTCGACTGATTGTCTGGGACAAGTTAAATACAAAATGTAGGCGTCAGACAAGTAGAATCAACATATTAGTTGTCCAAGATATATGTTATTAGTTACACAGTGTGCTAGTGACCTAATACAATATATATGGGGTCAGTAAATATCATATTGGGTGAGAGTGATATATATATATATATATATATATATATACCTTATTAGGTCACTAGCACACTGTGTAACAAATTTATCTTACTATCTTAACATATGGCATTTAGACTAGTGGCCTATCAAAGTGATCAAGTCTTCAATATAAAGAACCTACTTCTTTTGGTCTATACAAAAACAAATGCCAACAATAACAACTTCTTAGCTTTTTAATGTGTTTTCTGCATTTATTTTAATCGTTCATCATCAATTTCTTCATCTTGTCAGTGCGAAACGTTTCAGATTTTTCTTCAACGCCGTGTTGTTTTTATAATGGGACATAATACCACTTCTAACCGAGTATTAAAATGAACCATGCCTACTTACCCCATATTAAATATACATGGTCTTCACACGGTCGCTTTTAACCAATGATATTCCTAGAAATGTATAGGAAGTACGATGAAAGGACTTATCAGTAAATAATATAAATTCTTTTCAACTGCAGAATATAAAAAGTCTGGTTTATGATGCTATACCTGTTTACATCTTTATACATTGTAGTACAAAACTGAATTATTTATAACATTTTATTTTTTGTAGGGATGCTGTGTTCAGCTTCAGGTGAAGAATGGGAAATGCTACGAAGGAATCCTAAAAACTTGTAGTCCAAAGGTATTTAATCTTTTGTAGACGAAACGATTGTCTGGCGTACAATATTTTTATGATGGTATCTTATTCTATGATGAATTTATCATATAGACTTTAGCCGTGTTTTCCCAGGATTTTGGGATAGCTCCATGGTTGTATGGCTGAGTCATAATTATTGTTGTGAAACATTAGAACATTTTGTTTATGATTATGATGAAGTGGTGAAGTTTACCAATGGTAAGATTTTAAAGAAACATTGTACAAAGATGCCAACAAAAGCATTTTGGAGAACACTGAAACATTTCATCAAAAGAATTTTTTTTAATAATTTTTCATATTTTTTTTCAGATGGACGTTGTATTAGAAATGGCCCATAAAGTTGATGACACTGGCAATAATAATATTCCTTCCAGAGAACTTGTACAAGAGAAGATAATATTTAACTGTGGGGATATTTTAATGATAACAGCTGTTGATGTAGATTTAGATTATGCTGTAAAAGGTAAGTATTCTGTCTTTGGTCAATAAATATCTATAACAATATACATAATTACGATATGGCCAGTAATTTTCTATCTTCAGTCAATAAACATCTTTTACAATGCCATAGTGATATTCTGTCTTCAGTCCATAACTGTCCATAAAAATCTATGACAATGCCACAGTGATATTCTGTCTTCTGTCCATTAAAATCTATTACGATGCCACAGTGATGTTCTGTCTTCTGTCCATAAAAATCTATGATAATTAATGCCACAGTCATATTCTGTCTTCTGTCCATAAAAATCTATGATGATGCCACAGTCATATTCTGTCTTCTGTCCATAAAAATCTATGACAATGCCACATATATATTGTGTATGCAGTTAATTAATGTCAATCACAATACCACAGTGATGATCTGAAATTAAGTTCATTGATACTGTGTACCTATTTCAATGTTATAGATTTATTCTGTCTCCTTTTAATTAAGATTTAAGACAATGCCACAGTAATAGTTTTTTTCCTGTTAACTAATGTTTATGACAATTCCACAGTCAGTGATATAGTAGTTATTTTCTATTAAAGTTTTCAAATTTTCTGGTTTCAGATACATTTACTGACACTGCAATAACAAAACAGAACGGAGTTGCTGACAAAGAACTTCGTGAATTGACTCCTTGGGAGCCGGAGGAATCAGAAACTCAAGGTGGAGGTGGTCTACATGATGGGGGAGCATCAGTGAGTCAAATTTATGTACAAAGAATTTGTTATCTTAATTGGTTCATTGTTATGTCCTGTCTACAGTAGTATGGGGACTGTTATGTCCTGTCTACAGTAGTATGTGGACTGTCTTGTCCTGTCTACAGTAGTATGGGGACTGTCATGTCATGTCTACAGAAGTATGGGGACTGTCGTGTCCTGTCTACAGTAGTATGGGGACTGTCGTGTCCTGTCTACAGTAGTATGGGGACTGTCGTGTCCTGTCTACAGTAGTATGGGGACTGTCATGTCCTGTCTACAGTAGTATGGGGACTGTCATGTCCTGTCTACAGTCTATGGGGACTGTCATCTACAGTAGTATGGGGACTGTAATATCCTGTCTACAGTAGTATGGGGACTGTTTCTTCTCAACCCAGTATTGGTTTTAAAGGGGTTTACTATGAAGTGGTCACACTGACTTGAAACCTCAATGGACAACGTAAACTATTGAATTGAGATTATGAACATATCTTGAGGGAGAGAATTTTTTTGGGGAAAAAGGGGGGTGGTAAAAAGAAATTGTGGGGGGTCAATTTTTTCTCATTTCAGATTTCAGAAATTAAAAAGAATTATCATGATTATTCTTCAAATATTATTTTTTTTTTCAAATTTCAAATATTGAAAATTTCAAGAAGTAATTTTTAATTGCACAGTACAGCGCATTAGGTTTGTAAAATCGTTGACCACATTTATTTATTTGTTATGCCGAATCTGACCGTGTATTTAGATTTTTAATTTTGGGTCCAGTTTTCAAATTGGTCTACTTTAAGGTCCAAAGGGTCCAAAATTAAACTTAGTTTGATTTTAACAAAAATTGAATATATGGGGTTCTTTGATATGCTGAATCTAAAGATGTATTTAGATTTTTGATTTTGGGCCCAGTTTTCAAGTTGGTCCAAGTTGGGGTCCAAAATTAAACTTTGTTTGATTTCAACAAAAATTGAATATATATGGGGTTCTTTGATATGCTGAATCTAACCATGTATTTAGATTTTTTATTTGTGGGCCCACTATCAAATTGGTTCATATTGAGGTCAAAAGGGTCCAAAATTAAACTCTGTTTGATTTCATAAAAAATTGAATTCTTTGGATTCTTTGATATGCTGAATCTAACCATGTATTTAGATTTTGGATATTGGACCATAATAGGTAAATTAAAAAAATTTAAGTTCTTAGACCACATTCATTCTGTGTCAGAAACCTATGCTGTGTCAAATATTTAATCACAATCCAAATTCAGAGCTGTATCAAGCTTGAATGTTGTGTCCATACTTGCCCCAACTGTTCAGGGTTCGACCTCTGCGGTCGTATCAAGCTGCGCCAAGGGTAGCATTTTATTAATAATTGAATAACTATATTTGGTATACAGGATCCTTGCAAGGTCTACATGTCCTTTAGACCAGGTTCATCTGACCTCAACCTTATTTCATGGGTCTGGTAGGTTAATCTGACTGACCTCATTTTAATGGTTCAAAAGTCAGCAGTAAGATTTTATGGTTAAGTCTGTTTTTCAGGAACTTTTACTAATAGGTTTACATTATTTGGTGTATGGATTGATTGCAAGTGTACATGTCTGTCTGGCAGGGCTCATCTGACCTTGACCTCATTCTCATGGTACATTGGTCAAAGTTAAGTTTCTTGGTTCATGTGTTAAGTTCTTTTTCTCAGATATAAGCAATGTGTTTACTACATTTGGTGTATGAAAAGAATGTAAGGTACACATTTCTGTCTGACAGGACTCATTTACATGTATCAGTTATAATGTTAATTTTATGTTATACTTGTAAGACTTTCAGCATGAATTCAATCATGACTGGTGAAGCAGACAAGACATTGAGGTTTTGTATTTGTATAGTTTACTAGTTGATATTTCTACCAGAACTTTTGGATAAGTATCCTGTCATCTGCCCTTTCATTATTCATACAGGAGATGAGAAGTTATAAATAATAATACTTCATAGTGTACAAAATATTGTCAGAAAGGACAAAAGATAAAATTACTGATTCATTTATTAACCTCAAATTCAATTACTGTGGATTCATTTATTTTCGTGGGTATCAATTTTCGTGGATAGAGAAAAAAAGATGTTTCGTGGTATACGTAAATTCGTGGATCACTGATTACAAAAAAAGAATATCAGATACATAATTCATGGATTTCTTTTTGATTTAGGAGATTATATAAGTTATAACCTCCTTGGTTTGATCAATAATAAAACAAACAAAAAAGAAGGAATTCATTGAAAAAGTTTTGAATTGTCTAAATCCTCGCTTCGTCATTCTAGGTTAAAGTGTTCATTGAAAACTCTTTTACAATTTATAAATTCTTGTCAGAATTTTATAAGGCATTCAAAACTCTATGATTGAAAGCCCATTTCCCTAATCACGATAAAGTAAACAGTCATATAAGTAAAAGGTGTGAAAATAAATATTCCTGTCATCAACAGTATTACCTAACATGCCTAAGGGCAATATCCCCGTACTTAATCCTATTGATTTTTAATCACCAGTAAACCAAACTATGACACGGTAATTAACAACTTGCAGTTATTTTCCATGAACAGTTTTAATCAATTTTAAAAAGTAAATTATCAATGATATTCGATATATTTATTATTAATTTAATCACAATACTTGTATCTTCTTTCAATAAAAACATGTGTAATGTTACAATGTTTATCGCTAGTCAACACTATACTAGAACTGTAAACATAAGCGGAAATAAACATCTGACTCCATACACATTTCTCAGGATTATTCTTCGTTGAATTCATAAATTCGTGGTTCACTGTGACCCACGAAACCCATGAAAATTGGTATACCACGAATAAAAATGAATCCACAGTATCATTGTCGATTATACGTCAGCTATGTGAAAATGACTGTAAAACCAATTTATAATGATAATGGATAATATAAAAATAACATTTTGGACATTTTTTTTATTAATTTTCAGAATGGCTGGGATGCAGATGACATGTTTTCAACAAATGAAAGACAGTTTAATGTTAAATCAACATATGATGATTCTCTACATCAATACACGTTAGTATTCCCCGATACAAAGACAGTTTAATGTTGAATCAACATATGATGATTCTCTTCACCAATACACTTTAGTATTCCACCGATACAAAAACAGTTGAATGTTAAATCAACATATGATGATTCTCTACACCAATACACTTTAGTATTCCACCGATACAAAAACTGTTTAATGTTAAATCAACATATGATGATTCTCTACACAAATACACGTTAGTATTCCTCCGATACAAAAACAGTTTAATGTTAAATCAACATATGATGATTCTCTACACCAATACACGTTAGTATTCCCCCGATACAAAAACAGTTGAATGTTAAATCGACATATGATGATTCTCTACACCAATACACTTTAGTATTCCCCCGATACAAAGACAGTTTAATGTTAAATCAACATATGATGATTCTCTACACCAATACACGTTAGTATTCCTCCGATACAAAAACAGTTTAATGTTAAATCAACATATGATGATTCTCTACACCAATACACGTTAGTATTCCCCCGATACAAAAACAGTTGAATGTTAAATCGACATATGATGATTCTCTACACCAATACACGTTAGTATTCCTCCGATACAAAGACAGTTGAATGTTAAATCAACATATGATGATTCTCTACACCAATACACTTTAGTATTCCCGCGATACAAAAACAGTTTAATGTTAAATCAACATATGATGATTCTCTACACCAATACACGTTAGTATTCCCCCGATACAAAGACAGTTTAATGTTAAATCAACATATGATGATTCTCTACACCAATACACTTTAGTATTCCCCGATACAAAGACAGTTTAATGTTAAACTAACATATGATGATTCTCTACACCAATACACGTTAGTATTCCCCGATACAAAGACAGTTTAATGTTAAATCAACATATAATGATTCTCTACACCAATACACGTTAGTATTCCCCGATACAAAGACAGTTTAATGTTAAATCAACATATAATGATTCTCTACACCAATACACGTTAGTATTCCCCGATACAAAGACAGTTTAATGTTAAATCAACATATAATGATTCTCTACACCAATACACGTTAGTATTCCCCGATACAAAACAGTTTAATGTTAAATCGACATATGATGATTCTCTACACCAATACACGTTAGTATTCCCCCGATACAAAGACAGTTGAATGTTAAATCAACATATAATGATTCTCTACACCAATACACGTTAGTATTCCCCGATACAAAACAGTTTAATGTTAAATCAACATATGATGATTCTCTACACCAATACACGTTAGTTTTCCCCCGATACAAAGACAGTTGAATGTTAAATCAACATATAATGATTCTCTACACCAATACACGTTAGTATTCCCCGATACAAAACAGTTTAATGTTAAATCAACATATGATGATTCTCTACACCAATACACGTTAGTTTTCCCCCGATACAAAGACAGTTGAATGTTAAATCAACATATAATGATTCTCTACACCAATACACGTTAGTATTCCCCGATACAAAACAGTTTAATGTTAAATCAACATATGATGATTCTCTACACCAATACACGTTAGTATTCCCCGATACAAAAACAGTTGAATGTTAAATCAACATATGATGATTCTCTACACCAATACACGTTAGTATTCCCCAATACAAAGACAGTTTAATGTTAAATCAACATATGATGATTCTCTACACCAATACACGTTAGTATTCCACCGATACAAAGACAGTTTAATGTTAAATCAACATATGATGATTCTCTACACCAATACACATTACAATTCCCCCAATACAAAAACAGTTGAAAGTAAAATCGACATATGATAATTCTCTACACCAATACATGTTAGTATTCCTCCAATACAAAGACAGTTTAATGTTAAATCAACATATGATGATTCTCTACACCAATACACATTAGTATTCCCTCAATACAAAAACAGTTGAATGTAAAATCGACATATGATGATTCTCTACACCAATACACTTTAGTATTCCCCCAATACAAAGACAGTTGAATGTAAAATCAACATATGATGATTCTCTACACCAATACACGTTAGTATTCCCTCGATACAAAGACAGTTTAATGTTAAATCGACATATGATGATTCTCTACACCAATACACGTTAGTATTCCCCCGATACAAAGACAGTTTAATGTTAAATCAACATATGATGATTCTCTACACCAATACACTTTAGTATTCCCCCGATACAAAGACAGTTTAATGTTAAATCAACAAATGATGATTCTCTACACCAATACACATTAGTATTCCCCCAATACAAAAACAGTTGAAAGTAAAATCGACATATGATAATGTACACCAATACAGGTTAGTATTCCCCCGATACAAAGACAGTTTAATGTTAAATCAACATATGATGATTCTCTACACCAATACACATTAGTATTCCCCCGATACAAAGACAGTTTAATGTTAAATCGACATATGATGATTCTCTACACCAATACACGTTAATATTCCCCCGATACAAAAACAGTTTAATGTTAAATCAACATATGATGATTCTCTACACCAATACACGTTAGTATTCCCCGATACAAAAACAGTTGAATGTTAAATCAACATATGATGATTCTCTACACCAATACACTTTAGTATTCCCCGATACAAAGACAGTTTAATGTTAAATCAACATATGATGATTCTCTACACCAATACACATTAGAATTCCCCCAATACAAAAACAGTTGAAAGTAAAATCGACATATGATAATTCTCTACACCAATACACGTTAGTATTCCTCCAATACAAAGACAGTTTAATGTTAAATCAACATATGATGATTCTCTACACCAATACACTTTAGTATTCCCCCGATACAAAGACAGTTTAATGTTAAATCAACATATAATGATTCTCTACACCAATACACGTTAGTATTCCCCGATACAAAACAGTTTAATGTTAAATCGACATATGATGATTCTCTACACCAATACACGTTAGTATTCCCCCGATACAAAGACAGTTGAATGTTAAATCAACATATAATGATTCTCTACACCAATACACGTTAGTATTCCCCGATACAAAACAGTTTAATGTTAAATCAACATATGATGATTCTCTACACCAATACACGTTAGTTTTCCCCCGATACAAAGACAGTTGAATGTTAAATCAACATATAATGATTCTCTACACCAATACACGTTAGTATTCCCCGATACAAAACAGTTTAATGTTAAATCAACATATGATGATTCTCTACACCAATACACGTTAGTTTTCCCCCGATACAAAGACAGTTGAATGTTAAATCAACATATAATGATTCTCTACACCAATACACGTTAGTATTCCCCGATACAAAACAGTTTAATGTTAAATCAACATATGATGATTCTCTACACCAATACACGTTAGTATTCCCCGATACAAAAACAGTTGAATGTTAAATCAACATATGATGATTCTCTACACCAATACACGTTAGTATTCCCCAATACAAAGACAGTTTAATGTTAAATCAACATATGATGATTCTCTACACCAATACACGTTAGTATTCCACCGATACAAAGACAGTTTAATGTTAAATCAACATATGATGATTCTCTACACCAATACACATTACAATTCCCCCAATACAAAAACAGTTGAAAGTAAAATCGACATATGATAATTCTCTACACCAATACATGTTAGTATTCCTCCAATACAAAGACAGTTTAATGTTAAATCAACATATGATGATTCTCTACACCAATACACATTAGTATTCCCTCAATACAAAAACAGTTGAATGTAAAATCGACATATGATGATTCTCTACACCAATACACTTTAGTATTCCCCCAATACAAAGACAGTTGAATGTAAAATCAACATATGATGATTCTCTACACCAATACACGTTAGTATTCCCTCGATACAAAGACAGTTTAATGTTAAATCGACATATGATGATTCTCTACACCAATACACGTTAGTATTCCCCCGATACAAAGACAGTTTAATGTTAAATCAACATATGATGATTCTCTACACCAATACACTTTAGTATTCCCCCGATACAAAGACAGTTTAATGTTAAATCAACAAATGATGATTCTCTACACCAATACACATTAGTATTCCCCCAATACAAAAACAGTTGAAAGTAAAATCGACATATGATAATGTACACCAATACAGGTTAGTATTCCCCCGATACAAAGACAGTTTAATGTTAAATCAACATATGATGATTCTCTACACCAATACACATTAGTATTCCCCCGATACAAAGACAGTTTAATGTTAAATCGACATATGATGATTCTCTACACCAATACACGTTAATATTCCCCCGATACAAAAACAGTTTAATGTTAAATCAACATATGATGATTCTCTACACCAATACACGTTAGTATTCCCCGATACAAAAACAGTTGAATGTTAAATCAACATATGATGATTCTCTACACCAATACACTTTAGTATTCCCCGATACAAAGACAGTTTAATGTTAAATCAACATATGATGATTCTCTACACCAATACACATTAGAATTCCCCCAATACAAAAACAGTTGAAAGTAAAATCGACATATGATAATTCTCTACACCAATACACGTTAGTATTCCTCCAATACAAAGACAGTTTAATGTTAAATCAACATATGATGATTCTCTACACCAATACACTTTAGTATTCCCCCAATACAAAGACAGTTGAATGTAAAATCAACATATGATGATTCTCTACACCAATACACGTTAGTATTCCCTCGATACAAAGACAGTTTAATGTTAAATCGACATATGATGATTCTCTACACCAATACACGTTAGTATTCCCCCGATACAAAGACAGTTTAATGTTAAATCGACATATGATGATTCTCTACACCAATACACTTTAGTATTCCACCGATACAAAGACAGTTTAATGTTAAATCAACATATGATGATTCTCTACACCAATACACTTTAGTATTCCACCGATAGAAAACAGTTTAATGTTAAATCAACATATGATGATTCTCTACACCAATACACTTTAGTATTCCCCCGATACAAAGACAGTTTAATGTTAAATCAACATATGATGATTCTCTACACCAATACACGTTAGTTTTCCCCCGATACAAAGACAGTTGAATGTTAAATCAACATATAATGATTCTCTACACCAATACACGTTAGTATTCCCCGATACAAAACAGTTTAATGTTAAATCAACATATGATGATTCTCTACACCAATACACGTTAGTTTTCCCCCGATACAAAGACAGTTGAATGTTAAATCAACATATAATGATTCTCTACACCAATACACGTTAGTATTCCCCGATACAAAACAGTTTAATGTTAAATCAACATATGATGATTCTCTACACCAATACACGTTAGTATTCCCCGATACAAAAACAGTTGAATGTTAAATCAACATATGATGATTCTCTACACCAATACACTTTAGTATTCCCCAATACAAAGACAGTTTAATGTTAAATCAACATATGATGATTCTCTACACCAATACACATTACAATTCCCCCAATACAAAAACAGTTGAAAGTAAAATCGACATATGATAATTCTCTACACCAATACATGTTAGTATTCCTCCAATACAAAGACAGTTTAATGATAAATCAACATATGATGATTCTCTACACCAATACACATTAGTATTCCCTCAATACAAAAACAGTTGAATGTAAAATCGACATATGATGATTCTCTACACCAATACACTTTAGTATTCCCCCAATACAAAGACAGTTGAATGTAAAATCAACATATGATGATTCTCTACACCAATACACGTTAGTATTCCCTCGATACAAAGACAGTTTAATGTTAAATCGACATATGATGATTCTCTACACCAATACACGTTAGTATTCCCCCGATACAAAGACAGTTTAATGTTAAATCAACATATGATGATTCTCTACACCAATACACTTTAGTATTCCCCCGATACAAAGACAGTTTAATGTTAAATCAACAAATGATGATTCTCTACACCAATACACATTAGTATTCCCCCAATACAAAAACAGTTGAAAGTAAAATCGACATATGATAATGTACACCAATACAGGTTAGTATTCCCCCGATACAAAGACAGTTTAATGTTAAATCAACATATGATGATTCTCTACACCAATACACATTAGTATTCCCCCGATACAAAGACAGTTTAATGTTAAATCGACATATGATGATTCTCTACACCAATACACGTTAATATTCCCCCGATACAAAAACAGTTTAATGTTAAATCAACATATGATGATTCTCTACACCAATACACGTTAGTATTCCCCGATACAAAAACAGTTGAATGTTAAATCAACATATGATGATTCTCTACACCAATACACTTTAGTATTCCCCGATACAAAGACAGTTTAATGTTAAATCAACATATGATGATTCTCTACACCAATACACATTAGAATTCCCCCAATACAAAAACAGTTGAAAGTAAAATCGACATATGATAATTCTCTACACCAATACACGTTAGTATTCCTCCAATACAAAGACAGTTTAATGTTAAATCAACATATGATGATTCTCTACACCAATACACTTTAGTATTCCCCCGATACAAAGACAGTTTAATGTTAAATCAACAAATGATGATTCTCTACACCAATACACGTTAGTATTCCCCCAATACAAAAACAGTTGAATGTAAAATCGACATATGATGATTCTCTACACCAATACACATTAGTATTCCCCCAATACAAAAACAGTTGAAAGTAAAATCGACATATGATAATGTACACCAATACAGGTTAGTATTCCCCCGATACAAAGACAGTTTAATGTTAAATCAACATATGATGATTCTCTACACCAATACACGTTAGTATTCCCCCGATACAAAGACAGTTTAATGTTAAATCAACATATGATGATTCTCTACACCAATACACGTTAGTATTCCCCCGATACAAAGACAGTTTAATGTTAAATCAACATATGATGATTCTCTACACCAATACACGTTAGTATTCCCCCGATACAAAGACAGTTTAATGTTAAATCGACATATGATGATTCTCTACACCAATACACGTTAATATTCCCCCGATACAAAAACAGTTGAAAGTAAAATCGACATATGATAATTCTCTACACCAATACAGGTTAGTATTCCCACAATACAAAGACAGTTTAATGTTAAATCAACATATATTGATTCTCTACACCAATACACTTTAGTATTCCCCCGATACAAAGACAGTTTAATGTTAAATCAACATATGATGATTCTCTACACCAATACACTTTAGTATTCCCCGATACAAAGACAGTTTAATGTTAAATCAACATATGATGATTCTCTACACCAATACACATTAGTATTCCCCCAATACAAAAACAGTTGAAAGTAAAATCGACTTATGATAATTCTCTACACCAATACACGTTAGTATTCCTCCAATACAAAGACAGTTTAATGTTAAATCAACATGTGATGATTCTCTACACCAATACACGTTAGTATTCCCCCAATACAAAAACAGTTGAATGTAAAATCGACATATGATGATTCTCTACACCAATACACGTTAGTATTCCCCGATACAAAACAGTTTAATGTTTAATCATTATATGGTGATTCTCTTCACTTATACACGTTAGTATTCCCCCGATACAATACACTTCCAATACACATTAGTTTTCCCGTTACAAATCACCAAAATACAGGTTAGTATTCCCCCGATACAAATCACCAAAATACAGGTTAGTATTCCCCCGATACAAATCACCAAAATACAGGTTAGTATTCCCCCGATACATTATACCTCCAATACACGTTAGTATTCCCACGATACAAATCACCCCAATACACATTAGTTTTCCCCAGATACAATACACCTCCAAAAACAGTTAGTTTTCTCCCCAGATACAAATCACTCCAATACACATCAGTATTCCCCCAATAAAAATCACCCCAATACACATTAGTGTTCCCCCCACCCCCCAACCCTAATGTTAGCTAGGTGTCTAGATGTGGTTAACAGAAAAGAAAAAATGGGAAAAAAATAGAGAATAGCAAATAATCGGGTGTAAATATATATATCAAAATACAAAATATTTGGCAAAATAACTAAAAAATAGAGAAAAATGGCATAAAAATAAAGAAAACAAAATGAAGACTCCCCCGTCCATGGAGACAGATTTTGAGTTGGTCCATCAGTAATGAGAAAAAGGATAAAATTTGAATTATCTTTCTTGGGAAGAAATTCTCAAATTCTGTAGTGCTCCTTCCAGCAGAAGCTTATACACAGTAGAAATGAATACTATATGGTGTAGTTTTAAATCAGAACAGGACCAAAACACATCTGATTTCAAGTTCTATTTACAGATTAATTTATTTGGAGTATCATTGTGACACATTGGATAAGCAGATTACCTGTAACAACAAATTATGATACCTGTTGTAACCATTGATTGGCTTGGGGTCGTAAAATTGTCCTGATTATGCATTTAATATTTTACTGGATATTAAACAGCATTTAACGAATCTTAATTTGTGATTGACTGATTGAAGTGTGCAATCTGCTGCACTTTGGATGGCACTATTCTAGTTTATTCTTTGAAAATCAAGTTTAATGCAGATGTTATTAGATAGTTTTAATTTGTGATAGCTGAGATGTTTTTGGTTAAATTTTTGTTATTTTTTTACTAGGGTGCCTTTAGAAAAACGTGACACAAAAGAGTATAGAGAGAAAGAAGAAAGAGCAGCTCTTTTAGCTCAAGAGATAGAGAAGAGCGATGGATATCGTCAGAGAACTGATTTAGAAAACAATGGTGAAGGTGACAATGAAGAGTCCAAATTTAGTGCAGTGGTTCGTCCTGATAATGCTGGTCCTAACCCTGGAAAGTAAGTCGAGCAGGATTAAGCATGTTAAGTTGGGCTTATTAGGGAATATGAAAAGAAAAAGTAAAAATGGTGTCACTAATCTTGTTTTCTTGCTACAAGGAAATAATGAAAATTTCTGTAACATTCCTTTGTAAAAAATTTACTATAAGAGTTGGAATATTTGGTTTTTTGTTTTATTTAAAAGGGCATTAGCTACGAGATATAAAAAAAAAAATATGATTATTTTTTTTTGTTCAATCATTAATGAAAGTGAAACAAGTGAAATAATAATTTGCTTTTAACAGCCAGTTTGGTTCAGTTTTGTCAAATTAAGCAAAGAAACATCGCTAATGAATTATTCACTTGCAAGTGAATAATTCGACCTCATTGAATCTGTATTCATGTGAACTTTAATAGATCCCTATAGCTAGAGATGGGTCACGCATGAACTAGGCGTGTTTACTTAATAAATAGAAAAGAATGTAAACATTGAAAGTGAAACAAGGGTAAACCATTTGGTTGACTGGTTTGATCTAAAAAAACTCATTCTTATACTGGTAAAACGATTATTAACATTTTTTTATACGACCGCAAAAAAATTTTGCGGTCGTATATTGGTATGACGTTGGCGTCGTCGTCGTCCCAAGACACATTGGTTTTCGCACTTTAACTTTAGTTTAAGTGAATGGATCTCTTTGAAATTTTACCATAAGGTTCAATACCACAAAAGGAAGGTGGGGATTGATTTTGGGGGTTATGGTACCAACATTTAAGGAATAAGGGGCCAAAAAGGGGCCAAAAATAAGCATTTTCTAGTTTCCACACAATAACTGTGGAATGGTGTATGGATCTCTCTGAAATTATACTACATACCACAAAGGGATGGTTAGGATTTGCTTTGGGGGGTTATGGCTCAAACCGTTTAGGAATTAGGGGCAAAAAAGGGGGAAAAACAAGGTTGTCCTGGTTAATGGACAAATACTTTAGTACAAAACATAATTTAAAGCAGTGTTAGGGAGATAAATCAAATACATCATTGAAATTATCTCCCTTACACTGCTTTTAAATTATGTATAAAGTAATGGTTAATGAACAATTAAGATAATTTAAAACAGTGTAAGGGAGGTAATCCAAATACAACGTTTTGGTTACTTCCCTTACACTGCTTTTAAATTATGTTTAAATAAATGCATATTTATAAAGGAAGACCAGTAAAAATATCTGCAAATGTTGCATCTTTTTTTTTTACAAAAAAATCCATATGAAAGATTTGACACTATATTTTAAATTCTATTGTAAAATAGATTAAGTTAGCACTATGGTAAATTTAAATGGGTAATTATGGTTGCAAACTCCATTGGGAATTGAGATTATGACCATATCTTGAGGGAAAGAATTTTTTTGGGGGAAAAAGGGAGGGAGGGGGGTAAAAAGAAATTGTGGGGGGTCAATTTTTTCTCATTACAGATTTCAGAAATTAAAAAGAATTATTCTTCAAATATTTTTTTTTCAAATTTCAAATATTGAAAACTTTAAAGAAGTAATCTTTGATTGCACAGTATGGCGCATTAGATTTGTAAAATATTTGACCACATTTATTTATTTGTTATGCCGAATCTAACAGTGTATTTAGATTTTAATTTTGGGTCCAGTTTTCAAATTGGTCTACATTAAGGTCCAAAGGGTCCAAAATTAAACTTTGTTTGATTTTAACAAAAATTGAATATATGGGGTTCTTTGATATGCTGAATCTAAACATGTATTTAGATTTTTGATTTTTGGCCCAGTTTTCAAGTTGGTCCAAATTGGGGTCCAAAATTAAACTTTGTTTGATTTCAACAAAAATTGAATATATGGGGTTCTTTGATATGCTGAATCTAACCATGTATTTAGATTTTTTATTTGTGGACCCAGCTATCAAATTGGTTCATATTGAGGTCAAAAGGGTTCGTTTGATTTCATCAAAAATTGAATTATTGGGGTTCTTTGATATGCCAAATCTAACCGTGTATTTAGATTTTTAATTTTGGGTCCTGTTTTTATACGACCGCAAAAATTAAAAATTTTTTGGTCGTATATTGGTATGACGTTGGCGTCGTCGTCGTCGTCGTCGTCGTCGTCGTCGTCTGGCGTCGTCCGGCGTTGTCCGAAGACACATTGGTTTTCGCACTCTAACTTAAGTTTAAGTGAATAGATCTCCATGAAATTTTACCATAAGGTTCAATACCACGAAAGGAAGGTTGGGATTGATTTTGGGGGTTATGGTACCAACAGTTAAGGAATTAGGGGCCAAAAAGGGGCCAGAAATAAGCATTTTTGTAACTTCCAGACAATAACTTGTGTGTAAGTGTATGGATCTCTCTGACATTGTACCACAAGGTTCCATATCACAAAGGGAAGGCTGTAATTGATTTTGGGGGTAATTGCCTCAAAATTTTAGGAATTAGGGGCCAAAAAAAGGGGCAAAAAACAAGCATTTTTCTAGTTTCATGACAATAACTTGTGTGTAAGTGTTTGGATATTTCTTAAATTGTACCACAAGGTTCCATATCACAAAGGGAAAGCTGGAATTGAGTTTGGGGGTAATTGCCCGAAACGTTTAGGAATGGGGGGCCAAAAAGGGGCCAAAAATAAGCATTTTTCTAGTTTCCAGACAATAACTTGTGTTCAAGTGTATGGATCTCTCTGAAATTGTACTGCAAGGTACCATACCACAAAGGGAAGGCTGGGATTGAGTTTGGGGGTGATGAATCATAAGGGGGTTCAAAAAATTTGGGGGGGGGGGATTTTTTTTTTTTATTTTTTTTTATTTTTTTCCTTTTTTTTTTTCTTTTAAAATTTTCCATTTTAAGTTGGTTATTTGGCCCGAGAACACAGTTATTTCGTAGTGCATTTCTTTTAGACAATAAAGTCAAATTAAAAAAATCGCACCTGCTCTATCTCAAAAAGATTTTTACAGTGTAGTGTACTACTATTGGGACAAATAATATCAAAATTATAGAAAAGTCTACCAGCTCTAACTCAAAATATTGACAATTCTATGTTAAGGGGGTCTAAAATTCAGTTTGACAGCTTCAGACATACTAGTTTTTGACCTTTTTTAACTGGACCAAATCACTACTTAACATAAAGATTCAGCACCCAAATTTTTTTAACATGTAATTTCATCCCCTTACTTAATATTTCATGCATAAAATATAAAGAAATAAATTTGGAAAGTGTATGAAAAAAATTTGCAAGTTATACACTGTCCACACTAGGGACTATATTTGTAGACAACGACAATCGAAGGATGATAACTGTGTCCTTGGACCTAATAGTATAGAAAGACTTGACCAATTCTAATTAAACTTTGCATGACCTAAGCTTAGGTAATTATAAGATAGTTGGCCAAGTTTCATGGCCATAGGAGATATATTATAGAAACTATGGCAATTTTAATATTGAAATTTAAATGTTTAATTTTGACGTTTAAATCAAATAATTTCAGCTATCAAGATTTGGGCTTAAAAAACTTAAATATTGAAAAAAATTGCTTTTGAAATGCTCTTAAATATAATATATTAAGTATTAAAAGCAACTGAACACTCATTTGATTTATCAGATTTATTACAATTATATAAAAGTCAAATTTATATGAGCCTGTGCCTGAAAATAGAGATTTTCGAATTAAGGGGAGCCTTACATAAACATGCATTTTTTTCAACCAATTTGAAGTTTTTGAAGTTTTTTACCATAAATTATTCTTTCATATATATTAAATGTACTTTAAATGGAAAGAAAAGTTACAAAAAGCATACCAAATGAGTATAAAATGGTCTTAGGCTATGTAAGACTGAACATTATTTAGTGTCAATTTAGGCCGTAGCACATATTTACATATAAAAATGCATACAGAAGCTATAAGAAATGGAAATTTGTTACTTTTTGCTCATTTCTATACTAAGATGTCATGATACAAGAAGTCTAATTGCAAAAGAACTCTTGCATTCAACTTTTTTTGAAGACAGTATGGTCTGATGCACAGTTTTTTCACTTTTCAATGGAAAACTTGCATGTAGTTTTAGTCTCAACTGGCATATATTTGAACCACACACTATCCTACAGAAGAAAATAAAGGTAGTATATGAAATGGATAAGGTGCACAGATCATTGTCAAGTGCCTTTTTTACAGATTTAGTGAAATTTTTATGATGGACTACACATTCTATGTACAAAGCTCTTCACATTTCACATACATTAAACAGGCCGTTCGACCAGGGCCTAAATACAACACATTTTGCACATTTTTTCTGTGATAATCTACTTTTCTCTATATTCAGAGTTCATAAATGGTTAATAGAATTTGAATTAATCATAGAAACACAAATATCAAAGCATAAAAAGCTGTCAGATAGAAAGTCAGCATGCCTCTTAGGATTAAAAATGGAAACTGCTTTAAAATGCTTATTTTAGGCGTATGATGTCAAAATGGGACATTATAACAGAATTTCTTTCAAATAAAGATGTAAATCCTTTACTTTTATTGAGTTTGACAAATTGAAACCAGCAAACCATTCAGGGACGTTGCCAAAGTACAGAATCTACATTTCCTGAATTCATCTCTTAGGCCCGAGAACACAGTTATTTCGTAGTGCATTTCTTTTAGACAATAAAGTCAAATTAAAAAAATCGCACCTGCTCTATCTCAAAAAGATTTTTACAGTGTAGTGTACTACTATTGGGACAAATAATATCAAAATTATAGAAAAGTCTACCAGCTCTAACTCAAAATATTGACAATTCTATGTTAAGGGGGTCTAAAATTCAGTTTGACAGCTTCAGACATACTAGTTTTTGACCTTTTTTAACTGGACCAAATCACTACTTAACATAAAGATTCAGCACCCAAATTTTTTTAACATGTAATTTCATCCCCTTACTTAATATTTCATGCATAAAATATAAAGAAATAAATTTGGAAAGTGTATGAAAAAAATTTGCAAGTTATACACTGTCCACACTAGGGACTATATTTGTAGACAACGACAATCGAAGGATGATAACTGTGTCCTTGGACCATTTCTGATTTATATTTAAAAGCAAAAAATAATGATATGGTAGGAGATACACACCAAACAGGATGTGTAAATTATTATATAATAAGTATTGTGCAATAGCAAGAAATTTTCAATTGCACAGTATTGCACAATAGCAAGAAATCTTCAATTGCACAGTATTGCGCAATAGCAAGAAATCTTCAATTGCACAGTATTGCGCAATAGCAAGAAATATCCAATAGCACAATATTGGGCAATAGCAAGAAATTGTCAATAGTACAGTATTGCGCAATAGCAAGAAATATTCAATTGCACAGTATTGTGCAAAAGAAGATACTTCGTATAAATTGCTTATTTCTTGATCAATTTCAATGGGGTTTTATTCATGAATTCTTGGGGTTCTTTAATATGCTGAATCTAACTGTGTATTACGTTTTTGGATTTTGGGCCCCGTTTTTAAATTGGTCCACATTGAGGTCCAAAGGGTCCAAAGTTTTAACTTAATTTTTAGGGTTCTTTGATATGCTGAATCTAAACATGTATTTAGATTTTTGATTATGGGCCCAGTTTTCAAGTTGGTCCAAATCGGGGTCCAAAATTAAACTTTGTTTGATTTCAACAAAAATTGAATATATGGGGTTCTTTGATATGCTGAATCTAACCATGTATTTAGATTTTTTATTTGTGGACCCCGTTATCAAATTGGTTCATATTGAGGTCAAAATGGTCCAAAATTAAACTTTGTTTGATTTCATCTAAAATTGAAATATTGGGGCTCTTTGATATTCCAAATCTAACCGTGTATTTAGATTTTTAATTTTGGGTCCTTTTTTTTAAATTGGTCTACATTAAGGTCCAAAGGGTCCAAAATTAAACTTAGTTTGATTTTAACAAAAATTGAATTCTTGGGGTTCTTTGATATGCTGAATCTAAACATGTGTTTAGATTTTTGATTATGGGCCCAGTTTTCAAGTTGGTCCAAGATAGGGTCCAGTATTTAAAATTTGTTTGATTTTAACAAAAATTGAATATATGGGGTTCTTTGATAGTCGAATCTAAACATGTATTTAGATTTTTGATTATGGGCCCAGTTTTCAAGTTGGTCCAAATTGGGGTCCAAAATTAAACTTTGTTTGATTTCAACAAAAATTGAATATATGAGGTTCTTTGATATGCTGAATCTAACCATGTATTTAGATTTTTTACTTGTAGGCCCCGCTATCAAATTGGTTCATATTAAGGTCAAAAGGGTCCAAAATTAAACTTTGTTTGATTTCATCAAAAATTGAATTGTTGGGGTTCTTTGATATGCCAAATCTAACCGTGTTTTTAGATGTTTAATTTGGGTCCCGTTTTTTAAATTTGTCTTCATTGAGGTCCAAAGGGTCCAAAATTAAACTTAGTTTGATTTTAACAAAAATTGAATTCTTGGGGTTCTTTAATATGCTGAATCGAAACATGTGTTTAGATTTTTGATTATGGGCCCAGTTTTCAAGTTTGTCCAAGTTGGGGTCCAAAATTAAACTTTGTTTGATTTTTACAAAAATTGAATATATGGGGTTCTTTGATGTGCTGAATCTAACCATGTATTTTGATTTTGGACATTGGACCATAATAGGTAAATTAAAAAAATTCAAGTTCTTAGACCACATTCTTTCTGTGTCAGAAACCTATGCTGTGTCAAATATTTAATAACAATCCAAATTCAGAGCTGTATCAAGCTTGAATGTTGTGTCCATACTTGCCCCAACTGTTCAGGGTTCGACCTCTGCGGTCGTATCAAGCTGCGCCCCAGCGAAGCATTTTATTTAAATTGGTCTACATTAAGGTCCAAAGGGTCAAAAATTAAACTTAGTTTGATTTTAACAAAAATTGAATTCTTGGGGTTCTTTGATATGCTGAATCTAAACATGTGTTTAGATTTTTGATTATGGGCCCAGTTTTCAAGTTGGTCCAAGATAGGGTCCAGTATTTAAACTTTGTTTGATTTCAACAAAAATTGAATTCTTGGGGTTCTTTGATATGCTGAATCTTAACATGTGTTTAGATTTTTGATTATGGGCCCAGTTTTCAAGTTGGTCCAAGTTGGGGTCCAAAATTAAACTTTGTTTGATTTCAACAAAAATTGAATATATGGGGTTCTTTGATATGCTGAATCTAAACATGTATTTAGATTTTAGATTTTTGGCCCAGTTTTCAAGTTGGTCCAAATTGGGGTCCAAAATTAAACTTTTTTTGATTTCAACAATATTTGAATATATGGAGTTCATTGATATGCTGAATCTAACCATGTATTTAGATTTTTTATTTGTGGGCCCGCTATCAAATTGGTTCATATTGAGGTCAAAAGGGTCCAAAATTAAACTTTGTTTGATTTCATCAAAAATTGAATTATTGGGGTTTTTTGATGTTCCAAATCTAACCTTGTATTTAGATTTTTAATTTTGGGTCCCGTTTTTTAAATTGGTCTACATTAAGGTCCAAAGGGTCCAAAATTAAACTTAGTTTGATTTTAACAAAAATTGAATTCTTGGGGTTCTTTGATATGCTGAATCGAAACATGTGTTTAGATTTTTGATTATGGCAGGGCCTAATCTAGGATTTTGGAGAGGGAGAAGTGACTTCTCCTTTCATCAGAGAGAAGGGAGAAGTGGTCAATTTCTTGGAGAAGTGAGATTCCATTACCGTTTCGGTTGCATAGTGTTCTCGTGCTTATCACTAAGGAAATTGCTTTATATGTTTATGTTTTTTTCATGTTATTGCACAAAATGTATATATAGAAAGTTCTTAATAAAAGGGTTTAGACAATATAGTTGTTATTTATTCATTGTACTATCAACTTGAATTTAAGTTTAAATAAAATTTGTTGCTTGGGACATGAGGGAGTAGCCTAGTAATATTATGATGCATCAAAATTTAGATTCTCGTTAAAGATTGTAAGCCTATAAATGAAAATATCTGTCAATCACATTTTGATTAACCAATACAGAGCTAATTTCTATAATTTTTTAAAGATCATTTCCCTATCAACGAAATAATTGTCGTGAAAAAAATTCCACTGCTGATCATAGCTGGTCGCGTGTCGTACGTTTGCAATTACATTATCCATCAGCTGTCTTACTACCTTTTATATTTCAATTTTTATACGACCGCAAAAAAAATTTTGTGGTCGTATATTGGTATGACGTTGGCGTTGTCGTCGTCGTCGTCGTCGTCGTCATCCGGCGTCGTCGTCCGAATACACATTAGTTTTCGCACTCTTACTTTAGTTTAAGTGAATGGATCTCATTGAAATTTTACCATAAGGTTCAATACCACAAAAGGAAGGTGGGGATTGATTTTGGGGGTTATGGTACTAACAGTTAAGGAATTAGGGGCCAAAAGGGGCCAAAAATAAGCATTTTTGTAACTTCCAGACATAACTTGTGTGTAAGTGTATGGATCTCTCTGACATTGTACCACAAGGTTCCATATCACAAAGGGAATGCTGGGATTGATTTTGGGGGTAATTGTCTCCAAATTTTAGGAATTAGGGGCCAAAAAGGGGCAAAAAACAAGCATTTTTCTAGTTTCATGACAATAACTTGTTTGTAAGTGTATGGATCTTTATGAAATTGTACTACAAGGTTCCATATCACAAAGGGAAGGCTGGGATTGATTTTGGGGGTTTTCCCTCAAAATTTTAGTAATTAGGGGCCATAAAAGGGCAAAAAAAACATGCATTTTTCTAGTTTCAGGACAATAACTTGTTTGTAAGTGTATGGATCTTTATGAAATTGTACTACAAGGTTCCATATCACAAAGGGAAGGCTGGGATTGATTTTGGGGGTTTTCCCTCAAAATTTTAGTAATTAGGGGCCATAAAAGGGCAAAAAAAACATGCATTTTTCTAGTTTCCAGACAATAACTTGTTTGTAAGTGTATGGATCTTTATGAAATTGTACTACAAGGTTCCATATCACAAAGGGAAGGCTGGGATTGATTTTGGGGGTTTTCCCTCAAAATTTTAGTAATTAGGGGCCATAAAAGGGCAAAAAAAACATGCATTTTTCTAGTTTCAGGACAATAACTTGTGTGTAAGTGTATGGATCTTTATGAAATTGTACTGCAAGGTTCCATATCACAAAGGGAAAGCTGGAATTGAGTTTGGGGGTAATTGCCCTAAACGTTTAGGAATCTGGGGCCAAAAAGGGGCCAAAAAACAAGCATTTATCTAGTTTCCAGACAATAACTTGTGTTCAAGTGTATGAATCTCTCTGAAATTGTACTGCAAGGTACCATACCACAAAGGGAAAGCTGGGATTGAGTTTGGGGGCGATGAATCATAAGGGGGTTCAAAAAATTGGGGGGGGGGATTTTTTTTTTCCTTTTTTTTCTTTAACATTTTCCATTTTAAATTGGTTATTTCTGATTTATATATAAAAGCAAATAATAATGATATGGTTTGAATAGGCATACATGTGAACCTCCCGACGGGAGTACAATAATCCCGTTTTCAGGGGTCTCCTCCCCCCCTCCCGTTGAAAAAATCCCGTGTATGAAATTTTTCATGAATGAAAAATTTCTGCCCAACATAACATCTCAGGCATCTGGTGTAACTGACATTACCTGAAGTTATATTTTACCTGTAAATCAATTAACATGCATAATTATATGGCTTCACTTGTCAGCTTGGGTGTCAAACATACTGGTAAGCAATGATTTTTACCTCAGGCTAACTGCCGTTGTGTAACAAAAACTGTGTATTTATTGGGTTACTTCCCTTGATTTATCCTGTTTTAAGTTACTTTCCTTTTAATAATGAAAATTTTTAAAAGAATATAAATAAAATATAAATTGAACAAATAATCATAAAAGGATGGTTATTAAATGATTTTAAATGTCTTAGGACAAATAAAAAAATAATAATTTGAAAATTATTTGAGGATTCTATACTTCCTTTTAAGGCTTAAATTGAAATTTATATAATAACTATGACCCTAACTTTACAGACAGAATGAATTTCTGAGTTTGCAAATAAAAACTATTTGCAAGAGAAAAAAAAAAAAAATAAAAACTATTTGCAGACAGCTAAACAAATGTTCTGGTTGCAATGATTGTTTTATAGAATATGAAGTAAAAAATTTAAAGAACATACTGGAAAAAAACAATGTTAGATTGAACATGTAGAATATAAAGATGGAGAAACTTTATAAGTACAAGGGTACTATAAACATAATAAATTGGTTGGAAAGTTGAAGAAAACACACTTTAAAAGACCATTTTTACAGCACACGGTTACATTTACAACAAAATTAATGTCGATTAAAAACCTCCTGATCTATGCTGTGTCAAATATTTAATTACAATCCAAATTCAGTGCTGTATCAAGCTTGAATGTTGTGTCCATACTTGCCCCAACTGTTCAGGGTTCGACCTCTGCGGTCGTATCAAGCTGCGCCCCAGCGGAGCATTTTATTATTCAATGAATATAATAAATCTACCGTTAATTCCCACCCTTAACCCACCGAATAGTACAATTTGATCGACTCGTAATAAATAAAAATAAAACAACTCAGCTGAGTGATTACGCAACATCCTCAGATAAAATCATCGTAAAATGATAACTTTAACAGACGGTCAGTTTTCCGTTTGAAAAGTTTTTGAATGTTATATCCTATGATGCTCAAAGTCGCCGTTGTATTTATTTAATTTGATCGTCGACAGTATTAGTCCTGGGTCGTTTCGAAAATCTCGATTTTCCTTGTCAGTCGCCATTTTTTTTACCTGGGAGACTTGTAATTCACAAGTTGTCTCCCTTTTACCAATTTTCATAGCGATTTGACTTCGACATGAAGTCAGTCGGCTGGCGAGATTTAGCGATTTTCGAAATTCTTTGGTGACTTAAATCGTCATTTCGCCGGCAAGATTATGGCCTGTTATGGGCCCAGTTTTCAAGTTTGTCCAAGTTAGGGTCCAAAATTAAACTTTGTTTGATTTCAACAAAAATTGAATATATGGGGTTATTTGATATGCTGAATCTAACCATGTATTTTGATTTTGGACATTGGACCATAATAGGTAAATTAAAAAAAATCAAGTTCTTAGACCACATTCTTTCTGTGTCAGAAACCTATGCTGTGTCAAATATTTAATCACAATCCAAATTCAGAGCTGTATCAAGCTTGAATGTTGTGTCCATACTTGCCCCAACTGTTCATGGTTCGACCTCTGCGGTCGTATCAAGCTGCGCCCAGCGAAGCATTTTATTAACCTATAATATGAAATCAAATAGACCTAGAAAAATCCAATTGCACGAGTTTGCAAATCTATTTATATCTATGTTTAGCAGTCTTCGCAGGTCACCTCGATGGTTATTTAGATGGCGTCTAGACTAAAATACACACGAAATGCTGATATATACTATTGATTCTATGCATCGTAAATTGTTTATTTTAGACTTTTTATAATTTGGATATGTGTTCTAGTATGTTATAAGTCGAATATAAGAATTTGAGTCAAATCGGTGAATATGAATTTGACAGTTAATGCCCCTTTAAGAAATGACTGTAATATTTTTTCTGTCGATTCGAAATAACATTTAAAAGTGTGCACCACATTTTTTTAGGTTATTTCGAAGAGACAGAAAAAATATTACAGTCATTCCTTATAATTTAATTCTAAATTCCATTTTTAAGGAGTTAATCATGAAAAAACTTGGATGATGTCACGGTCACATGACAAAATTATGTCTATAAGCTGATAGACAAACAAACTTGTTAGATCCAAAATTAAATTATAAAACAGTCTAAATAATGCAATAAATCACTTATTTTTCTTTATTTTTACAGTAAAAGTCTCTCACATTAATTGCCAAACTATCTCAAAACTTGCAGATTGAAGCAAAGAACATGACGAACTAGACCGATTGTGTACTGCTATTTTACAATCAAAGATGACAGTATACAGTTAATCTTCCTTAAATTTAATCTAAAAATGTCCTTTTTTCCAAGATATGTTCCTCCAGGAAAGAGAAATCAGTACAATCAACAGAGAAACTTACGACATGGTGCACCACCTAACCGATTACCAGTACATCAACCTCCTCCTCAACCGACCGCACCACGGCTTGCAGCTCAACATTCTAGGGAGGATTATAAAGTTAATGGTAATGGTAAGTGATGGTAAAGCTGATGAAGTTCAGTCATTCCCTCCCAAACTAATATCTGATGGTAAAGCTGATGAAGTTCAGTCCTTCCCTCCCAAACTAATATCTGATGGTAAAGCTGATAAAGTTCTTCTCAAACTTATAATCTATTGTATATCAAAATAGTCCTTCCCTTCCAATACTTAAAATCTATGAAAAGATGAGAAGTTTAGAAAGTTTGGTATGGGACTTACATTTGGTGAAAACTTTGTTTTTTAAATTTTTTAATGTTCAAATTCATGCTGATTTTCTCAGCGTTCCTGCTTCCAAAAATAAAAGGGTGTCCAGTCCTTCTGTCCTTGGAAGCAGTACCCCTCTGCCTTTACAAAAAAAAAAAATCACATAACATGGTGAAATTGTTGCCTAGTTGAATAAACATTCAAATTAACAGACAATGAGTGTAGCCTAGGCAGTTTTATCACCTCTATAGATGATTGGCTTCTGCTAATTAGGTGATTAAAGATAACTAAACAGATAAATAGATATTTGGCAGCAGTCCTTTTGTAGCAATTGCCATAACAAGATGTATCATTTGCGCCAAATATTATTTTTCAGAGGCATCAATTGCGCCAATTTACATGTATGTATATTTATATATATTAACATGATTAACCGTACATAAAATATTGTATGTTCATAACCTTTACGTAAAGCATATATTGTCTGAAGGCGAGACATAGGTGTTGCTTTTCCGTCTGCGTCGTCATTAGCTTCAACAATTGTTAAGTTTTCTGCTTAAATCAGTTTGATAGGAACTACTTGGGACAAATCAATGATATTTTCTGTAAAGTTGCATTACTATTAGTACATATCAGATTGACGACTATTTGGAGGCCCTACCCTGTAGGTCATGGTCCAGCTACTTTGAATTAACTAGCAATTTTCTTTGTTAAGTTAGTTTGATAGGAACTACTTGTGACAGATCAATGAAGTTTTCTGTGAAGTTGCATTACTATCAGTACATATCAGATTGACGACTATTTGGAGACCTTGCCCCCTAGGTCATGCATGGTCTAGAGACTTTTGATTTTTAAGCAATTTTCAATGTCAAGTTCACTGCTGATGTCAGTTTGATATTCTACTTGTGATATAGCAATGATATTTTCAATAAAGTTCCATTACTATCAGTACATATCATTTGAAGACTATTTCCAGGCCCTGCCTCCATAGGTCATGGTCCAAGTTACTTTCAATTAATTACCAATTTTCAATGTTAAGTTTTCCTTAAGTTAGTTTGTAGGAACTATTTATGATAAACAATGATATTTTCTATAAAGTTGCATTACTACCACTACATCTCAGTTTGTCCACCATTTTGAGGCCCTGACCCCTAGGTCATGGTCAAGCAAGTTTGAATTAATTAGCAATGTTGCTGTCCATCAGATTGTCTTTTTATAAGACCTCAAAAATTATAAATTTTTTGGTCGTATATTGGTATCACGCTGTCGTCGTCAGCGTCGTCCGAAGACAGATGGTTTCTGGATAATAACTTTAGTATTAGTAAATAGAAATCAATAAAATTTTAACACAAGGTTTATTACCACTAAAGGAAGGTTGGGATTGATTTTGGGGGTTATGGTCCCAACTGTTTAGGAATTAGGGGCCAAAAAAGGGGCCCAAATAAGCATTTTTGTAGTTTCCAGACAATAACTTGTGTTAAAGTGTATGAATCTCTCTAAAAATATTCCACAAGTTTCCATACTACAAAGGGATGGTTAGGATTGACTTTGGGGGTGGGGGTTATGGCTCAAACCATTTAGGAATTAGGGGTCAAAAAAGGGGAAAAACAAGGGTTTTTCTGGTTAAAGGACAATTGAGAATTTAAAAGCAGTGTAAGGGAGGTAATCCAAATCAATTTAAATAACAATGTTTGATTACCACCCTTACACTGCTTGTAAATTATGTATAAAGAAATGATGATTGTCTGAGATACTGACCATAACTTGAGGGAAAGAATTATTTTTTGGAATAAGGGAAAGGGGGAGGTGAAAAAAATTGGAGGGGGACAATTTTTCTCATTTCAGATTTCAGAAATTAAAAGAAAATTTCTTCAAATATTTTTTTTTGGGGGTGGGGGGGGGGGGGTCAATTCGCATAGTGTATTGCACAAAAGCAAAAAATTGAATATAAATTCAAATCATAAAACCAATTTGAAGTTCTTTGACTACAGTTATTCTGTGTCAGAAACCTATTATGTGTCAAAAATTTAATTACAATCCAAATTCAGACCTGTATCAAGCGTGAATATTGTGTCCATTTTGGCCCCAACTTTTCAGGGTTGGACATCTGCGGTCGTATCCAGCTGCGCTCAGCAAAGCAATTTATTTTAAATTTCTGCCAACTGGCAAGACATATCTTTATATATAAAAAAATATGTTTAGTTTAAAAATTTATTTCCCTTGGTTGGAAGGAAAAGGTTATGTATAACTTCCTGATTCACTTCTAATATTCATAATAGGTTTATTAAAATTTCAGATGTAAAAGAAGAAGTAAAGGTTGAAGAGAAAGATAATACTAGTCCAGTTCCTGACTCTGCTGGTCCTACAGAGTCTATTCACACCTCACCGGTGTCTAAAATTGATAAGAAAAATTCTACACCCAAGGGTAGGTAATCCTGACAATTTACACCTCACCAATGTCTTAAATTTATAAGAAGAAAAATTCTACAACCAAGGGTAGGTAATCCTGACAATTTACACCTCACCAATGTCTAAAATTGATAAGAAAAATTCTACACCCAAGGGTAGGTAATCCTGACAATTTACACCTCACCAATGTCTTAAATTGACAAGAAAAAGTCTACACCCAAGGGTAGGTAATCCTGACAATTTACACCTCACCAATGTCTTAAATTGATAAGAAAAATTCTACACCCAAGGGTAGGTAATCCTGACAATTTACACCTCACCAATGTCTAAAATTGACAAGAAAAAGTCTACACCCAAGAGTATGTAATCCTGACAATTTACACCTCACCGATGTCTAAAATTGACAAGAAAAAGTCTACACCCAAGGGTAGGTAATCCTGACAATTTACACCTCACCAATGTCTAAAATTGATAAGAAAAATTCTACACCCAAGGGTAGGTAATCCTGACAATTTACACCTCACCAATGTCTAAAATTGACAAGAAAAAGTCTACACCCAAGAGTATGTAATCCTGACAATTTACACCTCACCGATGTCTAAAATTGACAAGAAAAAGTCTACACCCAAGGGTATGTTATCCTGAAAATTTACACTTCAACATTGTCTAAAATTGACCAGAAAAATTTTACACACAAAGGTAGTTTATCCTGACACTATACACTTCATTGATGTCTAAAATTGACAAGAATAATTCTACACCCAAGGGTAGGTAATCCTGATTATTTACATCTCACTGGTGTCTTTGTTGAATTCCACACCTAAGGGACCTCTCGGATGTCTTAAGTTGATAAGATCAATTCTACACTTAATGGCAGGTAATCTTACATTTTACACCTCAATGGTTTCCAAAACCTTCTACCCAAGGGTAAGTAATCCTGACTTTCAACAGGCTATTTACAAAATACAATATACTGCTTTTTGTACAGATTCTTTTTTAGATGCAATATTTGAATTTCTTTTCTTTCAGCACAAAATGCCTTAATACAAGACTTAAAAGATTTTAGTGTTAATTTTAAGGTAAGTTTGCAGATCTTTTTGTTATAATGAATAGATCAATTTCTGGGATTTTAGTTGCCATATAGTGCTTATGATCCTTGATAGATTTGGAAATTGGAACTTTTTATTATGCCCCCGCCGTAGCAGTGGGGGCATTAAGTTTTTATACGACCGCAAACAAATTTTGTGGTCGTATATTGGTATGACGTTGTCGTCGTTGTCGTCCGGCGGCGTCGTCGTCGTCGTCCGAAGACACATTGGTTTTCGCACTCTAACTTTAGTTTAAGTGAATGGATCTTTTAGAAATTTCACCATAAGGTTAAATACCACAAAAGGAAGGTTGGGATTGATTTTGGGGTTATGGTACCAACAGTTAAGGAATAAGGGGCCAAAAAGGGGCCAAAAATAAGCATTTTCTAGTTTCCAGACAATAACTGTGGAACGGTGTATGGATCTCTCTGAAATTATACTACAAGTTTCCATACCACAAAGGGATAGTTAGGATTTGCTTTGGGGGGTTATGGCTCAAACTGTTTAGGAATTAGGGGCAAAAAAGGGGGAAAAACAAGGTTGTCCTGGTTAATGGACAAATACTTTAGTACAAAACATAATTTAAAGCAGTGTAAGGGAGATAAATCAAATACATCATTGAAATTATCTCCCTTACACTGCTTTTTAATTATGTATAAAGTAATGGTTAATGAACAATAAAGATAATTTAAAACAGTGTAAGGGAGGTAATCCAAATACAACTTTTTTCTTACTTCCCTTACACTGCTTTTAAATTATGTTTAAAGAAATGCATATTTATAAAGGAAGACCAGTAGAAATATCTGCAAATGTTGCATCTTTTTTTTTTACAAAAAAATCCATATGAAAGATTTGACACTATATTTTTAATTCTATTATAAAATAGATTAAGTTAGCACTATGGTAAATTTAAATGGGTAATTATGGTTGCCAACTCCATTGGAAATTTGAATTGAGATTATGACCATATCTTGAGGGAAAGAATTTTTTGGGGGAAAAAAGAGGGGGGGGGATAAAAAGAAATTGTGGGGGGTCAATTTTTTCTCATTTCAGATTTCAGAAATTAAAAAGAATTATTCTTCAAATATTATTTTTTTTTCAAATTTCAAATATTGAAAAATTTCAAGAAGTAATCTTTAATTGCACAGTATGGCGCATTAGATTTGTAAAATCTTTGATCACATTTATTTATTTGTTATGCCGAATCTAACAGTGTATTTAGATTTTTAATTTTGGGTCCAGTTTTCAAATTGGTCTACATTAAGGTCCAAAGGGTCCAAAATTTAACTTTGTTTGATTTTAGCAAAAATTGAATATATGAGGTTCTTTGATATGCTGAATCTCAACATGTATTTAGATTTTTGATTTTTGGCCCAGTTTTCAAGTTGGTCCAAATTGGGGTCCAAAATTAAACTTTGTTTGATTTCAACAAAAATTGAATATATGGGGTTCTTTGATATGCTGAATCTAACCATGTATTTAGATTTTTTTATTTGTGGACCCCGTTATCAAATTGGTTCATATTGAGGTCAAAAGGGTCCAAAATTAAACTTTGTTTGATTTCATCTAAAATTGAATTATTGGGGTTCTTTGATATTCCAAATCTAACCAGTATTTAGATTTTAAATTTAGGGTCCTGTTTTTATACGACCACCAAAAATTTTGTGGTCGTATATTGGTATGACGTTGGCGTCGTCGTCGTCGTCCGAAGACACATTGGTTTTCGCACTCTAACTTTAGTTAAAGTAAATGGATCTTTTTGAAATTTGACCATAAGGTTAAATACCACAAAAGGAAGGTTGGGATTGATTTTGGGGGTTATGGTACCAACAGTTAAGGAATTAGGGGCCAAAAAGGGGCCAAAAATAAGCATTTTCTAGTTTCCAGACAATAACTGTGGAACGGTGTATGGATCTCTCTGAAATTATACTACAAGTTTCCATACCACAAAGGGATGGTTAGGATTTGCTTTGGGGGGTTATGGCTCAAACCGTTTAGGAATTAGGGGCAAAAAAGGGGGAAAAACAAGGTTGTCCTGGTTAATGGACAAATACTTTAGTACAAAACATAATTTAAAGCAGTGTAAGGGAGATAAATCAAATACATCAATGAAATTATCTCCCTTACACTGCTTTTAAATTATGTATAAAGTAATGGTTAATGAACAATAAAGATAATTTAAAACAGTGTAAGGGAGGTAATCCAAATACAACGTTTTGGTTACTTCCCTTACACTGCTTTTAAATTATGTTTAAAGAAATGCATATTTATAAAGGAAGACCAGTAAAAATATCTGCAAATGTTGCATCTTTTTTTTTTACAAAAAAATCCATATGAAAGATTTGACACTATATTTTTAATTCTATTATAAAATAGATTAAGTTAGCACTATGGTAAATTTAAATGGGTAATTATGGTTGCCAACTCCATTGGAAATTTGAATTGAGATTATGACCATATCTTGAGGGAAAGAATTTTTTTGGGGAAAAAAGGGGGGGGGATAAAAAGAAATTGTGGGGGGTCAATTTTTTCTCATTTCAGATTTCAGAAATTAAAAAAATTATTCTTCAAATATTATTTTTTTTTCAAATTTCAAATATTGAAAAATTTCAAGAAGAAATCTTTAATTGCACAGTATGGCGCATTAGATTTGTAAAATCTTTGATCACATTTATTTATTTGTTATGCCGAATCCAACAGTGTATTTAGATTTTTAATTTTTGGTCCAGTTTTCAAATTGGTCTACATTAAGGTCCAAAGGGTCCAACATTAAACTTTGTTTGATTTTAGCAAAAATTGAATATATGAGGTTCTTTGATATGCTGAATCTAAACATGTATTTAGATTTTTGATTTTTGGCCCAGTTTTCAAGTTGGTCCAAATTGGGGTCCAAAATTAAACTTTGTTTGATTTCAACAAAAATTGAATATATGGGGTTCCTTGATATGCTGAATCTAACCATGTACTTAGATTTTTTATTTGTGGACCCCGCTATCAAATTGGTTCATATTGAGGTCAAAAGGGTCCAAAATTAAACTTTGTTTGATTTCATCTAAAATTGAATTATTGGGGTTCTTTGATATTCCAAATCTAACGGTGTATTTAGATTTTTAATTTTGGGTCCTGTTTTTTTAAATTGGTCTACATTAAGGTCCAAAGGGTCCAAAATTAAACTTAGTTTGATTTTAACAAAAATTGAATTCTTGGGGTTCTTTGATATGCTGAATCTAAACATGTGTTTAGATTTTTGATTATGGGCCCAGTTTTCAAGTTGGTCCAAGATAGGGTCCAGTATTTAAACTTTGTTTGATTTCAACAAAAATTGAATATATGGGGTTCTTTGATATGCTGAATCTAAACATGTATTTAGATTTTTGATTATGGGCCCAGTTTTCAAGTTGGTCCAAATTGGGGTCCAAAATTAAACTTTGTTTAATTTCAACAAAAATTGAATATATGAGGTTCTTTGATATGCTGAATCTAACCATGTATTTTGATTTTTTATTTGTAGGCCCCGCTATCAAATTGGTTCATATTGAGGTCAAAAGGGTCCAAAATTAAACTTTGTTTGATTTCATCAAAAATTGAATTATTGGGGTTCTTTGATATGCCAAATCTAACCGTGTTTTTAGATTTTTAATTTGGGTCCCGTTTTTTAAATTGGTCTTCATTGAGGTCCAAAGGGTCCAAAATTAAACTTAGTTTGATTTTAACAAAAATTGAATTCTTGGGGTTCTTTGATATGCTGAATGTAAAAATGTGTTTAGATTTTTGATTATGGGCCCAGTTTTCAAGTTGGTCCAAGTTGGGGTCCAAAATAAAACTTTTTTTTGATTTCAACAAAAATTGAATATATGGGGTTCTTTGATATGCTGAATCTAACCATGAATTTAGATTTTTTATTTGTGGGCCCCGCTATCAAATTGGTTCATATTGAGGTCAAAAGGGTCCAAAATTAAACTTTGTTTGATTTCATCAGAAATTGAATTATTGGGGTTCTTTGATATGCCAAATCTAAGCGTGTATTTATATTTTTAATTTTAAGTCCCGTTTTTTAAATTGGTCTACATTAAGGTCCAAAGAGTCCAAAATTAAACTTAGTTTGATTTAAGCAAAAATTGATTTCTTGGGGTTATTTGATATGCTGAATCTAAACATGTGTTTAGATTTTTGATTATGGGCCCAGTTTTCAAGTTGTCCAAGTTGGGGTCCAAAATTAAACTTTGTTTGATTTTAACAAAAATTGAATATATTGGGTTCTTTGATATGCTGAATCTAACCATGTATTTTGATTTTGGACATTGGACCATAATAGGTAAATTAAAAAAATTCAAGTTCTTAGACCACATTCTTTCTGTGTCAGAAACCTATGCTGTGTCAAATATTTAATAACAATCCAAATTCAGAGCTGTATCAAGCTTGAATGTTGTGTCCATACTTGCCCCAACTGTTCATGGTGCGACCTCTGCGGTCGTATCAAGCTGCGCCCCAGCGAAGCATTTTATTTAAATTGCTCTACATTAAGGTCCAAAGGGTCCAAAATTGAACTTAGTTTGATTTTAACAAAAATTGAATTCTTGGGGTTCTTTGATATGCTGAATCTAAACATGTGTTTAGATTTTTGATTATGGGCCCAGTTTTCAAGTTGGTCCAAGATAGGGTCCAGTATTTAAACTTTGTTTGATTTCAACAAAAATTGAATATATGGGGTTCTTTGATATGCTGAATCTAAACATGTATTTAGATTTTTGATTATGGGCCCAGTTTTCAAGTTGGTCCAAATTGGGGTCCTTAATTAAACTTTGTTTGATTTCAACAAAAATTGAATATATGAGGTTCTTTGATATGCTGAATCTAAACATGTATTTAGATTTTTTATTTGTGGGCCCCGCTATCAAATTGGTTCATATTGAGGTCAAAAGGGTCCAAAATTAAACTTTGTTTGATTTCATCAAAAATTGAATTATTGGGGTTCTTTGATATGCCAAATCTAACCGTGTTTTTAGATTTTTAATTTGGGTCCCGTTTTTTAAATTAGTCTTCATTGAGGTCCAAAGGGTCCAAAATTAAACTTAGTTTGATTTTAACAAAAATTGAATTCTTGGGGTTCTTTGATATGCTGAATCTAAACATGTGTTTAGATTTTTTATTATGGGCCCAGTTTTCAAATTGGTCCAAGTTGGGGTCCAAAATAAAACTTTTTTTGATTTCAACAAAAATTGAATATATGGGGTTCTTTGATATGCTGAATCTAACCATGAATTTAGATTTTTTATTTGTGGGCCCCGCTATCAAATTGGTTCATATTGAGGTCAAAAGGGTCCAAAATTAAACTTTGTTTGATTTCATCAAAAATTGAATTATGGGGGTTCTTTGATATTCCAAATCTAACGGTGTATTTAGATTTTTAAATTGGTCTACATTAAGGTCCAAAGGGTCCAAAATTAAACTTAGTTTGATTTTAATAAAAATTGAATATATGGGGTTCTTTGATATGCTGAATCTAACCATGTATTTTGATTTTGGACATTGGACCATAATAGGTAAATTAAAAAATTCAAGTTCTTAGATCACATTCTCTCTGTGTCAGAAACCTATGCTGTGTCAAATATTTAATAACAATCCAAATTCAGAGCTGTATCAAGCTTGAATGTTGTGTCCATACTTGCCCCAACTGTTCAGGGTTCGACCTCTGCGGTCGTATCAAGCTGCGCCCCAGCGAAGCATTTTATTTCCCTTGTCCGTCTGTACGTACCGTAGAAAGGCTTGTATAGTCCGCGGTTTTATTCTCCAAAATTGGACCTTCCAGACGGGGTGCGGACTATAGAGTACAATAAGCAAGAAATAAGAGAAACATTTCAATTTCGCGGGCGAGGTGGTTTGTTTACATTCCGCCATCTTTGTTATTTATATTGTAGAGGGCGCTCTTATCATTTTTCAAACTAATAATTTTAACTCATCCATATTAATAAGTTATTTCTATTCAATATCAAATTAATACTGATAAATATAAAAACTAAACCTTTCATTACAAATTTCTCATTTCTTTTCAATGCATTGGTTGAAATAAACTGGTATCTGCATGATTGAAACTATACAAACATAGTGAAAAAGACAACCGTAAACCAGCTTAGAATTTGTAAACTACAAAACGTAATCGGTTATTGTTCGTTCCGTTTTGGTGTTTCATACTGACTAATATGGTTTGTATTAGCTTAAGACCCTTCAAACATTAATGTGATAGATATATTAAAGACTGTTTTACAAAAGGATGTAACTGTTTTACTTTCAAAGTCGTATTATAGTGATATCTGTTATGTACGGATTTCGACTCTCACCGGTTAATTTCTTCTATTACACGTGCTTTTTAAACTTCCTGTTTAAACATACACTAGTTTCTAAATTGTTTTTTAAGTGAATTAAACTTATTTTAACAATCATGAAGCATTCTAGAATCATTTACAAGCAGTTTCAGCTTCTGTTTGATGATGGAAAACAGGTTTTTCCAAGAAAATACCGCAAACGACCGCACTGGATTTGAAATTACTTCAGTTTCATTAGACCTTTTCTAACAGTTACAAAAAGTTTTTTTACTTAAAATTTCGTGGGGAGAAGGGGGTGCGGACTATGTACCAGTGCGAACTATACAAGCCTTTCTACGGTACATCCCTACGTCCCAAAATTGGTTTCAGTTCTCTAACTTGAGTTTGCCTCAACCAAATGTTATGAAACTTATACACAATGCTTATTACCACAAAACACAGATCAAATTCTCCTAGCTAAATGGATGTCCATATTGGTGTTGATCATTATTTATTTACCGTTTAGGAGTTATGACCCTTGACTGTATTGGTGTTGACCATTATTTATTTGCCGTTTAGGAGTTATGACCCTTGACTGTATTGGTGTTGATCATTATTTATTTGCCGTTTAGGAGTTATGACCCTTGACTGTATTGGTGTTGATCATTATTTATTTGCCGTTTAGGAGTTATGGCCCTTGACTGTATTGGTGTTGACCATTATTTATTTGCCGTTTAGGAGTTATGGCCCTTGACTGTATTGGTGTTGACCATTATTTATTTGCCGTTTAGGAGTTATGACCCTTGACTGTATTGGTGTTGACCATTATTTATTTGCCGTTTAGGAGTTATGACCCTTGACTGTATTGGTGTTGACCATTATTTATTTGCCGTTTAGGAGTTATGGCCCTTGACTCTATTGGTGTTGACCATTATTTATTTGCAGTTCAGGAGTTATGGCCCTTGACTGTATTGGTGTTGATCATTATTTATTTGCCGTTTAGGAGTTATGAGCCTTGACTGTATTGGTGTTGATCATTATTTATTTGCAGTTCAGGAGTTATGACCCTTGACTGTATTGGTGTTGATCATTATTTATTTGCCGTTTAGGAGTTATGACCCTTGACTGTATTGGTGTTGACCATTATTTATTTGCAGTTCAGGAGTTATGACCCTTGACTGCTCAGACAATGACACATTTAAATATAAGAAAAACCCAGTTTGCTGTCATTTTGACATGTTTTGTAACTACAGGAAAATTTGGACCAGGGATAATTTTGTGGTTTAAACATACTGGCAGACAAGGTTCACCTGAACTCATTGTCCTGGATCATTGATAGTGTAAAGTTTATGTGATACTATTAGTAAAATCTTTATGAAGACTTTTAACATAAAATCAATCATGGTCAGTGAAGCAGGCGAGACGTTTCAATGTGTGCATTCTAACAAGAAACTGTATAGCAAAAATGATCAATTGTACAAGATCTACAAAAAATGCCAATATGGCCGAAACTATTAGATGGCTCCCTAAGGAGTTTTTGCCATTAAATTAAGATTTTCTGGTCTAATTTTTTGTGGTTTTGAATAAAAGTAAGGTACAATCTGTGTACTTCTAAATGATTAGCATTACAAGATCTACTAAATTAAAGTAACTGATTGCAATAAAGCTGAAATTAATATCAAAATGGCATATCTTTTCATACAAGTTAAGCGATTCAGCCTATTATGAGCTGCTTGTTCTGAAAGACTTTAAATCTAAATTAAATCATGATCTATAAAGCAGGCGACACATTACAGCACCTTGTTTATCTCTTGAATTTCTCATCATAAATAATAGGAAAACAGTTTGGGTTTATGGGATCCTTGCGAATTTTATATGTCTGTCAAGAGGGTTCAGCTGACATTGACCTAATTTCATGGATGAGTGATCAAGGTTTACTGATACTTTTAAGTAGACTATATTTGGTGAATGGAATGATTGTAAAGGTCTCTCTCTTGTTAGGCCAAAAAAGAATATGCATGTTTACTTTCACCTCTTGATAAAAAAGTTTTATTAGGTTTAAATATCAAAGCCAGAAATAAATATCCTTATCGATTCTGTTATTGCATTTACCTTTATTTCCAGTTAGCAGCCATTTGTCAAAGATGTTTTTGTCATTCAAATTTGAAATTAACCGTGTTTCACACAAAACTTGTTGACCATGTTTGACATAAAGCTAGCGGTTGAGCAAAAGGACAATACTGGTGAAAATATGATGTTCCCAATTTTCATTGAAAAAAGTTAGGGTCAGCCGGGGTACAGTCAACAGATGTTTTTGGTCCTTGTGTCTGTTTCCCAATTAATAAAAGCAATGGGTCAACTATATTTGGTGCATTGAATGATTGTAAGCTTTACATGTTGGTCTGTCAAGATTCATATGAACTTGACCTCATTTAAATGAATAACTGATAATGTAAAGTTTAAGAGATACTTGTAGCATAACTTTCTCTTGAAGATTTCAACATAAATTCAATCTTAATCAGTTAAGCACTCTTGTGCTACTTATAGTGATCATAAAAAATGTATCTATAAGAAAGTTGTTGGTTTTTTTCAGTTATCTGAGGACTCTAAAGAAACAAAGAAAAGTCCTGAAAAAGTTGAAAAGACTGAACAGAAAGAAGAATTAGAAGAAAAGACAAAATCGCCACCCCCACCTGTTCCAACTACTTCTGCTGCACTTCCTGTAGTTGTCCCAGCTACCACTCTAGATCCCCCACAGTCTAAAGAGGAACCAAAGCCAGAAACAAATGAGTAAGTTAAAACCCCAAGACTAATGGCTTTCTAGGCCATTCAGGGTCTAAAGAGGAACCAAAACCAGAAACAAATGAGTAAGTTATTATTCCAAGACTAATGGCTTGTCTGAGCTACCACTCTAGACCCCCAGCAGTCTAAAGAGGAACCAAAGCCAGAAACAAATGAGTAAGTTATAACCCAAAGACTAATGGCTTGTCTGAGCTACCAATCTAGACCCCCAACAGTCTAAAGAGGAACCAATAGATATAGCAAAGCCAGAAACAAATGAGTAAGTGATAATCCCAAGACTAATGGCTTGTCTATGCTACCAATCTAGGCCCCCAACAGTCTAAAGAGGAACCAAAGCCAGAAATAAATGAGTAAGTGATAATCCCAAGACTTATGGTTTGTCTAAGCTACCAATCTAGGCCCCCAACAGTCTGAAGAGGAACCAAAGCCAGAAACAAATGAGAAAGTTATTATCCCATGACTAATGGCTTTTTAGACCATCCACAGTCTAAAGAGAAACCAAAGCCAGAAACAAATGAGTAAGTTATTATCCCTCGACTAATAACCTGTCTGAGCTACAACTCTAGACCCTCCATGGTCTAAAGAGGAACCAAAGCCAGAAGCAAATTACTGCCTCTAAAATGTTTCACAAATTGGTTTTGAGTCTCTACCTTTTGTTTTCCTAATAAAATCAAATATCTACAATTTTACTAAGTTTTGACAGTTAGTCAGGGTCATAATATATCTTTTCAAGTTCACTTATTTAAGTTACATTTGTAAATATAATTTTCAGGGTAGTCCATTCATGCAGATTTTATAAGCACAAAAAAAAGGTCTCAGACCTCTGGTTATTTTTCTAATGAAGTATAAAATCTAATCCTCCTGAAACACTAATTGTCTTCCAGACACCTATATGGTTATTTAATTTCTTAATTTCATTTCATAAAATAGTGTTTTGATGTTTTAGACATAATTTAAGATGTGTCTTCATTTCAGTATTTTGAAGAACTCCAGCCTGAATCCCCATGCAAAATCATTTGTCTTGAATCCTAATGCAAAATCTTTCCAACCGGTAAGTCAGTAGATTTATTTTATAAAGCATAGTTAGAATAGCATTGTTTTTCTCTTGATATCTGAGGGTTCTCAATGAACATTTTATAAAGAAATAACATTGCAACCCTCTTGGTATCTGAGAGTTATCAAGGAGCATTTTATAAAGAAATAACATTGCAACCCTCTTGGTATTTGAGAGTTCTCAAGGAGCATTTTATAAAGAAATAACATTGCAATCCTCTTGGTATCTGAGGGTTCTCAAGGAGCATTTTATAAAGAAATAACATTGCAACCCTCTTGGTATCTGAGAGTTATCAAGGAGCATTTTATAAAGAAATAACATTGCAACTCTCTTGGTATCTGGGGGTTCTCAATGAGCATAATAACATTGCAACTCTCTTGGTATCTGAGGGTTCTCAATGAACATTTTATAAAGAAATAACATTGCAACTCTCTTGGGATCTGAGAGTTATCAAGGAGCATTTTATAAAGAAATAACATTGCAATCCTCTTGGTATCTGAGAGTTATCAAGGAGCATTTTATAAAGAAATAACATTGCAACTCTGTTGATATCTGAGGGTTCTCAATGAGCATTTTATAAAGAAATAACATTGCAACTCTCTTGGTGTCTGAGGGTTCTCAATGAGCATTTTGTTAAGAAATAACATTGCAACTCTCTTGATATCTGAGGGTTCTCAATGAGCATTTTATAAAGATATAACATTGCAACTCTCTTGGTGTCTGAGGGTTCTCAATGAGCATTTTTATTAAGAAATAACTTTGCAACTCTCTTGATATCTGAGGGTTCTCAATGAGCATTTTATTAAGAAATAACATTGCAACTCTCTTGATATCTGAGGGTTCTCAATGAGCATTTATTAAGAAATAACATTGCAACTCTCTTGATATATCTGAGGGTTCTCAATGAGCATTTATTAAGAAATAACATTGCAACTCTCTTGATATATCTGAGGGTTCTCAATGAGCATTTTATAAAGATATAACATTGCATATCTCTTGGTATCTGAGGGTTCTCGAGAAACGTTTTATTGAGAAATAACATTGCAACTCTCTTGGTGTCTGAGGGTTCTCAAGGAACATTTTATTAAGAAATAATTTGTATTTGGGATTAAAAGAAGCATGTAAGATATTTTATACCAACATTGATTCTGTTGTCTATTTTCTTCTCAACCTTTTCAAGAATCATTTTAAAAGTTTTTAGTATCAAATTATTGTCTGATGTGTTTAACAATAAACCAAATAAGTCCTTGTAAATTGGAAGTAGAAGGGTATAAAAATTAATAGAATTATTTTGTTTAATCCTGAAAAATATTATATAGTGCCTGTAACTACCAAATGTTTGGCAAATCATACAATTACCATTCCTTACAAGAACTACAGTTGATGATTCCTACGTGCCAACATCACAAAAAATACATGTGGGGGTATGCATTTGTTGTTTTTAATTACAGAAGCAGTATCCCCAGCAGGTTCCCACACCACCACGACCACAAACACAGAGTCCAATCATACAACCGATGCCTCCGGCAATGGCACCAATGTTCCAGCCAGTTATCTTCCAAACTCAACTTGGTCAACAAATGCAACAACAACAAAGACCACAGCCAAAACGAGGTCAGTTTGCATCCATGTTTTGATGTGCATGATCTATATAGATGTGAGCAAAGTAGTCGTGCATCATGTTTCTAGCCAGCCAGTACATACATTATCATTTTTCTGTCTTAGCATTATTTATTAATGAAAAGAAAGTTGTGTTTGCTTCAGAATTTAAGCTATCCAAGGAACAATTGATAGGCGGAACCAGGTCTTGTATCCGCTCGATCCATCTGTCTTTCCGTCTGTCCAAAAGAAAAAGTTTTCTTGTTTCTGTGAAAGGGAATGATATAATTTTTGTGTTGCATCTTAATAATGTTGAGTAATAGCGAGTAAGCAATTTTTAAATCTACTGTTTAGCCACTTCCTGTTTGGCGATAGTTTTTACAACACTCATTGTACAAGGAAGATTTTTGTCAAAGTTTTCTCTGCTTCTTTGAAAGGGAATGATTTGATATTTGGTCAGCAGCTTGATCATGTTAAATTGTAGCGAGGAAGCAATTATCAGATCTGCCATGTAGCCACTTCCTGTTGACTAATAGTTTTAAATTTTACAACACTGGTACAAGGAAAATTTTCGTCACACTTTTCTTAGCTCCAATTGAAGTGAACAACTTTTATTTTTGGTCTGGGAATGATCTGTCATTCTCCTTTCACATGTTACCTCAATCAATTGCATGCAGTGATGCAGGTCCAGACCTGGTATTGGTTTTGTTCAAAGTTATTATAGAGTCAATCGTTTATATGTACCAGTAACAAGGTTAAATTGTTGGATTTTTTATATAGACCAAAAAAAAGGAGGAATGAGTTCTGGTTAAAAATTGTAAAAAAAAAATGGAGATACTATAGTTAACCATATGATAGAGGTTTTATGAATGAGATTTGGGGTATATCTTAGTATGTAAACACTTTGGATAATTAAAGATAAAGTAATTTAGAGAGGGAGGGTAGTATTGTAGAATGTCTCGGTAAGAAAATATTATATAGTGTTGACTCTGGTGTTGAAACAAGAAATTGAGAGGTTGGCATGTATTACAGACAATGGTAATAAAAGACCACCTCCTCATGCAGGTAACTTCCACATGTAACCTGTTGTGTGTCAAGTCAAACCAAACAATTTGTCACAAATTATCAACTACATTTAAATTATGGCCATACCAGGTTGATAAAAATTATTCATACATGACACAGGTAGTATTTATCTGCAACTGGGAGATTCTAATTCAGTGGTGTTGGCTCTAAGTAAAACACTCTATGTTTCTGAAGGTAGAAGAGATGATTAATCCATATTGGGTCACATACAAAGAACATTTGTGACAAATTGTTTGTTCTGAACTTAAGACAAATCAAGGTATGCAGAAACATAAAAAGGTTACCATGAATGTAGACAGTAAATTTGAAGTTTTTATAGAGGATTATAACTTGCTGGTGTTCTTCAGTAATTCAATACCTTGATTTGTCTGTGTGAACTATTGTTTTCATGCTTGATGTGGACTTAATAAACATCACATTGCTTCCTACCTTATCACTTCTTCACTGAATCACATACTTCACAGTGACCAATCATATACCATACAACTATATATAAACATACTTCACATGTTAATGCAGTGACAAAAGTAACATCTAATATGATTAGACAAAAAGTAGTGTATTAAAGTTTGAATGGACAGGAAGCAGTTTCAAATGGAAGATTAAATTTGAAGAAATCATGTAATGTTTGTGTCGAGTGACACAGGATGTCTTACAAGAGTTTTATATTATGTTATTAAAATTATTTTCTTGTTTCTAAATTAAACCCTTAAATAGTTATAACAAATTAACTTACCCACGGGAAAATGTGGGAATTTGTTTACAGGAAACTTTCCCTTTCATACTACAGAAGTTTTCTTTTAGAAGGTGATTGCCAGTGAACTATACATAAAAAGCAGCAATGGAGTAAAGTGTCAATGAGACAAAGTTCAATGTAGTTCTTAAGTATGGTATTTTTAACATAGTTGTTTTCTTTTTGCCACTAATTTGCGGCCGTTGTCAGTTGTCTGTTGCTTGCAAACTTTTCTATAAATATATTCTCCTCCTTTGGCCAATATCTCAGAAATGATCAGCACAACAAGATGCCTCTTCCATGAAAATTGGAGATTAATCAAACTATCTCTTTTTGTGCTATTGCCCCTGAAAAATATCCTTTTTTTCTCCAATTTTCATTTATTTGCAGTTACCTTGAAAATTATAATAGCTAGGTGAAAAGTGTAAATTTGAAAACTGTAGGAGCTAGGTAAAAAGTGTATATTCCAAATATGATCAGCAGTACAAGATTTATTTACCCTGAAAATTTACAAAAATCAGACAACCTGTTTCTGAGTTGTCCCTGAAATGTTGATTTATACTGTTTTTTGCAGTTTTAAGCTATGATCTCAAAAAAAACTTTTTAAGAGTTAGGTAAAACGTTTTAAATGCAAAAATGATCAGCAACTCAAAGAATGACTAGTATGAATATATATAGAGATACTCGTTATCAGACTGAATCTTATGTAGAACAAAGTTATATCCAACGAATATATAGAGATACTCGTTATCAGACACAGTTTTTCACCAGGTGAGCAATACAGGCTCACATGTACCTCTTATTTACTACACATTTTTGTAAGAACTAATGGAGTAATGTGGGAAATCTCATCTAGACATATTTGTATTATATATATATACTTACTAATAAGAGGTCTCTCATTTAATATAGGTGTTTTTTTCCAGTGGGAACATTATAATAAATTTTACCAGTGATATTTTTTGTTTATATTTGTTAAATGATTTGTTTGCCTTGAATTATGTCATATAGAACAAAGTTTAATGAATATTATAGCAACAGTGCTTGTCTTTTACAGCTGTGGTATCTATTCATCCTCCCAGAACAGATTTTACTGCAGCAGCAGCACAAGCAGCCACAGGGGCCCCACTGTTAGCGCACACCAATTACTCAGCTGTGCAGTACACACCCTTTATGATGCCTCAACCAGCTAGTTATCAAGTAGGTCAGGTATGTAGACTACAGTAAACACCCTTCATGATGCCTCAACCAGCAAGTTATCAAGTAGGTAACAAGTTACAGATCAAGTTCTAATTTTGTTCCGATCTGATGATTTTGTGCAGAGTTATGGTCCTTGGACTTAGAAAATTCACCCAAATAATCAGTTCTCCACCCTTTTTTTGGTCATGCTTGAAGATATTGATTTGATAATTGGTATGTAGTTTTATAATGACAAGTTACAGATCATGTTCAAATTTTGTTCTGGTCTGATGATTTTGTGCAGAGTTATGGTCCTTGGACTTGGAAAATTCACTCAAATAAGCAGTTTCCAAACTTTTTTTGTTCCAGTATAATGAAATTTTAACCGGTAGGGGACTATGTATTGCATTGCAATACTCTCAGAATGCTTGTTATTCAGGTAATGCCTTAGTCTTTCTACCCTCCCACATTTAAATGGAATATCCCTCATTTGACCTTTTCAGGTGATGCCATTGCCTTCCTACCATCCCAAATTTAATTAGAATATCCCTTATCCTTTGATACACTTCTCAGGTGATGCCTTCCTACCCTTCCACATTTGAATGGATTATCCCCTATCTTTTGATTAATTATTCAGGTGATGTCTTCCTACCCTCCCACATTTGAATGGATTAGCCCTATCTTTTGATTTACTATTCAGGTGATGCCTTCCCACCCTCCCACATTTGAATGGATTAGCCCTTATCTTTTGATGATATACTTCTCAGGTGATGCCTTCCTACCCTCCCACATTTGAATGGATTAGCCCTATTTTTGTGATTTATTATTCAGGTGATGCCTTCCTACCCTCCCACATTTGAATGGATTAGCCCTTATCTTTTGATCTACTATTCAGGTGATGGCTTCCTACCCTCCCACATTTGAATGGATTAGCCCTTATCTTGATTTACTATTCAGGTGATGCCTTCCTACCCTCCCACATTTGAATGGATTAGCCCTTATCTTGATTTACTATTCAGGTGATGCCTTCCTACCCTCCCACATTTGAATGGATTAGCCCTTATCTTTTGATTTACTATTCAGGTGATGCCTTCCTACCATCCCACATTTGAATGGATTAGCCCCTATCTTTTGATTTACTATTCAGGTGATTCTATCATACTCTTCCATCATGTCCATATTTGAATAGAATAGTCCTTATTTTTTGTGATTTATTATTCAGGTGATGCCTATGCCTTCAGCCACACCAGCAGCAGGACCACGTATGATGACCCCACCATCAGGGGCCACTATGGATATGAGTCAACAGCCCTCAGGTCATACGATGTTCAGTAAGTACTTTAGGTGTCTGTGCATGAGTTGTAGTACCATTTCAAGGGGACTGTTTAGATATTTAAGTCCAAATACTAGTTTATCAGCTCTAGTTTAGATATTGAAGTCCAAATACTAGTTTATCAGCTCTAGTTTAGGACTCTAGTGTAAAGTTAGAACTCATGCGAAGTAAATTTTATAATAAAATGAAAGCTTCATAGAGTACAGGTACATATTTCAAATATTAAATTACATGTTTTCAAGCACCAGTTCATAATTCCCATTTTCTTGATTGATTTATTGATTTTTGTTTGCATAATGTCCAGTAGTCCGTTTTCATTGAGAGTTTGAAACAGACAGTTTTATAATCAATCAAGGGTCTAACTTAAACAAATTATTACAGAAAATAACAGGCATACTGTTATTGTGGGAATTCTGACAGAGTTATCTCCTCCTGTCATGAATTGTGTTGAAATAACACATGTCCGTATTGTACAAAGAAACAATGTCTGTTATAATGCCTTTTAGTTATCACAAACATTTTCATCGGGTGAAACGCAAATCAGATACTTTCAAATTTACCACTGTTTGTTTTGTTGTTAAGATAAAGTGTGATTTCAACATGTTTACATTATTATTTGCGTCATTTTCGGTAAAACAACATGGGCACAGTGATTACCTGTTTGTTGTATTTTGAGGATAACTTCGTCTCACATAAAAAAAATTAGGGGAATTGATTTAATATTTTCCAGTATTTGGGATTATTTTAGCAATTCGTCAATGATACCTTATGATTAATTGGTTATAAATCCTTCAATTTCAGTTATAAAATCTACTGCACATTTAAGATAGGTCACTGAGCTTATGTTTACAAACAAGTTGGGGTCAAGCTTGAAGTAACAACATGCTTGTTGTAACTCTTTCAATGATTTTTTTTGAGAAGACAACTTCAAACTGTAATATTAAACAAGCATATTGTTTATATTTTTGGCTTGACCCATCTTGTTTGTAAAAAAATTTTCAGTTTTTTTCCTCAATGTGCAGTGGATTCTATAACTGAAATTGAAGGGTTAATATAAACCATTTAATTATAAGGTATCATTGACAAATTGCTAAAATAATCCCTAATTCGTGAAAATATTAAATCAATTCCACTAAAAAAAAAATATTTAGGAAGAAGTTATCATCAAAATAAAACAAACTGGATATCACTGTACCCACGTTGTTTCACCGAAATGGCGCAAATAATAATGTAAACATGTTGAAATCACACAATATCTTAACAACAAAACAAACAGCGGTAAATTTGAAAGTATCTGACCCAATTTGTGTTTCACCGGACGAAATGTTTGTGATAACTGAAAAGCTTGATTTCAACTCAATCTATGACAGGAGGAGATAACTCTGTCAGAATTTCCACAATAACAGCATGCCTGTTATTTTCTGTAATAACTATTTTAAGTTAGACCCTTGACTGATTATGATGGTATAACTGAAGACAGTAGGTTGTTTACAGTAGTACATAGAAAAAGCTAAAGTTGGCAATTTGTTAAAACTTTAAGAATTATTTATTTGGAAACTTTTTATCCTTGAAATTTCAATATTTTCTAATCTACCTCCATTTCAAGCCATTCTTTATTATTCCCCATATCATGATAAAGTTTATTAATCAAAATTCCAAAACAAAATAGTTATAGTATCATGTTGATTACACATGTATTTCTATTTTTTTTTGTAAAGATGTTTTGAGAAGGTCCCTGAAACAATTTTATTTTCATTTTTTTCTCAAGGAAGAAACTTTGAGATAGACCCTGATTATCCAGATGTAATCTGGGAAGATTATTATTGTAAGTGGTTTATAACTAATCAGTTGTACACACTGTTTTGTCCTCGTACCACACATTGACTGATAATTTAAACTTTCTTTTTCTCTTATTTGCAAATATGTTTTTGTGTAACAAATTATAAAATATATTTAAACCTTTTCTTCGAACATTTGATAACTGATTAATAAATGAACTGAAACTTGTTCTAAATGTTTAAAATGTGCTAACAGACTAATGGTGTTATTGAGTTAAGGTAGATTGATAAATGGACCATTATCTTGTATCCCAGTGTGGTATGATAGTTAACTTCTTAATATTATGTTAGGTTATAAAAGGTTATTTCCATAAACCATCTTTATGGGGGGAAAGTTTTACAAACTTTTAAACCACAAATCAAATTTATAACAAATTAATAAATATAGAACAATATTATACCGCTACTCTATGAGTGGGAGCTATATTGCATTCACCTTGTCTGTTCGTCCAGCAAACATTTCAATAACATTCATAAATACTGTGGATTCATTATCATGATGTGTTGGATACCAGTTTTCATGAGTTTCATGGTTACTGGTGAACCACAAATTATAATGTTCAACGAATTACAAAAATTGTGTCTAGGGCTTGTATGCAGATATTGGTGAAACCACGAAATCAAGTATTCATGAAACTCCTCAATCCACGAAAATTGGTCCCCACGAAAATGAATGAATCCACAGTACTACAGAACAGAATGACTTTATATTTGGCCAGCAGCTAGAGAGTAACGAGTTGTAAGGTGTGATCAGTCAGACACCTACTTCCTACTTCCAGTGGGGTAAAACTGAGTATGACTTGTTCTGTTACTTAGAATTTACTTTGATTCATAAATTTTTTGAACTTGGTGACAATGAGTACAATATTAACATGTTTCTGTAGATTAATAAAAACTTTAACTTGCAAACATTTATCATTTTCTAAAACACAGTTTTTGTGATGTTTTGAAGTAAAAATTCTGGACATTAATAAATACAGAATTTAAGATAGAAGAGTCAAAGGTTTCCGGTTTTCCAACTGAAATCATTAATTTTTGGTTATATGGCAGTTAGGTGAGTGTTCAGGAGAGGGACCTATGAAGCATTCAGCTAATGCTTTTAAAATTTTATTTATTTTTTAATTACAAAATGGAGGTCCAGTTTGATATTGACAAGTTTTACTTTGCTGTTCAGGAGTTATGGTCCTTTATTTATTTGGAAATGGCATAATGCTTTGTCCAGGTCAATCAACCTCCTTCAAAGTGTCGGACTGTCCTATACCTGTCAGAAGCATGCAAAAAACCGCCTCCTTCAAAGTTTCCTATACCTGTCAGAAGCATGCAAAAAATCGCCTCCTTCAAAGTTTCCCATACATGACAAAAGTATGCAAAAAATTGTCCTCCTTCAAAGTATCCCTTTGCCTGACAAGCATGAATAATATTGTCCTCCTTCAAAGTGTTCCTTTACCTGACAGAAGCATGCAAACAAATTGCCTCCTTCAAAGTATCCCTTTGCCTTCAAAGTGTCCTATACCTGACAGAAGCATGAAAACAATTGTCCTCCTTCAAATTATTTCTTAGCCTGACAAAAACATGCATGCAAACAAAAATCACCTCCTTCAAAGTGTCCTATACATGACAAAAGCATGCAAACAAAAATCACCTCCTTCAAAGTGTCCTATACATGACAGAAGCATGCAAACAAATCACCTCCTTCAAAGTGTCCTATACATGACAGAAGCATGCAAAAAAATCACCTCCTTCAAGTGTCCTATACATGACAGAAGCATGCAAAAAATCACCTCCTTCAAGTGTCCTATAAATGACAGAAGCATGCAAAAAATCACCTCCAAGTCTTCTATCCTGGACAGGAGGATGCATATAGAATCGGTAAAATCTGAAATCTTATCCAACCTTGACCTCCTTCAAACCTTTAATCGACAATAATCTCAGCCAGTAAAGGTTTTATAAACCTGATACAGATTTAACATTTCTGTGATCCTGATCCTAAGGTCATTAGGGTCAACATTGACACAACTTGTCTCTTGGTACTTGTTGGTTTCATTTTATAGTATGCCAATGCTTGAAAAAAATTCTTGTGGTACTTAGGTATTAAATATGATCAATAACACCTAACTGAGAGGGTGGTAGAGCAGAGTGTTACCCCGAGAAAACATTGTTACCTGAGGTGAAGCCAAGGTTGACATGTTTTTCCAAGGGGTAACAGTCTGCTCTATCACCTATGTCTTATTTTATTTGATTTATTTTACTGAATGTTCTGTCATTATTGTCTTTAAAATTTTTAATTGAAAGTTATTTATTGACGTCATATACATAACAACGTAACAGTTATTAAAAAAACAACAAAAGTGAAGCAAGATGTATTTTTTATTTTGATAGTCTATGAAAAATTTCTGAGGCCAAAAGGTAGAACTTGAGCATTGTCTTTTAAATAATTGATATAAATTCCTTTCAATCATTGATTTTTTATTGGACTGCACGAGAGGGTGACATTAAAAAAATTGTCTCCCGCTGAGCCATGGGATAGAGTAAATAATTTCCCTTGTATTAGCCAATCAAAATCTGGCATTTTTACGTGAAGTATAATAAACTTTATTAGGCGCAGGATCAAGATTCAGGGCTGCTGTAATCTTTCTACCCACATAACACACTCACCATTTGCTGTGGAAACAGATTGTAAATCACTCCTAACACTTCTGATCTTTTATCTTGTGATTCTGGCTTCATGAGAATGTCTCTTTAGCTATCACTTTCTTATATAACCATGGATACATTACCTTAAGTTAATGTTCAGTTCTGCCTTTTACATATTTTGACTTGTGTGCCTTTTTGTTTCGGAAGCTAGACATAGCATTACTGCATTCTGTCACAGAACCATCAACATTTCAGCTCAGTCTGTGGTTTAAGTTTTTTTTAGACATCAATAACTTTGTTAAAACTTCATGGATTTTTATGAAACATGGATAAAAGCTTTTTTTTAATAATCAAAAGACAGTATTAAGAGCAAAATAATAATACAAATTTTCATTTTTCTGGGGTTTTTTTTATGAAAACTAGACTTAAGCTTTTTTTTGCAGTTACCTTTAAGAAACAGTCTAAGGTTAAAAGTTTTTCAGATATCAATAACTCTGTAAAATATTCTTATGATTTTATGAAACTTTGACAGAAGTTTTTTATGATTATTAAAGAGATAATTTCTAGAGGAAATTTTGAAAATATTGTTTTATCAATTTTCATTTTTGACAGCAGGAATCAAAGTGGAGACATAGAATTCCTTGGAACCCATTACATTTTTTGTTTATTTTTTTTTTACCACAAACATGATTAATACATAAACATGAATTGGCCTATCTCTACAATAATATCTACTCTCCTTATCTATTTCAGCTGTGGGACAACATGGGCCAATGCCAGCACATATACAACATCAACCGTACCATAACCCACAGCCTGCACACATAGGACCACACCCGGGCCAACAGAATCAACAGAATCACCCAGCACCTAGTCCTGTTCAACATGTTGTAACGTCATCTCAGTCACATCCGCCGACGTCAACACCTCAACCACATAACCCTTATCAACAGATGTCGATACAGGTACACTATCAATAGATTAGAAATTTGAATAGTGTTCTGTATGGATAACATGTTATTCTGAATTGTATAGAATTTTTCTTTCAGAAATTTACAAAGAGTGTGCCTCAATGGTGGATGCTTTGTCTTGTATATAGATATAAGAAGATGTGGTATGAGTGCCAATGAGACAACTCTCAGTTACTTATATTACCTTAGTTATAAATTGTTATTTGCTTAATGTACAGTGGCAAATACTTCATACATATTCACAAGAACAAGCAATTAATCCTGTGGGTAGGTAAATATAGTAAAATGTTTCATTACGCTTATTTCAATAGTAGAATAAGTATTTCTTACAATAGAAGAATAAGTATTCCTTGCAATCTTGTAGTAGAATCAACTTAGATAATTATCTAACATTATGCACCCTTAACAGTTCTTCCTTATAGAGTTATTTGCATTAAAGCCAAGTTTATATTATTAACCTTCTTCATTAAGGTCTTAAAAAATCTCAAAATAGACCAATTTTTAGCTATTTCTATTCTGATTATAGGGTCATCCGCCGTTACAGCCAAGTCCACATAATCCAGCATCACCACAGACAGTACACATGCCTGCTGTTCAGTATCAGTTCCCGTTACAAATGCAAGGAGCAAATAACCAAGTGATGTCACAGACACACCCACCCACGTCAGTGCCACACTCCATACACTCACATATGCAACCACAGTTTGTGATGATGCCACATCCGCATAATCAACACAATCAACAGAATCAACAGTTCCAGCCTCATCATATAGGTTAGTTGTCTCCCTTTGTAAACAGTCAACAGTTCAATCCTCATCACATATGTTTGTTGCCTCCCCTTGTAAACAGTCAACAGATTGATCGTCATCACATATAAAAAAGAAGATGTGGTATGATTGGCGATGAGACAACTCTCCACAAGAGACCAAATGACACAGAAATTAGGTTAGTTATCTCCCCTTGTAAACAATCAACAGTTCCAGCCTCATCATATATGTTAGTTATCTCCCATTGTTAACAATAGTTCCAGCCTCATCTCATAGGTTAGTTGCCTCTCCTTGTAAACAGTCAACAGTTCAAGCCTCATCACACAGGTTAGTTATTTCCCCTTGTAAATAATTAACAGTTCAATCCTCATCACATAGGTAAGTTGTCTCCCTTTGTAAACAATCAACAGTTCCAACCTCATCACATAGGTTAGTTGTCTCCCTTTGTAAACAATCAACAGTTACAACCTCATCACATATGTTAGTTGTCCCTCTTTGTAAACAGTCAACAATTCCAGCCTTATCACATAGTTTACTTGTGTTCCCCTTTTTAACAAAGACAAAGCTGCATTTCACAATGTGAACTTAGGCAGAAATGTTTCTTACATGGTTATTTCCTAGTAATACATTTGGTGCTTATTTGTCAAAAAAACATGGCCACCTTGCCCTATTCTTGTCTATAGTTGAAGGGATTGAAAAAAATTGGGTCAATATATTCCCTGACAAACAAACACAACATTCAGTAGTTCATATCAGTATGGTCATAATTAAAAATTAACTGTTTACAAAACTGAATGTTTCGTAATACTAAGGATTTTCTACCCAAGGAATAGATTACCTTTTCTGTATTTGGCTAAACCTTGTGGAATTTTGGGTCCTCATTGCTTTTCAACTTCGTATTTTTAAAATTGGCCTTTTTAAGTTTTTATGCCCCCGCCGTAGTGGAGGGGGCATTAAGTTTTACCCTTGTCTGTCTGTACGTCTGTCTGTCCGTACGTACGTCCCAAAATTGGTTTCCGTTCTTTAACTTTTAGTTTGCCTCAACCAAATGTTATGAAACTTATACACAATATTCATTGCCATAAAATACAGATCAAGTTTGAAATTGGGTGGCGTCACTTTTACCTTTCTTGAGTTATGCCCCTTTCTAAACATAAAAATTGCTGAATTTTTCGTTTCCGTTCTCTAACTTTAGTTTGCCTCAACCAAATGTTATGAAACTTATACACAATGCTTATTACCACAAAATACAGGTCAAGTTCGAAATTGGGTGGTGTCACTTATACTGTTCTTGAGTTATGCCCCTTTATAAACATAAGAATTGCTGAATTTTTGGTTTCCATTCTCTAACTTTAGTTTGCCTCTACCAAATGTTATGAAACTTATACACAATGCTTATTACCATAAAATACAGATCAAGTTTGAATTTTGGTGGTATCACTTTTACCGTTTTTTAGTTATTCCTATTTACAAATGGAAAATTTGCTGAATTTTTCGTTTCTGTTCTCTAACTTAAGTTAGCCACAACCAAATGTTACAAGACTTATACACAATACTTATTACCACAAAACTCAGATCAAGTACAAATTTGGGTAGCATCACTTTTACTTTTCTTCAGTTATGTCCCGTTATAACTTCATTATGATATGCAAGTCGGGGCATCATCTGTGTCCCATGGACATATTCCCCATTTATTTGATTCTAGAGTCGCAGATGAGTCATTTGTAAACAAATTGCCCGTCTAGCCTACACAATTTTAAGTCTGGTGTCTATGATGAGTTTATTTACGCACACATATTGATAATAATTTGTGATGACACGTGCTTCCACAAAAAAGTGCACAGGTAAATGAAAGAAAAACTTGATAAAATTTTGTTTCATGGTCTTAGCATAATAATTTGTTTATAAGAAAGTAATGCTTCTTTTAGTAATTTGATGGGGTTGTAACACACATTTTTAGAATCAAGCGCGGAAATACAAAATGTGCTTCGGTCAACAGTTATTCAATTTCTTTTTGTGAAAAATAGCAGTACTGTAGTTAAAGAGTCGCCACTGTTGATTAGGATTTTACGGTTGCAAATGTCAGTTTTACTTTCAGTAACCCTCACCCAAGTTGCCGCCATCCATTGGCGATTTGACGGTCTTAAATGCAGTTTTACAGTGAAACTGACATTTGCAACTGTCAAATCGTCAATGAATGGCGGCAACTCTTCACCTACAGTACTGTTATTTTAATAAAAAGAAATTAAACATTCCAGCTTGTAAAAATGTTTGACACAATTTTGTGATAGAAAAGTGTGTTTCTGAGAGGTCAAGGACATGAACTCAGATAAACTGAGAAGATCATGAAGATTGATAGTCATCATTTTGCCACTTTTTATTTTAGGACATGGACAAACCTCAATGGTACATCAAGCAGGAGTTCCAACTTTACAGAACACACAGCCAGGAACACATCCACAGTTTATCCCACAAGGTAAGTAAACGGTAGGCAGCATATTTGGGGGCATACTCCAATGTACCCCACAAGGTAAGTAGCTGTGAAGAGAGGATACAGGGGAGTTAACTCCAGTAAAATATCTGTAGTTTATCCTACACAGCAAAGAAATAGCCCACAATTTATTCTGCAATGCTAGTGGATTGGGAGGAACACATTTGTGCAGGAATTAAAATCAGGAATCATAAAGTTGTTTGGTTGGGACATGGGCATGAGCACATCCCAGAATTAAAAAAAAAAAATGCTTGGTAATCATAGCCCCTTTGACAGAAAAAATGCTTGTAATCATAGCCCATTAAATCGAGAGAGATAATTAATGCTTGATAATCATAACTTTTTGTAGAAAACACGAAATTAGTGCTTGATAATCATTACCTCAAGTACAGAGAAAATCTGTGCTTGATAAGTCATACTCCTGGCAAAGAAAAAACACCAGTTCCTAGCAATCTATACACTTTTGTTACCCAAACTGTAATATAATAAATAAAAAATCATTGCCTAAAACTAAACAGTTGTATGATACAGATCTGACATATTAAAGTTCTCTTCTTTAACTTGCTGTTAATAGGTTCAGTGTATCCAGAATGTTATAATTTTGAGTCAAACAGCCATACCCTTATTATATTATGACATTATTGATGCATGTTATCTGTTTATTGGCATGCATTGCATGACATACTATATCAATGTAAGCATCAGCATGAGATGTCAAACCTAACAGATCTTGATGTCATAGATTTAATGTCCAGATTGCAAAGGGTTTAGGTTGGTATTGAAGACATAGTTGAATACCTTAATTAGTCTCCTGACAAGAAAGTCGAAGGGGACTAGAGGTTTGTGCACTCTGACCATCTGTCTTTCACAATAAGCCCTCTTATAACAAAGCCATAGGGGACTAGGTTTGGACACTGTGCATCTTTCTGTTACACTTAGTCCCCTTATAACAAAGCCAAAGGCGACTATAGATTTGTGCACTCTGACATCTTTTTGTCCCACTTAGTCCATGTATAACAAAGCCTATGGGAACTATAGGTTTGTGCACTCCATCCATTTGTCTGTCACACTTGGTCCCCTTACAACAATGCAAAAGGATGCCATAAATGTGTGCACTCCATCCATTTGTCTGTCACATGTAGTCCCCTTACAACAAAGCAAATGGGGACTATAGGTTTGTGCATTTAGACCATCTGTCTCTCACACTAAGCCCCCTTATAACAAAGCCAAAGGGGACTATAGGCGTGTGATATTCATTCATTTGTCACACTTAGTTCCCTTATAACTTAGCCAAAGGGAACTATAGGTTTGTGCACTCCATCAATTTGTCTGTCACACTTAGTCCCCTTATAACTTAGCCAAAGGGAACTATAGGTTTGTGCACTCCATCCATTTGTCTGTCACACTTAATCCCTTTCATCAATGCCTAAATTATTTAAAATCATGATTTTTCTATACTTTTCTGTTGTCTAAATCAACTGATTAAACACATGTCATATCATAAGAATTTACAGCTCAACTTTGAATTTTGTTTTGGTTATCAAACTCAATATCTCATACATTGTACTATAATTAGGTTTATCACCCCTTGTTTTATAAATTATCTCCCTGTTTTTGTAATACTATAATAAGGGTTATCACCCCTTGTTATATAAATTATCTCTCTGTTATATCATACTATATTTAGGGTTATCACCCCTTGTTATATAAACTATCTCCCTGTTGTTATATCATACTATATTTAGGGTTATCACCCCTTGTTAAATAAACTGTCTCCCTGTTGTTATATTATACTATAATAAGGGTTATCACCCCTTGTTTATAAACTATCTCCCTGTTGTTATATCATACTATTATAAGGGTTATCACCCCTTGTTACAAATCTCCCTGTGATATCATACTTTAATTAAGGTTATCACCCCTTGTTATATAAACTATCTCCCTGTTGTTATATCATACTATAATTAGGGTTATCACCCCTTGTTATATAAACTATCTCCCTGTTGTTAATATTATACTATAACAAGGGTTATCACCCCTTGTTATATAAACTATCTCCCTGTTATATCATACTATAATAAGGGTTATCCCCCCTGTTTAAATAAACTGTCTCCCTGTTGTTATATCATACTATAATAAGGGTTATCACCCCTTGTTATATAAAATACCTCCCTGTTATATCATACTATAATTAGGGTTATCACCCCTTGTTATATAAACTGTCTCCCTGTTGTTATATCATACTATATTTAGGGTTATCACCCCTTGTTAAATAAACTGTCTCCCTGTTGTTATATCATACTATTATAAGGGTTATCACCCCTTGTTAAATAAACTATCTCCCTGTTGTTATATCATACTATAATAAGGGTTATCACCCCTTGTTAAATAAACTGTCTCCCTGTTGTCATATCATACTATAATAAGGGTTATCACCCCTTGTTAAATAAACTGTCTCCCTGTTGTTATATCATACTATAATAAGGGTTATCACCCCTTGTTAAATAAACTGTCTCCCTGTTATATCATACTATAATAAGGGTTATCACCCCTTGTTAAATAAACTGTCTCCCTGTTGTTATATCATACTATAATAAGGGTTATCACCCCTTGTTAAATAAACTCTCTCCCTGTTGTTATATCATACTATAATAAGGGTTATCACCCCTTGTTAAATAAACTGTCTCCCTGTTGTTATATCATACTATAATAAGGGTTATCACCCCTTGTTATATAAACTGTCTCCCTGTTGTTATATCATACTATAATAAGGGTTATCACCCCTTGTTAAATAAACTGTCTCCCTGTTGTTATATCATACTATAATAAGGGTTATCACTCCTTGTTTATAAACTATCTCCCTGTTGTTATATCATACTATAATAAGGGTTATCACCCCTTGTTTATAAACTATCTCCCTGTTGTTATATCATACTATAATAAGGGTTATCACCCCTTGTTAAATAAACTATCTCCCTGTTGTTATATCATACTATTATAAGGGTTATCACCCCTTGTTAAATAAACTGTCTCCCTGTTTTATCATACTATTATAAGGGTTATCACCCCTTGTTAAATAAACTATCTCCCTGTTGTTATATCATACTATAATAAGGGTTATCACCCCTTGTTAAATAAACTGTCTCCCTGTTGTTATATCATACTTTAATAAGGGGTATCACCCCTTGTTATATAAACTATCTCCCTGTTGTTATATCATACTATAATAAGGGTTATCACCCCTTGTTAAATACACTCTCTCCCTGTTGTTATATCATACTATAATAAGGGTTATCACCCCTTGTTAAATAAACTGTCTCCCTGTTGTTATATCATACTATTATAAGGGTTATCACCCCTTGTTAAATAAACTGTCTCCCTGTTTTATCATACTATTATAAGGGTTATCACCCCTTGTTAAATAAACTATCTCCCTGTTGTTATATCATACTATAATAAGGGTTATCACCCCTTGTTAAATAAACTGTCTCCCTGTTGTTATATCATACTTTAATAAGGGGTATCACCCCTTGTTATATAAACTATCTCCCTGTTGTTATATCATACTATAATAAGGGTTATCACCCCTTGTTAAATAAACTCTCTCCCTGTTGTTATATCATACTATAATAAGGGTTATCACCCCTTGTTAAATAAACTGTCTCCCTGTTGTTATATCATACTATAATAAGGGTTATCACCCCTTGTTATATAAACTGTCTCCCTGTTGTTATATCATACTATAATAAGGGTTATCACCCCTTGTTAAATAAACTGTCTCCCTGTTGTTATATCATACTATAATAAGGGTTATCACCCCTTGTTTATAAACTATCTCCCTGTTGTTATATCATACTATAATAAGGGTTATCACCCCTTGTTTATAAACTATCTCCCTGTTGTTATATCATACTATAATAAGGGTTATCACCCCTTGTTAAATAAACTCTCTCCCTGTTGTTATATCATACTATAATAAGGGTTATCACCCCTTGTTAAATAAACTGTCTCCCTGTTGTTATATCATACTATTATAAGGGTTATCACCCCTTGTTAAATAAACTGTCTCCCTGTTATATTAACTATTATAAGGGTTATCACGCCTTGTTAAATAAACTATCTCCCTGTTGTTATATCATACTATAATAAGGGTTATCACCCCTTGTTAAATAAACTGTCTCCCTGTTGTTATATCATACTTTAATAAGGGTTATCACCCCTTGTTATATAAACTATCTCCCTGTTGTTATATCATACTATAATAAGGGTTATCCACCCATATTAGTAGATAGGCTAAGTAGTTACTTCGTTAATCATTTCTTTATTGTAACAGATTTATCTCCTTTAATTATTATCATAGTCTTTTTTATGTTTGCCTCCCTTGTCTGTTATAGTTTATAGGGTTTATGTGTTAAATGAAAAAAGTGAGTAGAATTTGCATGGTAAGTTCAACAGTTAGTTTTTTTTATATACATTTTTAATGTTTATTGATTTTTTTTTTGTTGACTTTTTGTTCAATTTGTTTAATTTAATTTAAATTTTGAAAGTTTTCTAACATAAGTCTTCAATAAAACAAAATCTTATCTTAAATCTATTTACCATTAGTTCAGACGGACAGAATTAAAAAAAAATAGGTATACAATTCATAATTCAAATCTTTACCAAATTTTATCACAATGTTAGGTTCAAATTTTCATTTTGATTATTTCCAGATTAGTTCCAAAGTTATTGGACTTCGTCAAAAACTAAGGTCTCACGATTCTCCAACTGATTTTACAAATGCCATCTGGGACTATTACATAAAGGGATTTGACACTGTCAGTATTATTCAATATTAACTTGATTTATCAGTGTCCCTTAGCTACCTATTCACTTGCAAACTTTTGATCTACACTATATAAGATTATACTGTAAATTATGAAGCAACGGTGAATTATTATTGTTTTGGGGACGTAATTTTCTGAAAGAAAAGATCACAAATATTGTATAGATAACAGAATTCAAGTGGGGTCTATTTCACATGTAAAATCAGTATTGATAAGCAAAATGCAACAGAAATTAAATACATATTTATTCCCCATTTATTGCATTTTTAACAATATGCAGTAAATGTATGTCTCATTACAGGAAATGTATTTCTTCCTATAAACATGAAAAAGAATAAAATAAATCCCTATTATTTTTTTGTAATTAGTACCTTCATTTTTGAATTGCATTTTTGAATGCCTTTATCTGGAAAACCATAAAAACAACGAATTATTTGAATTCTGGAAAATTGGTAAGAAATGTATGATGCAAACTAACCCAACTGAATAGCCATGTGCACATGTCTAAGGGGGGTGGGTTAGTTCATACTGAAATATCAGTGAAAGTAAAATTAACCGTAGCCATGTGTGCATTGCTAACCCTATTTAGTTGGGTTAGATTTCATCATACATTTCTAATCAATTTTCCAGAGTTCAAAATTATTCCAGAAAATCAATTAATTCCTTGTTTAAAAATAAAGACTCATTAAGACACTATACCACCCATCTTCTTTCCGATCAAGTAATAACGAAAAATTGTGAGGAAAAAAACATGGCACCGTCTTAAATAAAAATATTTAAAGAATTAGCATAGAAAATAAAAATTCTCCAACAACAGCAAATAAATATGATCCTGTGTTACTCTTCAATCTTTTGTCTTCAATGTCATATAACTTTTATAAAAAACAATAATTAATCCTAAAAGGAATTATTAAAATACTAGACCCATGTTTGTACAGAAATTTTGGGGGACAACAATATTGAAAAAAAATCTTAATACAGTCTAAGGTTAAAATTGTTTCACCTATGGGAAATTCCCATATTACATTGTATTATTTCATTTTATTAGTTGTAACTAAAGATGGCTTACTAATAAATGTCTGCTCCCTTTTCATTTTGACAATTTTCACATTAGTCATTCTTGAGTTAGGGTCTGGTATTGTTAAAACTTTACAGTATTTTTTCGGTCTGAAGATAATTTGAGTCCTGTTTACTTTCAATGAGCTTCTGTGGCAGCTGTTTTCTTTCAATGATTTATGGACAAACGTATCATGAGCTTCTGTGGCAGCTGTTTTCTTTCAATGATTTATGGACAAACGTATCATGAGCTTCTGTGGCAGCTGTTTTCTTTCAATGATTTATGGACAAACATATCTTGAGCTTCTGTGGCAGCTGTTTTCTTTCAATGATTTATGGACAAACGTATCATGAGCTTCTGTGGCAGCTGTTTTCTTTCAATGATTTATGGACAAACATATCTTGAGCCTCTGTGGCAGCTGTTTTCTTTCAATGATTTATGGACAAACGTATCATGAGCTTCTGTGGCAGCTGTTTTCTTTCAATGATTTATGGACAAACATATCTTGAGCTTCTGTGGCAGCTGTTTTCCTTCTTTTGTTCAGATGTCCTTCACTTTACATAACTCATCTATTATTGACACAGTGAATAAGATAAGGACATAAAGGTTACTACCAACTAATTATTGCTTTTTGGATAATAAACATATTTATAAGTAAGAATGCTGATGAACCAATGAATTTATTAAGGTCAATATTGAGGAAATGTTCTTTCAATTTTTTTTACTTTGGTAAGTGAAACCAGAATGACTGCCAAGACATGATTCTTAATCACAACAATAATATGATATCTATTAATTTACAACTTTAATTCTTTTAAATGGTTTGGCTACTCGGTATGGACACCATTGGTTTGCATAATTTTGTGTTGCATCTAAAGGTTTCCTTTCTTTTGACATATATTTACACCTGAAGTTTCTTCCCTGTTTACTGAGAAGAGCAATACCTGCTTACATAATCTTTCAGTCAATATAAAAGCCTTTTTAAGGTTAAAGAGATTTTAACATGAATATTTCCCCATTTACAATCCACATTTACAAAATCATGAAATAATTATTTATTTTACAAATTTTGATAAGTTTTCCAATTTTTCTATCATAAGAGTTATATCCCTTTGATTTTGCTATAAGAGTTATATCCCTTTGATTTTGCTATAAGAGTTGTATCCCTTTGATTTTGCTATAACAAAGTTGTTTTCCCTGTATTATGTTTGCTTGCTTTGTTTATGACCCTGTTACTACGCTTGCTTTAATGATTTGTTTTGCAGTTCCTCCTACACAAGGAGCACCACCTAGTATACAGAACTTTCAACCAAACCATTAACTTATTTTACTTTGTAAGTATTAATAGCATGATTGTTTGTTTGTTGTTTCAGCTAAACTTGACAAAATTTATAAAACGGTACAAGATGTGTAATTATGAAAGCTTTTTGGGGCCTTAAACAGGGATCAATGAAATAAGCAGTTATTGAGATGCCAGTGCCATCAAGTACATACACTTAAACTGTAATCAATTAAATTGAAAATAATTAAGTGTGCACACACAAGTAATTTGTTAGTATAATTTGCTTTCATGACCCTAAACGATAAACTATTTATAGAATGTTGGTGGATCTCTTGAAAAACTATTTATAGAATGTTTGTGGATCTCTTGGAAAAACTATTTACAGAATGTTGGTAGATCCCTTAGAATGTTTTACCTAGAGATCAAATTTTTACGCAGTTATTCACTGTTTTCATAATTATCATCATTTTGTGTAATTAGTAAGATACTTTATGTTCAGTAGTGAAATATTTTTTAGTTTTCTTCTGACTATTTTTCCAAAGATTTTTCAAGAACCCATTCCAGAATTATTTTAATTTTCCTGTTTAAAATTTCAATTCCTGTAAACAAATATGGCTGCTAAACTTAAGGTCATGCAACTGCAGACATTTGCCATTTAATAGCTTTAAAGGTTGCCAATAAAGTGCCTTTGTTTCCAAACATCCATGTATTTTTCAGTAATCCTACCCTCAGTAAATGTCTTGTTACTTTAATGAAGAAACTGTATTTACATGAAGTATACAATGCAAGAATAATCTAAAGTTCAGAACCATGTTTGACTCGAATTCAACAACTTTTGTTTAGCAGGAACATTGTATTTAGTTAGTTACTAGTTTATGTTAGTGGTTACTTAATATCCTCCCTAACACAACTTACTTTTTCTGTATTAGTTATTCACTATTGACCAAAGTTATGATAATTATGTTCATTATTCTTTCTTTATTAACTGATAACACAAATACTAATTGTGAGATACACAAATACTATACTAGATATCCAGACCACAGTTATGATTAATGTGAGATACACAAATACTATATTAGTTATCCAGACCACAGTTATGATAATTGTGAGATACACAAATACTATATTAGTTATCCAGACCACAGTTATGATAATTGTGAGATACACAAATACTATATTAGATATCCAGATCACAGTTATGATTAATGTGAGATACACAAATACTATATTAGTTATCCAGATCACAGTTATGATAATTGTGAGATACACAAATACTATACTAGATATCCAGACCACAGTTATGATTAATGTGAGATACACAAATACTATATTAGTTATCCAGACCACAGTTATGATAATTGTGAGATACACAAATACTATATTAGATATCCAGATCACAGTTATGATTAATGTGAGATACACAAATACTATATTAGTTATCCAGACCACAGTTATGATAATTGTGAGATACACAAATACTATATTAGTTATCCAGACCACAGTTATGATAAATGTGAGATACACAAATACTATATTAGTTATCCAGACCACAGTTATGATAATTGTGAGATACACAAATACTATATTAGTTATCCAGACCACAGTTATGATAATTGTGAGATACACAAATACTATATTAGATATCCAGATCACAGTTATGATTAATGTGAGATACACAAATACTATATTAGTTATCCAGACCACAGTTATGATAATTGTGAGATACACAAATACTATATTAGTTATCCAGACCACAGTTATGATAATTGTGAGATACACAAATACTATATTAGTTATCCAGACCACAGTTATTATTAATGTGAGACACACAAATACTATATTAGTTATCCAGACCACAGTTATGATAATTGTGAGATACACAAATATTATATTAGATATCCAGACCACAGTTATGATAATTGTTAGATAATATGTATTATCGCTTTTTTCTTAAATTTTCTTTTTTTGTGATAATAATCCATTTCATGCTACTCGACTGATATGGAATTTTCTTACTTGAGAGCAAAAACAAGATGACATCATAATCCTACATCGTTCTCAGTCGAGGAGAGTGAGAACACAATGACGTCATAATCCCGTCATTGACATTTTCTCAGTCCAGGAGAGTGAAACACAATGACCTCATAATCCTATGTCATTGACATGTTCTCAGTCCAGGAGAGTGAAACACAATGACCTCATAATCCTACATCATTGACATGTTCTCAGTCGAGGAGAGTGAAAACACGATGACATCATAACCCTACGTCATTGACAATTTCTCAGTCTAGGAGAGTGAAAACTCGATGTTATCATAATCCTATGTCATTGACATTTTCTCAGTCTTGGAGAATAAGAACACAATGACGTCATAATCCTACATCATTGACATTTTCTCAGTCCAGGAGAGTGAAACACAATGACCTCATAATCCTATGTCATTGACATGTTCTCAGTCCAGGAGAGTGAAACACAATGACCTCATAATCCTACGTCATTGACATGTTCTCAGTTGAGGAGAGTGAAAACACGATGACATCATAACCCTACGTCATTGACAATTTCTCAGTCTAGGAGAGTGAAAACTCGATGTTATCATAATCCTATGTCATTGACATTTTCTCAGTCTAGGAGAATAAGAACACAATGACGTCATAATCCTACGTTGTTGACATTTTCTCAGTCCAGGAGTGAAAACACAATGACGTCAGAATCCTACGTCATTGACAATTTCTCAGTCAAGTAGAGTGAGAACACCATGACGTCATAATCCTATGTCATTGTTCTCAGTCAAGGAGAGTGAAAACACGTGATGACTACATAATCCTACGTCATTGACATTTTCTCAGTTAAGGAGAGTGAGAACACGATGACGTCATAATCCTACGTCATTGACATTTTCTCAGTTGAGGAGAGTGAGAACACGGTGATGTCATAATCCTACGTCATTGACATGTTCTCAGTTTAGGAGAGTGAGAACACAATGATGTCATAATCCTACGTCATTGAGATTGCTTAGGAAAACAAGCGGTAAACTGAATATCAATGATCTTTCAAACTGGAGGATGTTTCTTTGCTGTAGCACTTCTATGAGATTACAGTCGAGAAACACCCTCTCATTTGAAAAACCATTGATAATCTGTAAGTCCTTTCCCGTAAATAACACAAATGCTAAAGAAGTTTTCCAGATCTCAGTTACAATAATTGTTAGATAAAATGTAGTCCATTCTCCTTTATAACTGATAACAAAAATACTATACCCAGACAAAGTAACAATAATGTGTCTCCTTCATTTATAGAAGGCCCTGAAAAGGTATTGTCATGGTAAATGAATATAAACTTTCTTTATATTTAATCATTTATAATATCAGAGGTTGTAGCATGAGCCCCAGTCCCCCCACACAGAGACAAAATCTATGGTGGTCTTAAAAGGTCTCGTCATGGCAATTCAGGGTACATATGATTGAAGGGTGGGAATGGAAACAGTTTGTGATATATTTAACAGTTAATGATCTAGAGGATTGGGGCACCCCAAACACAAAACTTATGGTACCCTGTAAAGGTTTTGTCATGACACTTTTGAATATGAAGGGTTAGGGGTTGGGATATGAACAGTTTTCAAGATATTTAATAGTAAATGATTTCAAAGAGTAGGCATGTTCCCAAAGGCAAGACCTATATTCCACTAGACAGGTATGATCAAGGCAGTTAAGAATATATATGGTTTAGGAATGGGGATATTGACCATTTTTGAGATATTTGAGAAATTTATTGCAAGGTGGACAAGAAACCAAGGGGCAAATACTGATATTGATAAAGTCTAGGCATATAGTTTTTCAGGGGGGACATATAAAAACAAAATAGGGCTTTAAAGGTTAAAGGTGTTTGGTACATTTCTCTCATCATCTTGAGGTACTGTTAAAGAATAAAAAAGTTATGTTTCAGACATGAACATGTAAAAAAAAATCTATAATTTTGACCTTCAGGTCAAAAGTTAAGGTGATGATGTTATGCTACACCCTTATGTGTATGGTATTCACCATAATGCTAAATATCATGTCAAATTCAGTGGCTGAGTGGTCTTAAGTAGTCGAACTACTGTATCACTAGCCTGTTAACACTGAGGTTGTGAACTCAAATCCCGCACGTGGAAGGTGCACTCCACTCCCAATCTTAATTGACTAGGATTGTCTGTTTTCCTTCCTAACATGCCTAAGGTCAGTGGTTCTCTCTGGGCACTCCGGCTTCCTCCACCAATATAAACTGACAGACACAAAATAGTGCAGAAAGTGGCTTTAAAAACCAAACAATCAAAAGATCAAACTGTTTTTCACCCAGACAAGGTTGTATGAAAGTGAGAAGAAGTACTACATTGTAATAAAACATAATGTCTCCCTTCATGGAAGGGGAGATATAATATTATACCAGCTATTAACTTTATATAAATTGTGAGAGAGTAGTTCTATGTTTGATCTTTAGAATCATTGAATGGTATACTTGGTCATCATATAGGTCTACCTGTCCATGTCTTTAGAATCATTGAATGGTATACTTGGTCATCATATAGGGCTACCTGTCCATGTCTTTAGAATCATTGAATGGTATACTTGGTCATCATATAGGGCTACCTGTCCATGTCTTTAGAATCATTGAATGGTATACTTGGTCATCATATAGGGTTACCTGTCCATGTCTTTAGAATCATTGAATGGTATACTTGGTCATCATATAGGGCTACCTGTCCATGTCTTTAGAATCATTGAATGGTATACTTGGTCATCATATAGGGCTACCTGTCCATGTTTCATACTTTATGTTTCAGTGATAAGCGATCCAGTGTTAAAATAAGAGAATGATTTTTTATTTTGATCATTTGAAAAATTTACATGTGTTGACCTTGTGCCTTATTTTACAAAAATGTGATGCTATTTGAATTTTACAACACACATAGTCCAGTTTTTTAAGTTGGTACATTAAGCCTCAAACATTTGCTCTCTAATACTTTATTTCCTCCTTTCTTCAGTTGCAGAGGTTAAGATTCCACTATTTTTGTCTTTCTGTGAATTGTGAACTTGCGAGCTAGTACTTCAACAATTTGACTTAACAATGTCAGCCTGTTACAAAGCTGTTTACTTTCATATGATTTAATATGCTGTGATCATAGATATGTATTTAATGATTACTGCTGTTCATTCAGCACCTACCAGACTATAGGTCAAACATTGTGTATGAATGTAGAGGTTACTGGTTAAAGTTTAGGTGTTCATTAATTGATTTGAAAATCAGGTACACATAATTGATTCAAATATTTGGTTAAAATAAAGAGAGACGAAAGATACCAAAGCCTAAGGGATATTCAAACTGATAAGTTAAAAACAAACTAACAACACCATGGTTAAAAAAAAATGAAAAATGACTAAAAGACAAACAATACACAAAACACAACATAGAAAAGTGCCGTAATATAAGGTACACATTGATTTATATATTAGATACACATAATTGATAAAAATAATTTATTAAAAAATGAGGTACATAATCATGATAATTAATTCTTTTTTTTTTTCTTTTCAGGATTAACATTCAACAGATTATAAACAAGGAACCTAGAGAAAACATTATAAAGAGAAATGATGATTCTAAACTCAAAATGAAAAAACTGCTTCCTAAAATACGTTTTAGACAACTTTTACACAGATCAGTGAGAAATAATGTGAAATCACTGATGTGTGATGTAAGAAGTTACAAGTAGACCCCACATGGATAAATAATGGTGTCTATCATGGATGAAAAGTGAAAAAATGTTTGCCAAGATGCATACATGTGATTTTATCAGTGAGTCTGAGAGATTTTGTAAGGAGAAAAAAGTAAAAAAAAACTTTAAAAAAATATTAAAAAAAAGAACTGAAAAATTTGTGTTTGTTCATGTTACATACATCACATGAAGTATTTTTTATGTTATTTGGAGAAGAGGAGTTTCATACAGCAATTGTGTCACTGGGTTAAATTCCATGGACTGCAAATTTTGTATGTTGGTGCAGACCAGATTGGATGCTGATTATTCAGATAGAATCATGTTATAATCCCTGATACTATACATCATCTATGGTAGGATTTGTCGGAAGTGTCTTTCTGTCCTCACTTGGCATCTGTTGTCCCTCTTCCATCATACACTGAAATACAAACCTTGTAAACCCTGATACTATACATCATCTTAGCCAGGATTTGTCAGAAGTGTCTTTCTGTCCTCACTTGGCATCTGTTGTCCCTCTTCCATCATACACTGAAATAAAAACCTTGTAAACCCTGATACTATACATCATCTTAGCCAGGATTTGTTAGAAGTGTCTTTCTGTCCTCACTTGGCATCTGTTGTCCCTCTTCCATCATACACTGAAATAAAAACCTTGTAAACCCTGATACTATACATCATCTTAGCCAGGATTTGTCAGAAGTGTCTTTCTGTCCTCACTTGGCATCTGTTGTCCCTCTCCCATCATCTTAGCCAGGATTTGTCAGAAGTGCCTTTCTGTCCTCACTTGGCATCTGTTGTCCCTCTCCCATCATCTTAGCCAGGATTTGTCAGAAGTGTCTTTCTGTCCTCACTTGGCATCTGTTGTCCCTCTCCCATCATCTTAGCCAGGATTTGTCAGAAGTGTCTTTCTGTCCTGACTTGGCATTTGTTGTCCCTCTCCCATCATCTTAGCCAGGATTTGTCAGAAGTGTCTTTCTGTCCTCACTTGGCATCTGTTGTCCCTCTTCCATCATACACTGAAATAAAAACCTTGTAAACCCTGATACTATACATCATCTTAGCCAGGATTTGTCAGAAGTGTCTTTCTGTCCTCACTTGGCATCTGTTGTCCCTCTCCCATCATCTTAGCCAGGATTTGTCAGAAGTGCCTTTCTGTCCTCACTTGGCATCTGTTGTCCCTCTCCCATCATCTTAGCCAGGATTTGTCAGAAGTGTCTTTCTGTCCTCACTTGGCATCTGTTGTCCCTCTCCCATCATCTTAGCCAGGATTTGTCAGAAGTGTCTTTCTGTCCTCACTTGGCATCTGTTGTCCCTCTCCCATCATCTTAGCCAGGATTTGTCAGAAGTGTCTTTCTGTCCTCACTTGGCATCTCTTCTATCACAAACTGGAATCAAAACCAAAATTAGCTTGCATTATCCTTAAGGCCATCACTTCCAAAGTCATATATATTGACCCTATAATAAAAAAAAAACTTGAACACAACTGAGATGGCTGTGTCAGTGGTTTAAATATTAACAGCTTGCGCAATATTTTTATTGAATTCAAAGAAAGAGAAAAAAATATGGCCCCTTATTCTAAAAATAGTACATAAGTATACAATGTAAGTGATTTTCTGTCTTGAAAACCAAAGTTGGAAGAAGAAAAAAAGGTCAAATGTGTAATTGCCCAGGCCGGCGGTAAATATTGGTCAAATGATATTTTGATAGGACGTCACTATAAAAACCAGTCCCTACCTGGTGGATTTTGGGTAAATGGACAGATACATGACATATGGTCACAGTACATAAAGTCATTTATTTACTACATTGTACTAGGACAAAAAGTTGCAATTGATTAGTTAACTATTGTTTGAATATATAAAGGAATATCCTTGAAATAATGCCTTATTATAAGATAAATTTATTGTACAGTTTATGAAAATCATGAACATGGTTAAATGAGATTCATCAAATATTAATCATACAAAAGATATATTTCTTGGCACCATGGATCCAGTCACTAACAAGAGACTATGATAGCTTGCTTTCTTAGAAAAGAAAAGAATGTGTACATTGAAAAGTGAAACAATGGAGCCAACAGGAAGAATCATTTCTTTGACTGAATAGGCCAAAAAAAAGCATTATTATACAGGTAAAACAATGATTTACATATTTTTTATACAACAACAAAGTAACAACACTTGGTCAGCACCTTATAAGGAACATTCATGCCATGTTTGGTTTCATTCCATTCAGTGGTTTCTTCAAAAGAAGACATTTGTATATATTTCCCATAGGGTCCTTTGTTAAACAAGTCCCCCGCTGGCGGCCATCTTGGGTGATTGATCGGTTTCAAAGTAACAATACTTGGTCAGCACCTCAAAAGAAACATTCATACCATGTTTGGTTTCAATCAATTAGGTGGTTTTCTAGAAGAAGACATTTGTATATATTTCCCTTAGGGTCCTTTGTTAAACTAAGTCTCTTGTTGGCAGCCATCATGGTTGATGGATTTGCTACAAAGTAACAACACTTGGTCAGCACCTCACAAGGAACATTCATGCCATGTTTGGTTTCATTCCATTCAGTGGTTCTATAAAAGAAGACATTTGTATGTTTTGTCCATAGGGTCCTATGTTAAACGAAGTCCCCTGCTGGCAGCCATCTTGGATGATGGAACAACACTTGGTCAGCACCTCATAAGGAACATTCATGCCATGTTTGGTTTCATTCCATTCAGTGGTTCTCAAGAAGAAGTTCAAAATGCAAAATAAAAAAACGACGACGACAGATGACGGACGCCAAGTGATGAGAAAAGCTCACTTGGCCCTTCTAAAAAGAGTTCATTGTTACATAAAAATAAGGAGATGTGGTATGATTGCCTATGAGACTACTATCCACCAGAGTTCATTGTTATATGAAAATAAGGAGATGTGGTATGATTGCCTATGAGACAACTATCCACCAGAGTTCATTGTTATATAAAAATCAGGAGATGTGGTATGATTGCCAATGAGACAATTATCCACCAGAGTTCATTGTTACATAAAAATATGGAAATGTGGTATGAATGCCAATGAGACAACTATCCACCAGAGTTCATTGTAATATAAAAATAAGGAGATGTGGTATGATTGCCAATGAGACAACTATCCACCAGAGTTCAAATCAAGTGGATATAAGCAATTATAGGCCACCGTACTGCCTTCAACAATGAGAAAATTTCATACCTTATAGTCGTCTATAAAAGGCCCCGACATGGAAAATGTGCAACAATTCAAACGAGAAAACTAACGGCCTAATTTATAACAAAACAATTTACGAAAAACAAATATGGCGGACTCACAGTTACTGAAAGCTAGTTCAACAAAGCACCGACCTAAGAGTTCTCTCAGTTAATGACAGCTAGTTCAACAAAGCACCGATATAAGAGTACTCGCAGTTACTGAATGCTAGTTCAAAGCCAATAACAACTAATAAAAAAATCATGTATCAAAGACTAAAATATCAATCAGGACTCATCCAACATCCAAAGGATTTAGTGTTAAGACGTCATTGACAGTCAGAGAAAAAAATCATGACCTTCTGCAATGCCAAAATATAAGTATCGACAGATTGTAGTACCGTGCATGTGCATATGATAAATAACAATAATAATTAGCATGGTTTTAATTTACTGATAACAAAATCAATATTTATACCAATAAATACAATCAAAGATCTAATTACACTCAGTGTTGAATTGGTAACCTTTTAGAATAAGTTTATCTAAAGGATTGATAAGTTTACCTAGGTCGAATCTAAATTTCCGGGCTCGGTGAACAACATACCCGTAAAAATCAGGATATGCTATTTCGTTGAAATAAGTTTTCTACAGGTACAGCCAAACTTGCAAACCAAATATGTGTATCTATGGAAGAATTAAGTAAAGGTTCATAGTAATTTGTGGTAACAAAATCCTTGACTTAATAATTTACCAGTAGTACATATATTACGCTCATTGAAATCCAGAACGTCACTACAGACACGGGCATAGCGAACGACTTGGGATATATAAACACCTTAATATGGTGCCAAAGGAACATCACCGTCCAAAAAAGGAAAATAAACCTAGGGAAAGAAAAATCGTCCATTTTGTCGTAAATTTTTTGTAACTTAAATTTTGCACTATTAACCTCGGGTAGTTGTCTACTTACTCGGAATTAAAATGAAAATATCTTTAAAAATGTGTTTGAGTTTATTAGAGGGTCGAAAAGATTCCGTATTGTTTAGGTAGTAAAACGTGACCACACACACATCATCATCTAAGTTCAGTTGGGATTTTTTTTTCTGTTTTTTTTTATTTATATATTTCTTGTTGTTTTTTGTGTTCTATATTTTTTTTTCTTTCTTCTTTTTTGTTACTTAGATTTTCTGTCCAATTTATACAAATGTTGAAATAATATGCAATGTATGCAAATTGTGACTTGGATGGAGAGTTGTCTCATTGGCACTCATACCACATCTTCTTATAGCTATTTACTGCAGGGTTTGTTGTTCGCGCTGTGTGGATGCAGTAGAATGTGTCCCCGTGCTTGTGGTGTGTGCCCTTATATTTTTCAATTATTGGTTGTATGCCTGTGAGAGAGCTTTCACATGTTTATTATATCTTTGTTCTTAATACACCAGTTTCACATTTAACTGCGCATGTCTAATCTAATTAGCCAAACTATGAAATCACGCGATAATTTCCGAGAGTTCATCAACTTGGGGCTAACGGTTGATAAGCAGTGACCATGCAGACTTGGAAAAAAAATCATCTGATTAAATGTTTGCGTTTACATGTCAAAACAACATGAGCATCATTTGAATGAAAATATAAAAATTATAATGACGAGACAACTTTATTAACAATGACACATTTAAAGATTTGAAAACGGACTACTGCTGTGTTGTTGGTTGCGGTAATATACGATCTGATATGCCGCCTGGCTTAATTATATAAATTGTGACTTGGATGGAGAGTTGTCTTATTGGCACTCAAACCACATCTTCTTATATCTATGCTCTTATATATTGTATTGTAAGTCTGTTTGACTTGAGTCTTATCCAATATGTGTGTACGCAAATTAAATATGTTTAAACTAAACAGTCTATGGTGACAAAAATTGATTGGAAAACAAGTAATTCTGTTGTTTA